TTCGCCAGCCTTCGAGCGAGCAACCGAGTCACACACACTAACTGTATTTCTTTTCAATTGAATTACTATTTACTCTTCTCTAGCCTCCCCCGTGCGGGTGAGAGGGGCGGAAGGTTTCCTTATATCTCACCTCAAAACTATCTTATCACTTTTTTTCGTAGCACTATAAATCCTAAGCAAAATAACGAGGAAGAACGGGCATGCTATTATGCCCCATACGGGGGGCGTGCATTAAATTCACACCTCGAGAACCCTCCTTAATATTAAAAAATTGTGGTTGACTTCTACTGAAATATACATACCCAAGGGGGGGGGGGGGGGGTGGGCTCCGCTCATGGGGGGAAAACATAAGGTTAAAACACAGTAACATGTATAAATCATACCTGTTGTCTTCTTGTCTTGTCCCCTCTATTCAGGAGATAGAATAATAGGGTCAAAACCCCAGAGACAATGTAGATAACTAGACTAGGCGCAGCTGATCTTCAGAAACAACGTGGGACTTTTGTGTGTCTGAGGATGGATCCGGGGAACCATCAAGCATATATAAATAGGGGCCGGGAAGGGGGGAGATCTCGCCGCGGGAAAAAAAGAAGGAAAAAAAGGAAAAAAAGGAAAAATGTACCTGGATGGTCATAGACAAGTGAAACTACAGACTATAAATGTCGTCACAGGCAGGGTAAACAGCATATAAACTTATATACGGAGTATACATACATGCATCGAACACGTCCATCTTCTCATCTCATCTCGCACAAGCGCGGTAAGCCACGCTCAGTTCTCAAACGGACACACAAAACAAAACACAAAACACAAAAACCAAGAAAAAGAAAAAGAAAAAGAAAAAGAAATCAAAATTGCAAAACGCAAATCAAATCCACAAGCAGCTCCCTCCCACCCACGAGCGAGTGGCGCAGATCTGCACCAAGCGCGAACAAATTCCAAGTTGTCCCAAAACGTCATACTATACTCGTAACCTCTTTTTTGGCCGTGTGCGCGAACGCGATGTGCTACGTGAGAAAATAATAAGTTAAGTAACTAGTTAGTTAGCAGGCATGATTGATTAACTATTAACTGTCCTCTGTTCTGATGGAGTCTGATTCTCGCTGTTCTTGCTGTTGAACCCCCCCCCCTTTTTTTTCGCTGCTCACCGCCGTTGTGATTTTCCATCAACTAATAATTATCCCATTCAATCACTGATGTTTATGTGTACAGCGTATGCGAGCTCAAGCAAGTCAACTGGGGGAAAAGCAAGCTAAATAAGCTAAAGAAATTAGTAGTTGTTTACTTGAAAGTAGTTAGTTATTATTCAGGATTCAACAGCCAGCTTCTTTTAGGAGTGAGTTGTCAGCCAGCCAGATTATTTTATTATTACGCTGTACTAACTACTCACTCGACTTTGCAGCAGCAGATAGAAGGATTTTCTTCTCCTTTTCTTTCCGCAGAAGAGAAGCCTTCTCTTGTTTTATGTTTTATTTAACCCGGGAAACCCAGGTTGTGTTGGGTTGTGTTTTGCCCCTTTTCCCACACACCTTGCTTGCTTCGGCGATTTCTTCTTCTCTTCTTTTCTTTTTTCATCACGCCCGTCACACAGCAGATCGAGCTATGGGAATCCGAAACAATTGCAACCGGGGGAATGATCGTCCCCGCCCCGCCCAGAAAAGAATATATATATAAAAAAAATACTAATAACAAACACAGCAACGAGGCAAAGCCTAAGACGACCCTGGTATATTTATTTGGACATACCACAGTCCACAACCAGATAAATATCCCACGGACAACGAAGCAGGCATGGAAGTTTGAAACCATGAACGAATCCCAGATTCCCTCCTCCAATCGCCTCAGTTGGCCCAAGATTTCAATATCAACAGGCAACGGGGAGTCACAGTCCTGGTTGGTCGTTGGTTCCGCAGTGGCAGTTTCAACGACGATACAATAGCTAACAATAATCCTGTTTCGACGGTGAAGGGTAGACAGATAGATAGATCTATCGTTTGATCGTTGCCCATGTCGCTGCCAAGGGATAAGGAAGACTTCATGATTTTTTATTTTATTTTTCCTGCTGAGGAAAAAATATGGAGTCAAGTCCCAAACCTACCTTTCTGGCATCCTTGTTCCAAGCTTGCCTTGCAAATCATGATTACAGACTTCACAGTATTTCCCTTCTACTTCTTCGTCTAGCATATCCATGGATACCGTGGATGTTTCACAACCTCGAAGTTGTACGTTTTGGCCATGGCATAGGTGAATGCTTCGAAACAAAGCGATTAGCTCCAGCTGGTGGCACAAAGACTGCAATTGTTTCTATCTAGTTGTTATTATTAACGGCTGTCGCCTCCGTATAAAAGCTACCTCAAAAAGAAATTGAGAAAGAGCAAAAATAATGACAGGCATGCGCAATTTGGGTGTAAAAACCCAGCAGTTCTGCCAAACATGTGGGATAATCTGATAACGAACTGTACGCCCCAATTAAAAACAGAACGAAACCGACTAGCAGGAAACAACGAATGAATGAATAAAAAAAAAGGGGGGGGGAAGGGGGGGGGGATATTATAAGCGAAAGAAACACAGCCGGGGAAGAAATCAACCTATTAACAAAAATGAGCGAAAGTGGTAAGACAGCATCTAATATCGCTTTGTTCCAAGGCACTATACACATAGAAGTCGTCAGCTAATGCTTGAGTGGAATAGCAATCAGAAAATGTTCTGGGCTACATACCAGGAATTAAGCCTCGAAAATCGTCTTCGAGAACACGCCACTCAATCGCAATCCCAGAAATATGCTCCCTTATCCGTACCGAACGCCTGATTAACCGGAGTTTCCGATATTATGTGTATACGCACTGTTCGGGTTTGATCCATCCCAGTGAGGAAAGATGCCGGAAATGATCATTGTAGGAAGCGCTCCCGGGAAATCCACGCTTGCGCGTTTTCGTACTACTCCGGTCTCCCCACATCCGCCAACCCCTGAGTCTCCTCCTGCGATCGCCGCATTGACCGAACCGGCGACTGCCCTTGCGGGGGGGAAACACGTCGGCTGTTTCCTTTGGATTTACACTCCGGGCATTTATTGGTGAGGAGGAAACGCCAGGCCATTGTTACGAAAAACCAGAAGCCCCGAGGTGTTTCTGGGTCCCGTTTCTTTAACCAGTAAGCCCACCTGGTTGGTAAAATACTACGGCATTCCTTGCACAAACGATAGGATCTCCCATTCCGAGCTGGATCTAATTCTGGAGCGTTAGCAAGGAAATAGTACCTGCTACTGAACATGCGCGGAGGCGTACCATCGACCATTTCATCCCTAGATGCAGGAGAAGTGCCCCTTGGGGGTGAATAACCAGGCAAAACCTCAGCTGCATCATTGCCTGGTGTGCTAGTGTTATTAGGCGCGGGTGGAGAGGCAACACGGCCATTTGCTGGAGCTGGAGCCGGAGCTGGAGCCGGAGTCGGAGCCGGAGTCGGAGCCGGAGTTGGGGCTGCAGCGGCCGCGTTTTCAGCCATGCTTGCAGCTACAGACAGCTGTGTAGCACGTAGCTATAAGGCTAAGTCCGATATAACGAAATGGACCACTTCCTTGTTTTCTACAGCCAATACCCTCGTCGAGAGCAGTACTGTGTTGAGCCTGTGAGAAAGCGTCATCAGAGAAATGAGCAATAAGGCTCCCTCTATCCCTCTCCAATAACCCAAATATGGGTAGTGGAGGAGCCATGTTTTCATCTGTTTCCAGCATCCAGCTCGCCTCCCATCACGCGTTGCACTGCATCTCTCCGGACTTTTAAGGGGGATATAACTTACTTGGAAATCGTCAAGACGCTACGAATCTCCAAAATCGGGCAACTGGGCGCCGCTGCCGCCGCTACAGCAGCAGCTCTATGCAATGGAGGAACAAACAATATGCAGACAACTATATTGCAGTATATAAATGTCAAGATACGGATTTAACGAACGTGCTATACGATACGGCTGTGGGTGTTGTTGTTTTTGTTGCGATTGGGAGTTGGAGAATTGCGGAGATAAACAATCTATTTCCTGTGTCTATGCATCGCGCCTTCTTCCGGTTTATCCATGGATTCCTGAGGCAGTTGCGACGGGCATGAAGACCTAGAAAGGTAAATAAGGAAGGCAGCACATCCCTGCTGTGTTTACCGATCGCTCGGTCACGCCTGCCAGATATCGCAAAAAAGAGATTCCTTGGAAGGTGCGGAGATGGCGAAGATAGAAACAGCAAAAGACAATATATGTAACGTGAGGGAGATCATTCAACTTGGAATCTGTGAAATTGTATGTTGAACAGAGAAGAGACTCCATATATTGATGGATAAGCGGGTCGTTTCTTTAGTCTGTAAGTCTGGCTCTCCGACAAGGTAAATAATTTATGTAACTGAATTTAAGCAAATTTTCTGTACGGTGTGAGAATTGGGTTGTTGTAGTCGTATCGCACGTCGCTGGACGAATTTCGACGTACATGAAGGTAGTAAATGCATGTCCTACAATGCCACTTAAATAAGACTTGAAGTCATGGGAGAGCAACCAAAAAGCAAGATAAAAAGCGAGTCGTCTACCCATAAAACAACGGAGAGAGAAGAGGATTATCTCAAAAAATAAAATGCGTCGTATGACGCTTGTATACCAGAAATGAGTGGGTGCGCTAAGGATGGCAGCAAGAAGAGAGAATCAAATAACCAAGCATATCATTTATTCATCAATTAGCCGCCCTAAAATAGCCAAGTTAACGGAAAACGCGCTTTCATTTGACAGCTGGCTCCAATGGAGGTGTAAGCAGTCTGCCCTCCAAGTCCTTCATATCAATATCTCCTTCGCCTGCATCCGTCGTAGCGATCCCTTTTCCTGCCAGCTCGTCCATGTCGTCAGGGTGTTCGGGAGGGATATTTACAAAGCCTTCTTCCGGACTCGCCCAAGTATAATTTACCCACTCCGGTCCGAGAATCTCGCGAATTCCCTTGGTGAGCTTTAAAATGCGTTGTCGTCTGCCTCGAGACCACTTACGATCGGTAATATCACCGCACGGAGTGAGAATGGCGGGGGGTTTAGAGGTGCCTGTAAAAGATGACGGATCAATGTCGTCGCCGTCGTCCGTTGTCGCATTTGTTCCTTCCGGGAAGTATCCAACCTCTTCAGAGGGGACAGCATCGTCATCATCATCATCCCCTTGATCCTCAAGCCCATCGACAATGCTTTGCCACACACGAAGAGTTTCATTCAACTCATCGATATTGCTCACACCTATGACACTAACACCTAGCCGTCGTCCAACACCAACGGTAGCAGCGGAGATGAATCCCGGATCAGCATCTGGGGAAGGTGCAAGTGGCGGCCCAAGAGCACCGACACATGAGCCCTCGCGCAACCATGACTCGAGCGCATATCGTATAGCAACAACTTCGATTTTCTCTCCCTGCTGCTCTACCCATTCGCTTGCCGTATGTATAGCTTTGCGCAGTCCATCGAGCGCAGGATGGAAATCACCCATACTTCCGATAGGGACGCCTTTGCGTCTTAAAAGCCCCATTCCTAACGGGGAGGCGTTGGGAACCACATCGACTCCCGCAGCAATAAGACGCGGTAGGCCCTCCAGAGCAAGCTTTGTGTTCTGCAACGTAAAATTGGCGTAAGACATCACAGCGTCCAGCGGCTCACCAGTCCTTTCCAAAATCATTTCTGCCAGCGAGCACAAAACGTCCACAGGGTACCCTGATATTCCGACATAACGGATTGCCCCCTCAGTATCCCGTATTCTGCGCAACTCCACAACCGCACCTACGACTTCTTCTGGCGAAACAAACTCGACATCATGGCAGTATACGACGTCTAGGTAAGAGGTATCAAGGCGGGATAAGCTACGCTTTATGCTTTTTCGTATCCATACCGGTGAATAATCGAAGGATTGCGCTGCGACTCGACCAACCTTGGTAAGCAGGCGGTAGGTGTATCTTGGAAAATTGGAACGAGCGAAGCTAGTGGAGAGAGCACGTCCCAGTAATTCTTCCGCTGGACCGTAGTAAGGAGACGTGTCAAAAGCCCGAATTCCCGCAGACAATGCGCGGTGGACTATCGCGGTCGTGGGAAGTGCATATGGGTCAGCATTGTACTGTGAGGAAAAAGTTGCAGTTCCGAAAACGAGCGGTGGTAGATCCGCAGATAGCGGTACAGAAGGCTTCCCCATAGCCCTTCAGCTTAAAGGGTAATCTGTCTGATAAAAACGAAGAGGCGGTGATGAGGATGCACAATGGGCCGCCTGCAAAAAGAATAAACGAGTGTAAAGCTCAAGCCTGCATGTAAGAATGGACTGAGAATTTTTTGGTCAGAGAGGAGAGGGGTAAGGAGACGCGGAGAGGGCGAGGGGCCAAGTGATAAAGAAAATCTAAACTAACCACCCCTGATCGCCGTGGAGGAAAGAGAGCGAGTGCGAATATCCTAGAGAGTCCATGCTGGAATGTCCTTGTCCCGCTCTTGACATGGGAGGGGGAAATCGGAGTCACTATTAATAAATCGTTTTCCGCGCGGAGGCGCACCATGGAACGGGGAAAGGGTAGCTAGCCCGAGAGGGCAGGGATAGTTTTTTTGAAAGCCAAAACCAGCTCCAGAGGGGGGGCAAAGGTTCTCCGATTAGTTCAGGGGAATAATCATTGATTTATTTGTCGCAATACACCTTCAAACTTCATTTTATCAAATTTCGTTAAAACAGGCGAACACACATATGCTTGTCGTGCTTTGAGGTGATCCCAACGCACCCATCCCTGCGGGCCTGGAGAGAGACATCCTCTATTGTGTAGCTCAATACGGGCCTTTTCCTTTTAGTATTTCCTGTGGCTTGTTATAGGTTTATCGCTGAGGGATTTCACAATTGAGATAGATGTCTGACGACATAGGCGTGGACCAAGATTGGGCTGTTTGGCGCCACCCTCGTCGATTTGGAATCAGAAAAACAAGTCTGGATTGTCCTCAGCTTACACAACAGGCCGATTGCGCTAGGGAAATCAATAATATGGACGCTTGAGTTAGTGAGGGGTGGTACTTCGGGGTTTGAAATGACGACACTTGGATTGGCTCGTTGATATGCCCTTCATCTGCCTGAGATTCCCTGCGACAGGCTATCTCTGGTCAGCGTGGCACTATGAAGCATTCTTGTAATGCGGGGCGAGTGGCATAATCAGCCGTGCTGGTGAGATTGATAGCTTTGTGGTCGACTGGTTGCTGAGGGAAGGGTTAACATAAAGGGAGAGATGGAGGGGAGCAATGTGAGAATGGAGGCAGAGCCGCGTCCGGCATTTCAGTTGGATAATCTCGCCCCAAAAGGGTATATTTATATAGTAATGCGCTCTTGTACTGTGGTTTGCATTGGGAATCTCTCATTCATTTAGCAACTCTAACTTCTAACTTCTCCATATCAAGCAGATAGATAGTCCATCAGAGTTTCGTTCTATTCTATAAATCTGATTTCCAATTTTCGCATTCCATCGTCGCTCTCGTAACGTAGACAAGAGCTGACTGACTGGTCGCTTCTCGCGTATTCAAAGGACTCTATCACCCTCCATCCCTTGCATTGACGGTTTCTTCTTCTCTCTTCTCTTCTTCTCCTCTTACACACCCCATCGTCGCCAATACTGCAAAAATTCCAAATAGCTAATATGTATAATACATCGAACGCCAACCCCAGAAGAAAAGTCTTTCAAACAAATTAGAGTGGAGAAAATCCAGCCGGCAACATATGGATGGCAGAGCAACAAGGGAGGAAAATCTCTCCTCTCATGATTCGTCCACAAGATCGCCACGCTGAAGAGCAAAAAGGGATATTGTATACAAAGGTGCGCCATACCTTCCAATACCATCGTGTGGAAACAGTCGTCAAACGTTTCGGCGGTATCCAAGATATAACAGGACCGTCTGTGTCTGTCGTTTCGTCAACGCTTCACAAATGATACCGATAGGAGCGGAGGGAAGTAGGCTAGTTGAAATAAAATGAAATGCGGTATCGTGCGTTGGGAGCAAAACGCTAGACGGAAAAGGGAGGATGAGAGGCACAGAAGCCGAACAATAGGCCTTAAAGGAGGGGGAAAAAAGCCGAAGACGCCCGTGCTATGCAATAAAAACTAGAAACAGTGGCGATATATATCAACAAGAAGTATTTTGTGCGGTGGCTGTAGTCGACACCATAACCGAACTCATATATCCAAGCAGGTCGCTGGGATCTGTCGAAACGTCCGCGGAATGGAGCTGGATACGTCGAAACGGGTGGGGCGAGGCGTTATTGTGTATAAGGTCACCGATCCTTATAAACCTTAGGTTTCCAACCCTCCTTCACTTCTTTGTCCATAGCAGCCTTCCGTTCGGCTTCTCGAACCTCCATCTCAATCCGCTCGCGGGCTCGAAGGATTTTGCTTTGTAAGTAAAAGCTCCCTCCCTTCTTCGGGTCATTTGCATCGAACAGCTTCTTGAAACGTTCCATTGTGTGTTCCAGGTTTGTCTCGCCGCCCATTGGCGGCTTCACATTTAGGATCTTGCAGGCTTCGTCGAGGGTAAGACCAGAGGAGGCGAAATTGTTTGATGCAGTTCCGTCGCCCTTTTGCGCCTGGGCTGCATATTTCGACGCGGCTGAGGCTTGCTTGTATGCTTCCGCAAAGGCTCTTCCAAAGACCCGACCGCCCGTGAGGACTATCTGGGCTACAATCCGGTGCGCCTGGAGATAGACAGACTTGTCAGTAAACTTGAGTTTGGTCGGGAGGCAAGGGAAGCTGGGGTAGAAAAAGAAAAGTGCTGGGAAGAATTAAACATACCATCCCAATTTCTTCCCAGAACTACTCAGTTATGAGAATAGTTCTTCCAACTTCTACTTCCCGAAAGATCACTATTAGCGAGTAAGGGCGCGAGAGCGTGGATAGCGGTGTTCAACAAGATGGAAAATGTCGTTGCCGGTTTGGTGGTGGAAAGATTTCTTGCCAGAGGAAATTTCAAGGCCTAATCCGGTTTAGCTCATTTGCGACAGCCGCTTTGCTGTTTTGAGTTTAGAGCACAAACTTAGCTCGGAGGAAGGTAGCCTTGGCATCAAAATAAGCCAACTCCAACAACCAACTCTCGCCTCTTTGTATGGCTATTACCAGCAGTACAATGGGTGATTTGTCCCGTTCTCTCCGGAAACAATGTCCTACGTTTATGATTGACGGGGTTTTCTGGAGTATATACTCCTTGGGAATTTCCCTTTCATGATGAACCCTCGAGTTTCAACTGCCTTGGGTCTTGTGTAGCTGCCAATGGTGGCAATTCTCAATGAAACAGTCACCATAAGGAATTGTATATTTTTGATGGATGATGAAGCTCCTTGCAGTGGCATATTTCTTTGTCGGACTATTATCTTATAGAGAAACATAAAATTTAGTTGGTTTATGGGATCCCGTGAGGCAGCCTATTTCTAGAGGTCTCTTACATAACATCTCACACTTTCATTGAAAGGTGATCAGCGCAGGATGCAGGTTCCCATAGGCAGCATGTTTCTATAGGACTCTTTCTATAGATAATGCTAAAGAATTTATGCGTTCCATGAAGGCCCCTAAGGTGGCGTACCCTTTGGGGATGTTCGCACTCGCGAGGATCCCCAAGAGTTTCCCTTCGGCGGCTACTCCTTCCAGTACTACCAGGATATATAAAGGGTATATATAGCCCTTTAATATCATTGAGACTCTTAGCGCTCTTTTGACTTCTCCATCGTCCTCAATTGTGTTTTGCGCGGTTGATCCTTGTTCATTACTTGCAGTCATTTTTTATTATTCGTCCTTCCGTCCTTCGATATCAACTCCGCCTACTGGAATTCACCACAATGTCTTCGTTCTTGTCTAGGACGAACACAGGCGGGGGAGAAAAAGTGACCCCCTCAGAGGCTGAAAGCAAAAAGGAGGTCAATCCTGATTGTGAAAGGAATGCTTTTTACACATCTAAATTCAAGTCACTCCCATCCGAATTCTTATGCAAGATCACGAAAGCTCATGTTGAGGTTGTCCAGTGGCGCCTGGGAAGGGCCGACCCGGGACAAGTTGGGACCCGCCCACCGTGGTGGCCTGAAAGCGTAGATTATGCCGACGTGGATAAGTTGAGTGAAGAGAGTATGAAGTCAACCGATCATTTTTTTTTTTCAATGTCCTCGACTGGCCTCGCATGTATGCTGATTGGCAGCAGGTCGCGTCGTCGTTAACGCCCACATATTTTCCAACCTTAGGATTAAAGGAGAGGAGCTCGAGGGCCCATTTAAACGAATGCCGAAAATACCCAACGAATGCGAAGCCGTAGAAGATCTCAGCAAAATATATGAAAAGAAGAAGTCGGAAAGCTAATAAAAGAGGAAACCTTGGTAAGTGAAATGAATTTTCCCATTCAACATTTTTGATATCACTATATTAATTACTCTCAATTAGATGAGTCCGCCGAAGCGTGAACCAGACAATAAATTCGGTAGTTTGGCAACTGAAGAGATTGATGGGACTGGGATGGTAATCGGATACTTGCAGTCCCCTTTTTCTTTTCCTCCGAAGAAGGATTTCTTTGCAGGATAATATATAATTAATACGAGGCATGCTTATCTCAACTTAGTTGAATATCAATTTCATTTTTCCACCCTGAGCTCTTCTTTGCTTGTATTTTGATAAAAAAGATCGTCAGACGCACATGACAGGAGACGTGAAGGTTTGGTTGGTTTCACGATACTTGGGCGAAGGGCATGAAGGATGAAACAGTTCCACCGGCAGGGTATGTCCGTTCTGTTACGCAAGTCACTGACCGCAGAGTTATTGGGTGGGTAACTGCCATATGTACATTACATGTACATCAATGACAACCATGAGGCTTTGAATTCTATATCAACCTATATACAATGGCCCACCCAAAAAAATTGACCTGTTGCTTCAATAAGATATTCCTTGTCACAGTCCTACTTGTCTTTGAGCTCATCAAAAGGCCCCTTCAGATCACGGAGAGAATCTCGAAGCTGATTTGTAAATTTTGCTAGCTATAGTAAGCAAACGGAAAAAAGATTCATACATGATTGGGCCTTACCATCGAAAGTCCCGTCCAGTGTGATGGTATGAGTAGCTCCAAAGGTATGGAGAGTGGCAGGGCTTGTATTGGCATCAGACTGGCGTGGAAGGTCCTGAGGAATTACAAGCCGAGGATATGGTAACGATTCTAGAAACTTGGGTGTTATTCAGGAAATGCAGAATTGCCCACATGACTTCTTACCATGTGCAAAGTATCGAGAATCATGATAGAAAGTTAGGGGACACTGGTCTGAGTCTCTCGCCAATGAGTGGATGCCTGCTCGGAAAGCATAACCAATTTCTTTTGGGAGCATTGTGAAAGCCTCGTGGGCATGCCCCAAATCAACATTGACATTCTGTGTCACCAGGGATCCTTTATAGTCAAGGGTGATAAATTCTGCCAGCTTGGTATGTAGAGAGCGATAGATGCAAGCGCGCCTGGTTGTGAAATTAGATAGTTGTTTCAGTATGGAAGTAGGGAACTGCATGATGTCAAAGATTACAGTGAGGAGATGGTTCAAAGTTGGGTTTTTAGATTGGGAGCGCAGGAATATTTATCCACGCGGCGTATTTATTTATTTACGCTGCGTAGACAAAATGTTGATGGTCTTTTAGGTAGACTCGGAGTGATGCACGTGACGGAGCGCCAAGCATTTCCGCCGAGCCAACGAAACAAGGAACAGCGAAGCGGCCGAGGAAGCTTGGACGGCAATACGTAGTTATTATATCTTTATTTTATCCCAAGCCGGCCAGCTCAACTGCCAACTTCTCCACACCTCCACCTCCACCTCCTCGATATCATTCTGCCACGCCCGTCGATACTGAGATAGCGCGTATCACTAGAGCAGCTTGCGCCGCGTGTTGTTCGTGTTGTCCAGAGTGTGGAGTGTGACTTGTGACACCCCCAGAATGACCCTGTCTGGGCCGGTGGTTGACGGGTTCTTGGTTGTATGGCAGCTATCGGTAATCCTCACGCGCGCATCCTTCTACATTTACCTACGCCGGGATATATTTATATATGTACACATACATAGCTCATATTTCTGTTCTAACTATTTGAATATCCAGAGACACCTTGGGTAGATTCTATGTCCCCAACTACCTACCCACACGACGATGGCGCCCTGGCAGTTCCAGCGGCTGCCAGTACCGCAGTCCCGCCCACAGTCGCTGCCTTCTCCCCCACCACTATTTCCGGATCATCCCTAACTTCGAGGCAGCGTTCTACGATAATAGTCCACAGGAAATCACCTCTTCTTGTCGCAACTCCTCCGCCTGTCACCCGTGCACTTGCCTACTCCCATCCCTTCCTACTCCCGCTAAATCGACTGGTGGGTTTGCTTTCATGGACGAGTGGGGATCCCTGGGAGAGCTTCCTTTTGGTTGCTGGTTTCTGGGCCACGGTTCTATACGGAGATATTATCCTGCTCTGGGCGGGCCCTATTCTGGTTGTGCTGGGATTAATTCTGGCTATGTATTCGCGGCGATATTCTCCGCTATCATCAACCGGCCTTACTGGAGAAAAACATGGAGGGCATGGGGAAGGGGATGGTGCCTCCAAGCACCATAAGAGCTTGGATGAAATTGTAGAGACTCTAAGGACATTCACGACAAGATGCAATATCCTGCTTGAACCTTTGCTCGAACTGACTGACTTTCTTTCCACCCAGCGGACAGCTACCTCTGCAACAACTAGACCAGCGTTGATATCTTTGACAATGCGAATAGTTTTAGTAACCCCTATCTGGATCCTACTAACTTTACCGCCCTTCTGCCTCATCACTCCCCGTCGTGTTATACTTTCAGTAGGCACAGTCATCATCACATGGCATTCTAAGCCAGCACGCATATCTCGTGTCATACTCTGGCGCTCATTAACTGTCCGGCGTCTATGCTCCATTATTACAGGCCTCCAATTTTATTCCAACCCTTATCCAAGCGACAAAGGATCGAACGCTGCATCAAAGTCTTCCCTTCTCTCGTTAAACCCTTTCCGCCGCAAATCTGACAAGAACAATTCAGCAGCTAATATTTCAATGAAAAAACGGCGAGCCGATTCATCTGGTGTCCGTTTCACTTTTATCCTCTATGAAAACCAGCGGCGTTGGTTGGGCATTGGTTGGACCTACTCGCTCTTCGCATATGAGCGTGCTGCATGGACTGATGAGCATCTCAACCCTGTTCCTCAAAAGGATGAATTCGAACTACCTGAAGTGGAAAGTGGAAATGCGAGATGGAGATGGGTACCTGGAAGCGAATGGCGGATCGATAACAACCCGTCCGATGTTCCAAACAAAAAGTCCTCGAAATCCGCGCAAGGTACCGGTGAGAATGGTGCCGGTGATGATGAGGGCTGGATATACTACGATAACAAGGTAAGAAACTATTTAGTAATTACCTATCCTCTTATACAGCGACGGGTTTTAATCCATCGGTTCTTCATGCTGGAAGAAGTTTATATCCTTTGCATCGTTACTAAACCCTTGAGCAATAGTGGAACGATGGCCGCCGTGGCCAAGACGGCTGGGGCAGGTATACAAGACGCCGGAAATGGTGCCGGGATGCAGAGCTCGTGGAAATATCTCCCAGTTCTGAGATTACCCCTCCACCCTCCCCTACTCTAGAAAAAGGACCATCACCCTCTCCATCGCAACAAAACAGGCCTAAGGACGACGATATCACCTCAGAAACAGGAATTAAAAACTGCCCACCATGTGACTCCGGCAAGGCCCGCAAACGGCGTTGGTTCGGTAGCAGTGAGCTATCAAGGGCCTTAGCCTCTTCACCAGGCTCAGCCTCCAGTTTACAAAATAGCGAATCAAGCTCAGCCATACCTGCCACGGCCACAGGCACGGGTGCAAGTACAAACGCAAGCGCTGGCACACCCACGACGAACCTCGCATCATCGTCGTGTGGTAATATCCCCAACGTTCGTGCCACCTCCACCTCCAACTCCTACAGCAACTCCCACTCCCATTACGCGAACAGTTTTGACAATGCTGGTGGCACTGGCAGTAGTAGCAGTAGGAACAGTTTGACCTCCCGAAGACGTGGCAGGCCCGGTCCTAGCAGTCTGATCGGAGTCGATACCGACGGCGAGAGCCTTAGCCGGAGCATCCGCGACCAAGAAATTGAAGAGGCTGAGAATGTTGTGGATCGCTTTGGGAATCGGCCTGGTGGGGCCGCTGAGAGGGCGGAAAGGGGGTGGGGCTTGGGTGATGATGCCCACATGGGGCTAAGCTGAAGACGAAAAGCAGATAAGAAGAAGAGAAGATATTATATGTTGGTTGCTTCTAGGCACCATCCCCTTTATTAACCCCCTCCCCCAGAATTTCCTTTTCCTATTTTCCCCCTAAGCGTTTCCCTACATGGCAGCATCTTCTTTTATCAAAGGCGAAACGGAGCGGACTGGCAGACCGGAGGTCAAAATGGAAACAATTGAAGCATGGTTGGGAAGTATGGCGTCACTGTCTATGCATGTTTCGAGATGATGAGCGAACTTTTCTCTACCTTCATCTTTTACCTTTTTATCCTTTTGTGTTTTCTTTTAACTTTACGACTAGGCTGGGACACGTTATGTTTTTTTTAATGAACATTTCTATGGGTGAATGGAGTACCTGCTTTATATATACTTTTCAATATGATGTGTCTTTATGTATCACTTTCAGATTGGCAGATAGTTTCACATATTGTATTACACAGAAAGATATTTCCCAGGATTCATCAGAGATGCTACAGGGAGGAACAAACACATACCATCCAACAGTTATAATACAATCAATATTAGCTAGCTATAGTTATACTTATACGACTTCCAATGTAACTATTTATGAGTAGAAAGGCGATCTCAGCACAACGAATTGAGAGATTAAACACAATAGCGTATAAGAAAAAACCCAAAGGATCGAAGCACAGAAGAAGGAAAATCCAGTATATAAATAAATAAACCGCGAAACCGAGTGAATCCTGTACCTAAATCGAACGATAAGAAAGGGGAGCGGGGATTTTTTTTTATATCTCACCCTCAAATCCCAACCCCATTTATCCCCAAACTCACAACGTAATCTCCTCACACATCCTATCCACGTCCTCCCCCTCAACCGCATCCACCCGATCCCTCACCACCATCTCAACCGCCTCATCAATCTCATCCTCCCCACCCAACAAATCCAACCAACCCCTCGTATCATCCCGCGCCAACAACCGATCCGCCACAAGAGCCACGTCCTCCCGACTCACATTCGCCGGCACGCCTCCTTCCAAGACAACCTCCGTCGGCTTCCCCAAGTCCACCTTCCACGTCGCAGGCGCATCCATCAACGGGCCGGGCCGCAGTAATATCGCCTGGAACCGCTTCTTCCCCGCCCCGCCGCCCGCGCTCTCCGCTTCATCATCCATCACAGCGCGCTTGCGCGCCATGACGGTGAAGTACTCGTCAGCGGCCAGCTTGGCGTGGTAGTAATCGGGCAGCACGTCGTGATTGATGTGCTCGAAGCGCTCCCAGGTTTCCGGCGAGAGCCAGGGAGGCTGCTTGCGGCGGCTGCCGATGTGGGAGATTAGGAGGAATTTGGTGATGGAGGGGTTTGTGAAGGTTGCGGTGATGAAGTGTTTGGCTGCGTCGCGGTCGATGGTGTAGGTGCGGAGGGGTCCGCCTTTGCCGCCGGCGCCTGTGAGGGGTTTTGTTTTGCGGTTAGTTGTGTGTGTACATAGGGGGAAGGGGAATGGTTATTTTTTATATTTTTATTTATTTATTTATTTATTTATTTGGAAATATTCAGGGGAATATGAACAATGAAACAGTATATATAACATACCGGCCGCCCAAATCACATAATCCGGCTTCGCGCGGTCCACGATCGCCTTCGCATCATCGGCACTCTTCACATCGTCGAGACTGGAGACCAGCACTTCGACCTTGCCCTTCTTATTCCGACCCAGTTTCAAAATGTCGTTGGTATGGTCTGGGTTGCGGATTACGCTGACTACGTCCCAGGAGCGGTTGAGGAGGAGAGGGGTTAGGAAGCGGGCTATCTTGCCGTGCCCGCCGAGGACTAGGACGCGGGGATTCGACATATTGGATTCTTAGACTCTCTGGGGTGTGCTGCTGAGAACGGGAGTATTATGGAGGCGAGGGGAGGATCAAAAGTGGGTTTCTTTTTTAGGATCGAATCGCAGGCGCAGATTGTATAAGAGATCCCTAGCAGGTTTATAGGTATGATAAGATAAGTTAAAGGTAGGACTGATGGGCCAAGATCTTCTTATTTTGCAGTTTACGGGAAATATCTGGGGAATATACAGTGATATAATTTATATAGATAAGTTAAGAGTCATGTTATATATAATTAATTATTTATATATAATAGTTAAGAGATGCAAATTCAAGGCCAAATCGGCCAGCGACGGCCGGCGGGAAATCTAGATCGGGCGGGTTAGGGCTATGGCGTCATAGCCGGCGCTGTAACCAACGAGAAACCGCGGCCGAGGCAGCCGACAAGCGGGGGGAAGAGAGGGAGAGAATGTCATGGAAATATGAGACACTGGATTTTTATATTCGGTTTTCTGAGATGTATTCGTTCTTGTGTGTAGATGGTTATATCGATTGTTAAGTTACCTGTGGAAAAATGAGAAATGGCTGTGGGGGATACGGATCTCAGGGATATAATCGGGAATGAGATTTGATGATTCATTCAACTCCTCAATAATTAATCATCCGCATATGCGCGATCTAGTTTATATAGCTTCCGTTTCGATGAGCGTCGGTTCCTGAATAAGATTCTGACATATCCTCATCATGCTGATATATCACGCAAGAGCAAGTAATCGATTGGGGTGTGGGAAGTTTGAAGTGCTTTAGTGTCACCAAATGAGCTGCTGCTCGAGGTATAGTTATTATTTCTCATTTGGTATAGGGGGTGCATGTGTCCGCGGTTTAGATGTTCCTGTCATTCGTGTATCTCTCTCATCGGTTTATGTGTATGGAGTTGGAGTGCCGCAACGGGCCTGAATATCATAGGGAAATAGTAACTATTCAACAGGGCTCAAGGCTGTAGATATTAGTTGAGCGATCCCATGCGCGCCTATTTTCCAGATAAACAGCGCTTCAATTTGGTTTCTCAGTTATTTTCCGGTTTCTACATTTTCACCTCTACTTTCTCTGTTTCTTCCTCCTCTTTATTCCATTTTTCGTCCTGTTTACCCCGAATGTGTAGATCAAGTTGGGAACACACAGGTATTGTGTGTTCTGCCATTTTGCTGGGGAATGAAATACAAGAGTATTTTTCCTGGTAGTGGGGTACATGTACAATGAACAGGTAGTGGACAATATCTATCCGCTGATATTGTACGGAGTACCCTGCCTAACACAAGTGAAACTCCAGGCATAATGAAATTGCATACATAGCCTGTGATGTTCATTAATCAATTGCCTTCTCCAAATCTTGAGGCCTTGCTGTAGTGCTGTAGATTGTAAGATTTGAAGGAATAAGACAAGGTGAAATAAATGTATGTGAAGATAACAAAAGATGTTATGCAACATCAGAAGAGGGAAAGGAAGAAAGAGAAGATTTCACACTTGTCAATAGCAGTGACTCTGCATGAATGCAATGCCATGCACACCTGAAGACAATTCATTTCATTTCACACTGAGTGAGCAATTGAGCAATCAAGCAACATGCGGCGCTATACCACATAGTATCGTATCCCCATCTCAAAACAGCCTTGTTGACAGATTATTGGACTTGCAGTGGATTAATGATTCCTCTACATCTCAGGTCCCTTTTTGTAGACTCCTTTCAAATTCATGAAAGCTGCTATCAGCTGAATCAGTTTTATTTTGAGCTGGCTTGAAATTTTGATCCCTGTTCTGGCGAATTTTTCATCCTTCAGCCACGCAGCAGTAAGGAAAAGAGTGGGAGATAGCTCCCCGAGACTTTTCTGCCGTACCTTTGAGGGAACGGCAAATATTTCAACGAATATAGTCATTTAGTCCTGCGGGGAAGAATTCATTTTAGTATCATAGCATTATTTTTTCTTCAGCTGGTGGTTTTCAATTATTATTATTTATTAACTATTGTATTGTAAGCAGGCAAAATTCTCCCCCCCCTCTGCACTGCTCCAATGATAGTCATAATAATAGCAATCAAAAAAAGGAAAAGCTGAGACTAGGCATGCCCCAAGCAGATGGATAAAAAAAACAAGGAAAAATATGTTCGAGGAAGGCAAAACGTGAACTCGACACGACACCATGATGAGATATGATGCATGCATGGGTGCCAGTTCATGCGTTCATGCTGTCTCCTGCAGGCTTTCGAGCTTGGCCTTTTATTTTTTTATTTTTGCTTGGACTATCACTGGCCTGCAGTATAGACTAGTCTGCTCATATTAAATATTCTTTCGCTGTGATGAAAATGGTATGCACCTACATGTAGCAACAGCTTTGAATGTCACCATCATCACCTCTGGCAATCGGAAGGAAGGAATACGAGGGATGACTAGCATGCATCATCGTCGGCTAAAGGCTAGCTTGTTATCCGGTAGGCATTCTGGAAGTTCAGTTCCAAAGGCTAATCTGATCGGATCCGTGGCGACGACGGGAAGGAAAAACTCTTTCACGAGCAAAGGTGTCAATGCTGCCTGCTTTCCTCTGCTTTCATAAAATAATAATTATTAGTTATTATGGAAAGAATGGGGAGCGATGATCCATCATTTGGTTTGCCCGGGAGGTAAGCAAACATTCATCGAAAAGCAGGAACTCAACAAGTCATCATTAATCAATGGACGAAGGACTCTCTTTCTTATCTCGAACGAGACCAGCCAGCCAGTCTGCCAGTGCCAAGCGAGAAAAAAGGCGAAGACCAGGGCCTAGAACAAAGTCTCCAGCCAATTCTGAAGGTTGAAACTGGGGGCCCCCTGGATGCTGTAACCGCGCCTTGTTAATGGAGTAGGCTGGCACCGCCGCACCACGGCCCTTTTTTTCGTTTTCAGTGGTCGATTTGCGTCGTGTTGTGGAAATTTTCTCCGGAAAAATGAAAACATCTCCGTTTTCACCCAGGTAAAAAAGGCCGACTTTTTTTGAGATCATGCTATCCAAGATTTGTGACTTTTTTTTTTTTTTTTTTTTTTTTTTTTTGCTTCGACCACCCTTGTAACTTACTCTGTAAACAGGCGTGGGTCGAAAACTGGGGGGTGTGGAGCAGAATAAGGCCGCTTTTTCACCACTGGCTGTGCCTGTCCCCCTCTGGTGCGGTGTGGAGGAGCTGACCACCACCGGCTTTAGAGCTAGATAGGCACATGTAGGTGAGATCTTTATCGTGATTTGTACGTTTTGCGTTTCGTCATTATGATCAGGGGGCGAATATTGAGGTGAAGGGGAGGGAAGGTAAGAACTTAAGCAGTCGCCGGCTTGGCTGGTCTGATCTTTTTTGCCTCTGTCCTGAAAATGTTTTGTGGCCTTAGAAAGATAGAAACGCGCCGTATATAAAACGACCATAAAAGAAGGAAATAATTCTAATGATAGGTTAGTGTGTAAATTACAAAAAAAAAAAAAAAAAAAAAAAAAAGGCCATTTGAGTTTCTGTACCTGAAACTAACCCCGGTTATCCAGCGAATACCGCACATTAGCGCAGTTGCTAAACGGCCCGCCTCTCTGGTACTTCCGGCGCTAGTCATTGGCCTTACACTGCAGTACAGCGTACATACTTCCGTACATTGCTAGGCCAGGGGAATCGGAACGCATTCGAACGAACGGAAAACCTTCTTGGTTTCTTCTCCACCGAAAAGATGAGGTGATGAACTGCGAAAATCTCATCCAGGGTAGTAGGGTCCAAGGGATAATAAAATTCAGTTGAGAGGAAACATTTACTCAGTCGATGGCAGAGTCAAGGGCACGGAAAAATTTGTCACATCAGGGGATGTTGTGGGACCCTTTCCCCGTCCATTTTACCCTTTGCTGCGTGGAAACATGTATTAAGGCTATGATTAGTAATTCAGGGCGAAAATCTCGCAGGAATAGATATATTATTGAAGGGTATTTTTCGAACAAAGAATCCACTGAGCCGATTCTCTTGGTTGAAGCCACGAGCGACTGGGCTGCAGAAGTCCTGACTGAAACGTGGCGGCTATCTGAATAAATAGTTTATATGATAGTTAAATGAAACTTCCTCGAGTATCCGCTGCTCGCATAATTTGCATGTTTCAACTTTTGCTGGACTGGAATGGAAACATTTGGACCGAAATTCATTGGTTACATTGCAGCTGGTGTAAACCGCGAACTTCCTCCGTTCGCACATATGGATGGATGAAATAAGAGAGATATTGTAAATGTCAGCGCTGGATGCTGCTTGGGGCTTTTGAGAAGAACAAACAAGGCTTTCGTGGGTTTATCTCGTCGCATGATAATAATAGTAAATAGGTTCCAGGATGTCCATTTTCCCCCTTAACCACTCAATTGACGAGATGTTTCTTTTTGTTTCGAGTATTGCAGACTTCTTCCAGTTCAACTATCTCAAATCTTGCCCCAAGCCCCGAGTCCCAATGCTGGGGTCCGTCCTTGTAACTGTTTGGAGGATGTTGATCTATATTTGATAGTCAAGGTATAGGGTGGAAATACTGATGGAAAACCTGACCGCCGTGCCCGGGTTTCATGGGAATTCAGGAAATAATATCTATCCTGTGCAATAGGATTCGGATTCATAATCACATACTCCGTACGGAGTAGGTAACTAATAGAGCCGCAAGAAAACAGCGGGGTATTTCGGCTGGTAGCGATCGTATTGCGGCCGCCAGATCATATGCTTGCCAGTTTCCTTGTGTGCTGTTATTAGCCTCGAAACGGGGAGAGCAAGCCGTCAGCCCTTTCCACCGTGAATGTCCTTCTTGAATCTTGATTGGACAACAACGGTTTCGCTGTGGAAACTTTGAACGTTTAGCGGTATCTTTCTCGACGGCGTGAAATCGAGTACTTGTATTGGTCCGTATCCAATATTACACTGGCGTGTGCGGTGGGCTGCAGTAGCCCGGCATCTGGCGGGTAGCAGAACAATGAGAACGGTTTATGTAACGCCAGTCCGGCGTGCAGATGGCCCCTGACGGGTCAAATCTTTAGGGGACTCATGATGTTCTCCTTCTGGCGGTTTCTCTGAAAATATCTGGTTGATATTGCGTGTACTCCGTACTGTTGTCCACGGGTGTCCGTCCTGCAGTGCTCCCACGCGCCCCCTCATCCTTATTATCATAATAATAATACTAATAACAACAACAACAACGCGTCGAATATGGCCACCCACCTGTGACGGTCGGTGCCTGAAGGTTATCTAAAAGATTTGCTGCTTTTTATCCCTTGATCAATCTGCATTTGATTGGCTGTTATTTAATGAGCTAACTAATCCCAAATAGGCCACATTCTCCCAGAATCTTTCATGTAACAGCGTAATAATGTAATAATAATTGTATGTTCAATGATTTTCAAATGAGAATAGCAACTCAACCCTATCTAATCAATATTTCTGTATCACCTTAGATTATAGAGAAATCAATTATCTTTTGATTGAACTAATTGTTAATTTCATATTCCTATTTTATTTTATTTTATGAAGTACATATCAGATGAAACAGATCAAGATAAGATTATATTTTTTTAAAGATACGAGTCAAACAATACATACCATACCATGTCCCATATATGAGATGGTATGTAAATTACAGAGAGAATGAAATATGATCAGTTTCAATTAACATTTTTCAATATTATTAATTTTTTCAATATATCAATTATACATTTCTATTCTTCTTCTCTTTAGCTATAACCTAAGGTCATACACAAATCTTAAAAATGTATGATTGTTGAGAATAAGAACTCTTTTTCCACCAGATACGAACCATTCTTATGATTAGGCTCTGGCGAGGTTTGCTCTGAGCAGTGAGCAGTGAGCAGTGAGCAGTGAGCATTTGACACTTCCTTGCTGGATTTGCTGGATTTGCTGGATTTGCTGGCTGCTTCCAACAGAGTAGAACACAGGGTCTGAGCCTTGCTGAAATCTAGTAGTAGTAATAAGTTATCTCTAATCATCGTTTGTGCCTGGCCATTATTGTCCGGGAATCTCCTGGCGCGGCCGCTAATCTTGCCCCTGAACAAACGGCGGTAAATAATTCACACCCCATGTGGGGAACAAGAGTGTTGGAAATTTCTTCTTCCAGCCGTCTGAAGCCGGAGCAGAGAAGACTCGTCCAAAAAAATAAGGGCCACAACAGAAGACCGAGGCGTCAACTAGGCTGGCCCGTCAGGCAGTGATCGAGGGCGCTATTTTCTTTCCCGAATCGCTGGAAAAACTCATGGGTACCTAGGTAGCAAGCGATCGAATTTGAGAGCGCGATCCAAAATGGCCGGCAAAGCCTCCATGGTCAAATTGCACTCCTGATTGGGACGACGGAGAGACGTTTTTGTAACAAGTCTGCTGCATCCTGTCCGGTCCATCCTTCATCCTGTTCGTTGTCGTTTTTCCATCATCCTCTTCAGCCGCCGCTCTCCCTTTACTAAACACCCGACGAACGAGTACGATTTGGACATTCTACTTACTCGCTGCCATTCGAGCTTCTTCTCGCCATCCCTCCTCCCTATTCTTCTCTTCAACTTCCAATTTAAATATCGACTGACTTTGTGGACTCTCTTCTTGTCCTACTGGAGGGTGCCCCCGCAGAGACAGACTTCTCTTTCGCTGGCTGATTTTTTGCTTTCGACCCATTCATTCGTTTTCGATACTCAAAGACTTGTCTTTTGCCATTCAAACCCTTATTATTGATCCAAAACCCTTCCAAGTTGCGACCGGAATTGTCTTAGACCCGACAGCCAATGCGTAGTTGAAGAAGGCAGGTTGATCATATCTTCTTCAGACGGAGCACGATCTTGAGGATACAGAGGGCGTCAATCAGGCTGCAGGGTGGGACGCCGCAACCACACCGAAAGCATTCTCTCCCCCCCCCCCCTCCGCTGCAGCTCACGCTTCATTCTGCGCCTGTTAGATCGGGTCAATCACGGCATGAAGATTGCACTGGTCGCATCTTATTCGAATTGATTCGTTTCGTCTGATCCAAAGGGCAGGTCCTTGTACAAGTACGTACAAATAGATTGCTGTTTATTATTTATTACATATGTTCTACTTTGCTAGACTTCTATTCTGCATGCTATGAAATTGTTACCAGCTTAGAATGCTTCACGTCCAAATTTATCATTTCTGCGTGGCTCTTGAAAGACTAACTCTTCAGCATTCACATCCATGCAGGCTTCACCGAAGTGTTGTTGAATTTTTCGAGTCAGAAACTCTGATTGATTGTCCTTCGCTTCCACATCCCCCTTCGCCTATCACAACCAGGTTACAACACATTAGGGGGGGAAATACTTACAGTAAATTCCTTTATACGATTCTGCCCTGCCGCTTCTTTGCTGTTGACTGATCTCGACCGTCACCAATTGTTGCCTTCGACAGGTCCCCTATTTACCAACTAGGAACATACGCTAGATCCCTAAAACAAGATGAATCGATTCAGAACCCGCAAGAAGGGTAAGGAAGCCCAAAATGCCCAGGACGATAAAGAGGGCCAGCCACTACCACTATTCACATCTAAAGCGTTCAAGAGGGCGAAGAAACCGCAAGTAGAGACGACACCAGAGCTGGACCTCTCCTCAGCCCTCCCATCATCGGACGATTTCAGAACCAGTTTACTCATGCCGAATCTCTCCGCGCGGTTTAGCATGTTACGGGAGCAGGACGATCCAAATTCTAAAATCGGGAAGGCCAATGACGACAGCGTACTCTTGCCAAAGAGGGCGTCAAGACTCAATGTTTTTGGCCAAGGCAACAATCCCCTTGGGGACATTGCAGAAGTATCTTCGCTTCATGGCAGCTCAGCTCGGCCATCTTTTGCCATCGGGCGCGGTTCATTCGCCTCTGGAGAAGGCTACGCTACCGATGATGGGGACTTTTCCCCTGGCGGTAGTGTTATGAGCAGATCCAGGCCTGGTGAAGGGAACAACTTGTTTGGTGGGCGACAAAAAGTTTATAAAATACCGGTTGCGTCGACGACGCCTAGAAGTGGGTCGACTTCAGAAGCCTCAGGGACTGGGGGTGGGATGGGAGGGAAAGCTGTGTATGAGAATGATGTTACATTATCTGCTTTCCAGAAGCTGAGAGCGAAAGAAAAAGAGCAGCAGCAGCAGCAGCAGCTTGAGCTTGAGTTGGAAATGCAGCAGAATAGACATGATACGGAAGATGAGGGTTCCTTGACTTCCCGACCGTCAGTTAATCGTACCTCAACTTCGAATACCTCAGTTGACTCCGCCCAGCGCAACTCAGGCCAGGGGACTAATTCCCCAATCGCCTCCAAAGCTGTATTTTCTCCTATAAAGCCTAATCTTACTTCAACTGGAATGGAGCGCAATCCAACAAAACCTCGACGCTACGGTCAAGGCATTGAGCCCAACACCCAACAGCCCTCTGCCATTACGAGACTCGAAAGCCTTAGCCGCCAGCGAGCTGGGGTCAATGACTCTTCACAGATAAATCGATCTTTGTCAAAGAGCACGACTAGTTTAAATGAGAGATTCCAGCATCGCCAGCCAGTATATGCTTCTTCAGGTTTCCGCCCTACAAGCCCACCTCCATCTGCTCCTACCACAATTGCCGAGGCAGTTGATGTTGCCAGGAAAGGTGAACCAGAGAAATCTCCCGTTGGAAATCCGGGGTTTGGCGTCTCATCACAGTTAAGTCCCCCCATTAGTGAGTCCGAGGAACAAAGATCATTAAGATCATTAGAGGCCGCGCTTCAGCCTGAGGATCGGGGGAAGGCTACTGCTATGGGCCTTTTCAACAAGCCAGCCACCCAGTATGATGATACAAAATTCTCACAACGGCAGCGTCAAATGTATGAGGGTAGAGATACTCCTCCTTTGGGACGTCGCTCTCCACCACCACCTGCCGTTGATGCGGAACACTCCGCACCTTCGCGCCAAGTTTCCAATTCAACCCACCGACCGAAGGTGGATACGCTGGTCTCACAATACAATAACCCCCAGAACGAAACTCGACTCAGCGGAGGAAAATCCACTACGACAATAGTAGTCGTAGACCATCGCCGTCCCCATCGAGGTTGAAGCCAATTAACGGCGCCTTCTTGAGTGGAGGTGATAGCGGAAGTGAAGACGAACGAGAACCGACGCTGAAAAACATGCTTGCGGCGGTTCAGTCACTCGAAAATATCCATCCCGCTTTCAGATCTAGGAGCAATTCTGGCGACTCGTCGCAGAGTTCTCTCAACAGAGGCTCTCACGCTGATACTCCCGAATTGCGATATTCGGAAACTCGAGACCTCAACACCATACAGGAGAATGAAGGCACTGAGGAACCTGTCGGTGACGCCCCGGATTCGCCTACACTTGGTCCCTTAGGGCTCGGTTTAAGCGGGCTAGTTCGTACACATCTTCGGCACGATAGTGACACTTCGATCTACCCGCCGCCGTCCCCGGGTATTTCTAAAATCAAAGATACCGCTCGAGAGCTTAATCCCGCCGTTAAAGCCGCTAGAGATTCTGACCATGCCGCTAGTGTTCACAGTAACCCATGGGAATATGATGACCTATATAAGCTAGTCAGTCCAGCATCTGATAATAAAGAACCCGCGAAGCAAACTGGACAGCCTGATTTCTCCTCTATGTCAATGAGAGCGAAGCAAATGCTCGGGCAGGCCACTGCTTTACGTATACAGACGCAGGCGCATGTACCATCACCAGCAGGACCGCCGGATAACTCTAATATCTCACCTCCCAACCATATGCGTGACCAGTCATCCAGAGGCCCGACAAGCCACAGTTCACCGTGGCAAGAGGAACACAAACCACGTCATCAAAGGGGTGCAAGTTCAGAAACGCAGAACGAGCGTGAAGAACTTGCGAACGAGCTAGCTGAGCGGCGAAAGAAGGTGCAAGAGAAATTACGAAGCTTCGCTGAGAGCGAAAGCAGATCAGGTAGTCCGTCTTCCGGCCATCGTTTCCACGATTATAGTTCCGGACCAAAACACGGTAATGCCTTTGCAATGCTTAAGAACAAAACCGGCAGAAACCCTATGGGCGGTCGAGCTGATGCACCTCAGTCAAAAGCCATGAAAATGCTTGGCATGGACAATTCTTTCAACTCATCCTCGCCAATCCTCCCCACAAGCGATTCATGGCTGGACGATGAGGAGAGAGCCTCCCGTAATCGTGGGAGGGAATCTCGTTCGGGATCACCCCATCTCGGAGCTCGCAATCACAATCGACCATGGCACCCACAAGGCAGCATCAGGGGGAGAGTAAGCCAGGATGGGTCCAGAGAATCATTTACTGGTGATCCTTCTCCACCATCGCACCGGAGCTCTGGCAGAACCCGATCTAGTTCAGACGTGTCAGGCCGGTCAAAAAGCCAACCGCGCTATCGTGATGATCTTGAACCTGTAGGGGAACATACAATCGGCCACGGCGAAGTGCAAAGCGAAGAACTTAAGTCTTCAAAGGCTTCGGCATCTGTTTCATCTTCCTCCCGACCGTCAGAAGAGGTCAGCGACTATAGGTCTTCTGAGCGATCTACATCTGGGGCCTCTGGTAGGTACCGGAGTAATAGCCGCTCAGCTGCACAGGGTTATTACGATCCTAACCCTCCCATCCCACTTCAAACCCATCAATCCGATTTAATCGGCAATCCCCCCCGTCCCTCTCCAGTAACTCCATATTCCGCCAACGCAACACCGCCTCTCAACGAAGCTTCCCCAATCCACGCCTCCACCTCGACTCCCACTCTCGTGCCTCCCATGAATATCAGCAGTAGCCAACGCAACCAAGGGCTTGGGGGCGCACATAAACGCGTAATCGACAAATCCAAGATTTCCGAGCCGACCTTCCTCTCCTCAACCTCCAACGTACCGACAGTGGGTCTCCCGCCAGGCGCCAGCCTCACCAACGGCTCAACCCCGCCAATACCTCCCATGAACCCCCGACGCAGACGGCAAACGACAACGCAGACTTTTATAAACGCCTTCAAGAGCTCTGACAGATACGACCAGCCATCCATGCCTGGTTCAAACCCTACTGGCCTGATGGATGAACAACTACATCAACAACAGTATCATCAGCATCATTCTCATAATAATCATCAGAGTATATTTTCTGAAGAGGAGAAGCGGCCACGACCACGTCAAAAGTTGCGAAAAATATCAAGCGAGGGTGGTAATCTGAATGCGAAGGCTCGTCAACAGCTTATGAATAATAGCTCTCCGGCGCTACCGCAACTTCCGAAGAAGTTGCCCATGGAAGGGGGCATGTTTTGAGAAGATTGCCTATTTTTCTCTTTTTTTTGTCTAAATTTTCATTTTACGTTTAGAGAGCCCCTGAAGGTTAACAAAACTCGTTGAGGGCGTGTGGTTTATACACCTTTCTATATCTTTGTTGCTGTATTGATGTCACATTTTCCTTTTTCTTAGGGGCATGGTTCCCTTTGGATACATCATTCTATTTGCCACCTGTCTTAGCATTTTTCTTGTTCTATTTCCAATGTGATTTCTTAGGCCACATTCTGGACTGTACAATATTCCCTTCTTGTTTCTTTCTCATTTTCTTTGCGCAGGAGACAAAAAGACGTTCAAAGCCAGTTGGGTTCATTCAATGTGACATTCAACCCCCCCGCTTCTTTTTGCTTTACATATTCTTTGGCCTTTTTACTCGTTTAAGCCGAGAGGATCATTGCGTGATTCAGTCGGTTGTTGGTTGTTGCATGTATATCTATGTATGTACAAGATTCTGTCTCTCCCTGGCCCCCTTGGATTTCTTTTCCTGCACTTTTTCTTCTTTTCTCTGATATATATCCATGTCTACTTCTCCTCAGCCGCGGAGGGCCCCGGGTGACCAAAAAAATAAAAAATGAACAAAACAAATGCAAAAATTATTCTACTTTCAAAAATTGCGAGGGAAGCGGGAGTGGGAGGAGGTGGTGACTTCAACTTTGGGTGAATGAAACACTCCGATATACCTTCCCACTTTACTTCCTCACTCTGAATGTGTCTGATGAATGGGATGGAGTTGACCACTGTATACTGGTTTTAAGTCTGTGACCTGGATGTGTGAGATCAATTCACGGTGGGATTTTTGTGTGTTACCTTGGTTGATTTAACATCAACTAGTCAGTCCCCTTTTTGCCCTTCTTTCGTCCCCTCCTCCCTCCTCCCTTTTCACTCTTCTTCCCCCTTTCATTCGAGTTTATCGATTTAGCCTGTCATCTCCGGGTTTCGCAGCAAGGAATGCTAACGGGCGGACGCAAAAGGAGTTGGACTGCTTTGATAGGGTTGGACCGCGGCGTTCGTTTCGATATACTTATCACTTTCTTCGTGCTATTCATTTCTCATCATATTTATTATCTCCTATCATCATCATTACCATCAGCAGCAGCATCTCAGCAAGAGTCACATCTCAATGCGTTGTGTGGAGGAGGAGGTGGAATATCCGTGTCCCAGTCTTTAACCCAATCGGGCAATCTCCTGGGAAACCTCAACATCCGCCTATTGTGGTCAAGAGACCACGCATTAGTCTCTATCGTTCTCTTCTACACTGTAGTCTGTAGAAGGATATCTCTTTGTTTTCACCTATCTCATTCGTTTACCTGTGCTGGTCTTCTTCTCTCTCCTTGGCTTACTTCTACAGACAGTCTCTACGCGTCTTGCTCCATTTAATTCTCACACTTTCTTCAGGGGGATCCGTTTCCCTTATATTTACCATAGGTATTGCAGCGCAGAAAACGCAACAGAAAGTTGTGGAGGTGGAACCACCTGCTCAACACTTCTCGTTTGGTGTTGTTAGCCCCTCTTTCTGGAAAATATTTCCATCCTTATTGTTATTTATTTACCTTTATCTGGGAGCCTCTGTTGTTTGTCATTGTGTCCTGAGCCTATAAAGGGACATCGAACGCGAGGCAGCCAGGACAATCGGAATATCACAATAACTTTTCTGCTCCATTCATCCAAGTGGTTCCAGAATGGTCCCTGTGCACTGCAATCGAACCCTCACTGAGGTGGTGACTGGGGATCGAGATCAAACGCAGTTGGATACTGAGAAGCCGGTTAGGAAATTAGCCGCTAAAAGAAAGCAGAGCAAAAGCAGCAAGAATAGAAATAAAAGAAAGGCTAAGAAGGAAGCGGCAGAGTATCAGAAGTCTATGGAAGAGCTGGCGGCATCTACTGCTACCGCTCTAATTGATCATAGCCACATATCACGGCAAGGATATCGTTACGAGCCTTTTATTGTCGGCAGCACTCAACCTCAACCGGCAAGTCAGTGGCAATTTGGGCAGGGAAGCTTCAACAGCCAGTACACGGCGGATACCGGTATGTTTATAATACTGTTGCGCTTCGCACTCATGCTTTGGTTGCTAACAGTATGCTTCGAATCCCAGAACCTATGTCTCAAGTGAGTGGTTTTGAGGCCTACCATCCAGGTCACCCTTACCACTCCCATAGCACCGCTAGTCATTGTTCTTCTCCAAACGCCTCCATACCACCTGGTGGAATTTTTATGGGAGCGCCGGGTAGATTGGTTCCTCGAGCTACAACACCTGATCCCTACATGATTCAAAGCCATGGGATTTATTTTGGCAGCCGTTCCAATTCCAGTCCCTCGCTCCCTTCTTCTGAGACGTACTCGGGCTACCGGGGATCACAACTGCAGATCCCTCCTTACCCGCCATCCTATCGAGGCTCCCAGTATTGCCATCTCCCTGTTTTGCAAGATCAGACCCAACCTATGCATCCTCCAGGAACATGCTGTGAGAACGGCGATGCACTTTCCCGGCCGTGCATGCGCTATTTTATGTTCCCCAACTATCCATATCACCCACTCATACCACAATATAGACCAACAGCAGAGTGCGCTCAATTTGTTCCAGCTATGCCTTTCAATGAGGCCAATGGTGCTCAGACTGGTGACAACGCCATCCGTCGAAATGGTCTACAAGAGAGCATAACAAGGGCAGAAAGAAGCTCCAATGGAGGAAGTCAAAATGTTCTTAATCCGCTGGATTTTGCTCAAGTATGTCAGCAAGGTCCCCAGCCTTGTACCGGACCAATTGTTCGTCGCGACGTTTACAGCTCCCGTTACCATTCTGACGAAGAATTAGAGCCAGTTGCAGTTCATATTCTCGAAACATTTAGATCTGGACAATATGCAGATTTTCGACTAATCCTGAATTCCTCCGCGGAACATTGCCCGCCTGTGTCCTTCCCTGTCCACTCGTTAATTGCTTCAAGAAGTCCGCATCTCAAAAAGTTGATGAAAGCAATGGATGCTGCTACGCGCCCGAGAGAGATACACCTGGGAGCTGCAGCCTCTTTCTCTCACCCCTTTGCATTTGGTATGGCACTGCAACATTTCTATGGTGTTCCATTAATAGCTGAAGAGCAGCTAGACAATGACTTCACGCAAGCTGTTGGAAACACTAATGGGGAGGATCGGGACCAGAATTGTGGAAATGGAAGCCGCTTTCGTGAGCTGGAGAAAATGAGATTTGCTCTATGTTACGCCGCATCAGCTGCTTTCCTTGCAGAGAATAGGATTCTTCGTCGTGCTTCTCGCCTCGTCACAAATGCAATCTGCTGGAATAACTTGGAAGTCATTTTTCACTTCGGTATTTCAGCTTCCAATTTTATGATTACACCAGTTAACAGTATCCTTGGTACTGGTCGGGAAGCGGCCAGTTCTGACAAACTCCATCATAAAGCGACCTCTATACCCAACAGCAGCGAGCAGGATATGGAGAGCGATTTGGCGAATGTGGATGATCCCCGTAAATATCCTTGCACTCTCAACTGGGAGCTCAAGGAAATATGGGGACCACAACTTCTTAATGAAGCGATTGATTTCCTCATTAAAAACTTCCCTCAAAATTTCCAGCTTGATCCTGACGTGAACTCGCGAGAGCTGCCCGACAGACTTTCCGGACAAGCACCGTCTAGGTTCTCGATCAGAGAAATTTCTTCCTCAGTGACGTTTGGAAATTTTGCCGCTGCTAACAACTGCACGTCTAGCAGAGAGGAGAGGATACTGTCAGCTATATTCCTTGCGATCCCGTTCAAAATACTTCAAAAGCTTTTCAATGCTATGAAAGTGAGCGGGATCCTCACACCGGGCCTTGTGGAGGATATTATAATTGAGCGCGAACGGCGTCGGATTCGGGCCGCCCGGACCGTCAAGAATAGGAATGATACTTCTGAATTGACAGTATCCGAGACCGATCCAATTGGCTGGCGAGAGGAGATTATGTCAGTCACTGGTGTTCAGGAGGGCAGCCCATCCATTATCAAGACGTGGGTTGGATTCGTTGTGCCGGAGGTAATTGAGATCAAACCGAAGGAGGCATCTCGGGGGGTTCTCTAATGTGTATTTTTTTTCGACGGTTAATATGCCGTGATGTCGTTTTCTACATTTGAAGATGCATTATTTATTAGCCCCATCCCCCTCTTTTTTTCTCCCTCCCCACGTGGTAAATGTTGAGGTGCTTAACAGGACTGTTAAGCCGCTTGGTTCTGTGCGGGTTCGGCCTTTCAGTGCACGGGAGTTTGCTTGTTTCCTTCTCTCTTTTTCCGAGGTTCTCCTTTATTTTTCCTTTTGGTCTTGACCAGATACGCCCTTCGTCCTCTGCACCCACCGGATTCCCATATATCTTTCTTTCCCGTCCGAATATAAAATTACTACCACACCCACTAATCTTTGTTCCCAAGGGCCAGCTCGTCTCCCGTTTCCTGTCTATGGATTAGATACCCCTTATTTCGCCCTTATTTCGAGATCTTTGATCTAGGTTCTTGGGCCGCACATGCGCATATTTCTTTTCTCAATTTTTCTGGTGTTTTTGGTCCCGTTATTCTTTCTCCCCGTTGTTCACCTTTTTGCACTCACTTCAATTTATGACACGTAGGATGACTAGTATCGATGAACCTGATGTTTTTTCTGTCCGTTTTGTTCATTTGTCTTTGGATTTACCTCGTATTCTGTCTCTCGGGCGGTTTCTTTGGAGTGGGAAAAAAGGGGTTTAGCAGTTTGGCAGGGTTCCTTGTCCTTTTTTATAGAGTTCAAGCGGCGAGGGTTCGATTCAGAGACAGACCAAATTGTTTCCTCCAAAATTTATGCTCCTTTCCAACTGAAGAAGAAGAAGAAGAGAAAATAAAACAACCAACAAGTATCATTATTACACGCGAAGCCCGGCCTCACTAGAACGAGAGTGGTTGAATGAACAGTCGCAATCTTTATACCTGATCCTTGTATATTTATGATCTCTCGAGCTATAACTACAACGTTATTTGACTGTAGTATAGAATCCCAGTTTCGCTTGCCAACTCGCCCAGCTCCCAGAACAACATCATCAATATCCGACAGCTGAATGCTATGCCATGGTGGCGGGATATCCAAATAACCGACTTCTTCGCCATCGTATAGGCAAAGAACGCTCTCTTTCTTCCGAGGCGTCCACAAGGTTGGTTTAGAGTTGGATAGCCCTGACACATCTGACATCATATCGGGACCACAGGATACGCCGGTGATGTCACGGTGCTTGACGGTTTGGCTATTTGCCTGTGCCATGGCATGCCATACATATTCTTGAGGTATGAGTGGCACTTTACCTAGTTAAACCCGGGAGGAAGGAGAAAATGGCGGTTTAAAAGCTTCTTTTTTCCTTTTCATACATGACTTTCTTCCCCGGATCCCTGGACGACATTCCAGCCATCATCCTGTGATTTACACTGATTGCCTCCACAAAATTGGAGTTTCCAGGTTCCAGTTTAATCATGAAAGCTTGGTGTTAACATAAAGGGCGGGTTCTCGGCCTTCAACTCGCTCTCAGTGGTTTATATTCTGTCGGTATAAAGGGGTAGTGATCCGCTTCCAGGAGCGTCATTCTTATCATTTTCTTGAGAATCGTTTGGATTAGTTTATTTTGCTTTCTTCCCGCTTGCGCAGTTAACTTGATTTAAAGGCAACTTGCTTGTATATTTATACCCATCTGTCATGAGACCACCGAAGGCCATCATCTCTGTTCCCTTGAAACGGAAGGATGGTTTAGCTCTCGAAGAGCTGTCTGACAATATTGATGCAGTCAATGCTCTCAACGCCACTTTGAAGAAAGAAAAGGGGTTATACGATGAGTCCGAATTTGACAAAGAAAAAGACAAATCCCGCTTCCGCCAATACGAACTCGCCTGTGAAAAAGTGAAGCAGTTCTACCTCGAGCAGCATGAGAAGCAGACGGTCGCCTACAACCTCAAGGCCCGCAATAATTTCCGCGCAAAGACCCGTGCTTACATGGGCATATGGGACGCTATCGAAAAACTAAACACCCTCATTGACGACTCTGACCCTGACACCTCCCTCACACAGATTGAGCACCTGCTCCAGGCCGCCGAGGCCATCCGGCGTGATGGCAAGCCGCGCTGGATGCAGCTGACCGGCCTCATCCATGACCTTGGCAAGCTGCTCTATTTCTTCGACGCCCAGGGCCAGTGGGATGTAGTCGGCGACACGTTCCCCGTCGGCTGCGCCTTTGATGATCGCATCATATACACGTCCGAGTCCTTCAAGAAGAACCCAGACTACGGCCATGAAATCTACGGGACAAAATATGGTATATACAGCCCCGGTTGCGGGATGGATAATGTCATCCTGTCCTGGGGCCATGACGAATATCTATACAACGTTGTCAAGGACCAGTCGCTGCTCCCGCCTGAAGCGCTGGCGATTATCCGGTACCATTCCTTTTATGCCTGGCATACCTCGGGCGCGTATATGGAGCTCATGGATGAGCATGATAAGGATATGCTTGAGGCTGTGAGGGCGTTTAATCCGTATGATCTGTATAGCAAGACTGATGATATTCCGAATACAGAGGAATTGAAGGTAAGTAGTAGCATCTATAACCCGTTTTTCGCTTCTGGAAGGCGGTTGCGCGTGGGGTTTTATTTATAGGCTGTTCTAATCTGGGAGATAGCCATATTACCTCGAGCTCATTGACGAGTTCTTCCCCCAGAAAATAATCAGGTGGTAGGGCTAGTTTCCATTTGGTAGCTTTTCCCTTTCTCCATCTGTTTTATGGCTCCGGAGGTGTTAATTTTAGTTTTGTATGAGAATACGTCGTAACGCTGTTTTCATACTCCGTGCCTGAATTCGCATGATGAACGACATGATAAGTTTGCCTGCAGCATTGGAGTGGAACTCTGGGTTGTTTATGGCCCCCGTTGTTTCGTATCTCATTGATATTAGTTAGGCATTTTGTGGGATACACGCACTCTGATCCGCGCTCCATATTTTTCCACGCTATCGTTTGAGATATCTAGGAATTGTCGAGCGCCAGTGCAGGGCTAGCTTTATGTTACTTTTGTATCTGTTGGTCTGGACCGCAAATAGCTAGCTAACAGACACAAAATATCCATCATCTGATCGATATCGATTAAAATTTGCCCCCTCCGCACCTATCCTGGTCCTTTCTGAGGGTCCCTGGTTTATTGTTGTCTGCTTATTTTGGCAATTAGGACAACGAAAAACCTTATATCCCAGCGGTCATATGTGGGGACACCTGAGGCGTAAACAAAAAAATTGCTGATGCACATGATTGAAGGCTGAGAGGTAATCCACGGTGAGAAGAGGATCTGACTCAGTCAAACTTTAACTAATATGATAGATTTATTATGGAATTATGACAGGCCTGCAAACTCTTGTTTCAGCTGGCTTTTGTAACATCTTTGGTCTAGGCTTGTAGGACAGGAGGCAAGGCAAAAGCATAAAATGACCGGCTGTGTTTCATCGACTCTCAAAAATACCCAACATTAGAAAACTCAAAATAGGACCAGCTGACAGAACCAACATACTTTGGCCCACCACTTTGGAAACCCCCGAGCCACCACTAGTAGGACCTTGTTTGGCTTCCGTTTATTTCATGAAACATGACGATATACGAGGAGAGCGTCGTCAATGGTCACTGACCAATGGCCCTCATCCTGAATGCGAGGATTTTGGGAATTTCGGTGACATACCGCAAAGATCTTGGATCAAGCTTCTGGCTGGCGTTGTATTCCGCATCGAAATTCGGTTCCTCAAATGCATCGAGGACTAATCCAGCGCGGAGAAAAGGGGATAAAATCTCGTGCATGGGACGGTGGAAAGTGTACTTCAGGCATTCGCCGGGTTTTTGCCCATGATTAGCACAGAGATAAATGATAGAAGTATATCCTCATCAGCAGAAGTGATAACTGGTTTTCACTTTACAAAGCCCATAGTAATATAATACGCAATATGTACCTGATAAGAAGGTTGGCCCTTCAGCGCTTCTGCCTTGATGGGCTCCGGGGCATGGAGATATCTGGTTATCTTAAGGCTGATATGCTCCTCCTCCCGTCCTGTTTCCCGGCTATCCGCGTACTCGATCACACGCGTGGATCCGGCCGTTATGAAGGGATGGAGGAGCGTCGCAACAAATCTAGCAGTTGAGTCACACACAAGGCACGCAGAGAGAAAAAGCAAATTCTGGAACAGCGCTCTACTCTTCCCTATAACACCCTCCCACCCTTTCACTCCTGCTCATAAGATCTCCAGTTTCCCGAGAAAAGAAACAGGCTACACCTACCGTCCAGTGTTTTGTTTTAGTAGCTTTGGTAGAGCAGCTGCTAATGGTTCAAGGGTAGGGATATCCATGATGGCCATATTCATTATGACGATATCGAATGGACCCTCCTATCCACGTAGAACGCGAAAACAACATTTCCGTTAGTTCAATATCGCCAGTTCAATCGAAAAGGGACGCGGTTGTTGGGATGGACATAGTAGGACAAATATCAGGAAAGAACATGTCCTACTTCCGCTATCTCCCTCGCTATGAATTTCTCAAAGTCTTCCGTTCTTGTTGCATCCAAAACCTGGTAAGATATTGAGTTGATATTTTCTCCATTAGTATACACGCCTCTGCGTCTCGCATGATCGGTCATGGCCCTGCTGCCGTCTGTCGCAATAACGCGAGCACCCTCGGACGCCAGCCAGCGCGCGACAAGCCCATTTCCTGTCGCAAGGTCCAACGCCCTGTCGCCAGGTTTCACAGCTGCCATGCGCTCGAGGGCGGGGAGCTCTACGACTCTGTAATAGTCGTTGCCTTCATCGCCCATTCCCTGGTCCCAGAAGCTGGCATTGTCCTCCCACGCTGCGAGCGCTTCTGCATTGATTGGGTTCGTCATGCTGCAGACAGTGTGTGGATTCCAGATGCTGGGAAAGTCAGGGCCTTGTAATTTGTAGTCTTATGTTTACCTGGTTTGGAGACGACAGAACGGAGTCGATGCTACACAAGGAGTTGGCATCGGGCTGTGTGAGTCGGCTCGGAAAAATTTCACTAGCTAGGCTAGTTATGATAGTAGTTAAACTAGAAGTAACGTTAGTCCGCTCCACGGCAATTGGCGAAGAGCAGCCGAAAAACATAGTTACCTGTTCAAACTCCGCCTTGTAATAATTCCGCCCATTTCTTCGGACTTGTTCTGTTGCTGAAGACATTGGTTCGCGATCTCAGAGATACCACGTGATTAATTTGCACTCCCGTTCAGGACTTCATAATTCCCACGATTCAATCCACGCACAGGTAACGGACAAGTAATTATTAAGGGACATTGAGCAGTATTATTCTCTATGACAAATTATGGACAGTTGCACCGCACGCCTCGCGAACGGCAGGGGGCCAAAGCTTGTACAAACTGCCATAATAAAAAGGTATGACCCAGTTGAGCAATGTATTGATTAAATTGTAGTTAAATGATATATCTAGATTCGTTGCGATTTACCGACTGCCAATGGAGCATGTTCGAATTGTCAGAGCCTAAATCAGGAATGCAAGTGGGTATATCCAAATAGTTATTTCTTCTACGAGCCGCTGATAGTGTAGACCACATATTCGAAAGAGGCGACGAAGAGTGGACTCTTCAGAGGGTCGTCGCATTGCACCCCAGAGAGCGCCTGTGGCGTCGTTGGCCTCTATATATCCTGCCAAATCACCCGCTCAAACAATGGAAACTCCATTAGTTGATTCTACCGATTCTTCTACCAAGCCACCCAAGCCAAAGGAATCGCGGGCAGCCAGCTATGCAAGTCCGCCGACGAGTTATCTTGGCAGAAGCGAGTATATTTCCAGCATTGTGCCCATTGATGAGGAAGATGCACGGAAATACCATGTCGAACATGACTCTGCTGCCCCTTCTGAAGCTTATCAAAAGTTCCTCCATGAACTTCGGGCTTTCGATCTTCCACCCCGTTCGGTGCGGGATAGCTTGATTACAAATTTCCTAGAAAGATGTCACCCCTGGATGCCCATAGTGGACAATATAGCTATAGATCGTGATGACACTCCTGAGACATCTCTGCTGCTTTTGCAAGCTATATTCGTTGCTGGAAGCAAAGTTTCTACAGCGCCAAACGCCCAATGTCTCGGGGAGGAGTTTTATCGCCGTGCCAAGGCTCTGTACTACTCTGATTTTGAAAAGGATCCGTTGGTAGTGATTCAAGCCATATGTCTCTTACAGTGGTGGAATCCCAGTGGTGCGGAACATATCTCACGGGATGCGAGCACGTTTTGGCTTCACATGGGTGTTGCTCTAGCTCATCAGATCGGGCTTCATCGTGACCCACCATCAAGTCAGCCGAATGCTGGTTTTCGTCGACGATTATGGTGGACGCTTTTTGTATGGCCTTCATTCAATATTTTGCGCTTGTATGTTGTTTTAGTTACTAATGTATGTTTTAGACCCGAGACTGCATGATATCAGCAAGCCATGGCCGCCCAAGAGCCATTTCAAAAAAGGACTTTGACGTTCGTCCTCCAACGTTGGAAGATTTCCCAGGTGACAAAGAAGATGCACGCCTCTTCATGACATATGTGGAAATATCAGCTATACTTGGGGACCTCACGGAGCACTCCTTCCGTGGGACTCTGGGACGTTCGAGTCGTACGTCTATTGAACATAGACTCTTCTGTTGGATGAGTGAGCTCCCAGCACAGTTTCACTTGCATGATCGAAGAACAGGTCGACTCTGTCCATATAATTTCAAAGCACGACAATTGCATATTCCCTATTTCACGGCGCTTTCAATATTATTTCGACCCACTGTTATGGATACTCCTCCCTCTGTTGCTCCGGTTTTGTCCTCTTCATTTGTCGTGGGAATTTATGAAGAGTTTCTAGCTCGAGGGGAGATACCCCTTCTTGCGCCTGTATTTATATTTCACCTGCTTGCCGCTGCTCTTGCCGAAGTAGCATGCCACAATTATCCTTTGCTTTGGGCCAAAACCGAAAAGGAGTTTAAAGTTATAAACCAAGCGTTGGACGAATTTTCACACAGATTCCCATCAGCACTTGGCGCCCAGAGGGTTGTCAAAGGCGTGACAGCAGCGGTTCAGAAACAGCAGTCTCAACGACCCTCCTTCGAGCTCTCCGTTTCAGAAAAACAGTTCCAATTTTTTGACTTTTTCGGGCCCGACCTTTGCTCGAAATGGGATCTTGTGTATGGACTCAGATACGATTCCCAGCGGAAGAACGAGATTTCTTACGATATGCTGCGTTATCCATCCGCCCCTGCCCGTATGTCAAACGATGCCAACGAGATCAATTTGAACACAAATGGCTTTACTGCCTCACGATCGTTTAACCTACAAGATCAAAAGAATTCCTCTTCCACCATTGCGCCTTCACCACAACCACTAGCCGGGAACGAATCCGGGTTTATAGCGGTCGAAGATTTACGACCATTGTCGACAGACCCGTCGGGCCTTCCGTTCTCAACTAGCAGTTTAATTGATCCAGTGGGGAACTGGATGCTGAACGATTGGATGACAGATTTGACATATTGGGATTCCATACCGAATGACCCGTAGCCGATTTTAATCTATACTTTAGGAAATACGCTCCTTTTTAATCCCACACCGGCCGCTGCGACAGCGAGGAATATACATATGGAAGGGTTCCATATTTGCTCTCGACAATAAATTCGCTCCACCTACCTAGGCCTCTGCCCTTGAGAGGTTGGCTATTTCGACTTAGACATTGGGGTCAATGGCCTCTTGGTTACGGTGCTCTCCACCATATATCGTCCTATGGCGAATGGACGATGATGTAGGATAAGGTGGTAACAGATCCGAAATAAATTTGGTAAGCTAGGCGTCCGTTTGCTCAACCACCTTTCTCCCAGCACCCCGACCCCTAATTTTTGTCCATTACTAACTTTGGCTGTGTTGCCTATATTAATAGATATACCCATAAATTCGCAGAAACCTTGGACAGAATTCTCCACTTTTACATTGACTACGGCTTTTCGCACTTTGTTCGCCAGTCCTTAGCCTGGCTACTGATGCTATCGCAACATGGCAGGAAGCTGGGATGGCAGCCATTTTTATTTCCCTGCCTTAGCAGTACATTTGTTACCGCCAGAAGATCCCAAAAGATCCACTAAGCCGAATGCTAGTATGTTGGCATCACGTAAAGGAGCGAATTTCAGTTGTCGCAGATCCCATCCTGCGCAATGAGGACCATACATATCCCGTGCCGTGTAATTCGCGTGTGGCAATATAAGGTGCTATAGGTTGGATGGATGCGGTTAAATGCCGCTTTCAACTTCCTAGGACTGCTTTGCACTCCTCGGAACGAAGTATATAATGATAATAGGTTCAGCCCCTTGAGTATCCGTGCTGCTTATTCTGCAAGAAGGCGCCCGTCGTATTTTGCATAGGCAGATTTCCAACATGTCTGGAACGCCTGAAAATATGAAAGAATATTTCATGGATAAGGCCTGAGTAGAAATATATATCATACGAACCTTACATGACACGGACCTGGGGAGGCAAAAGGGATTGCGCTAAAATTTAGTCGTCGATCCAATGTTAGCCCTGACTGACGACGACCAATTCATTTCACAATGTATCTCTATATTATTGATTTAGTGCTCTGTAGAGAATAGATATGTTTGTTGATTTTAGCGCCAAGACTCTCCCAGCTCAGCCGAGGTTATTTAAGCTCACGACCCTCGTCAAACTCCGGATATTTTGCTTGACAGAGCTATCCGGGGATTCCTTGGAAGTTCTCACCAGCAACTGTTAACCCCGTCTGTCTGTCAGCACTTTGGAGGTGTAGCTGGGGGTATGCATCATATACAACCAAACATTCCTGGCACTTAATAATGGCTTCTCCTGCCGAGTCCACGCCTCCGCCAGGCGCTCCGAAAACCGCCCATCCCATCATCCGCAACGCTCTGCGCGTATCCCTATCCGCATCGGAATACAAATCACTGCATGAGAAGGTCATAAGCCGGCTACCTCCTGCTGTCCAGAATCGAACCTTGGACCCTACCTCCTTCAGAGAAATAGTTAAATCCCAGAACAAATACAATGAGGCCGCTATCCGCGCCTCACTGCGCGTCATCCTGGTCACCGGGGCGGGCATGAAACTCTTTGCGTATATATCACAAAAGCTAGCAGAGAGAAAGGCTCCAAACGCCGCGTAAGCCTCTTACTATACTCAATTATAAGGAAGCTATATGAAAGTGAACTAATCCTTTGCCACAAACGACAGCAAACCTCCAAAAGTTCCCTTCCGCCATTCTCCCGCATTTCGACTTTCAGCTGCTCTATCCTTAACTCTCCTCTTACACCGTCTTTTGCGCCGATTTTTTCTCAGATTGCGCGCAAACCTGCGGACGGACGATGCACGTCCATTTCGTGAGCGTAACCCTCGAATTTCTCGCGCCTTGACATCGAAATATGCGCCCGCGATTGGTTCTAGTTTAGCGGGGTTTGCCCTGGGTGCTTTCCCGCAGAGCCAACTTCGTCTCACACTGGCAATTTACATGTCAACCCGGAGCTTGGAATTTTTGTTTAATGAACTAGACGCCCAAGGATGGTTCAAAGACCGGCCGTGGTGGTTTGGGAGCTGGCTGTTGATGCCAGTTTCCTTTGCCCAATTGTTCCATGCATTCATATTTGATCGGGATGCCGAGCCGAAGGTATGTTCCGAGGATTTGGATATCAACGCTCTTCCGATACGTGGACTGCGATAAGGCTGACTGTATTTTTCTAGTGGTTCGGTGACTTTATACTTAAATTTACCCCTGGTCACACCCACCCTCGACCAGGTAGCTACCCAGTGGACCGCCATTGGCCAGACCAATATGAGGCTGTAGACGCGCTAGCTAAAATCTCTGAGTTGAGATGGCCGTGAGTTCCTCCGTACATGCCCGCCAAATTAAAAGAACTTTAACTAACTCACATCCCCCATGATAGCGTCTTTACCTCCCCAATCCTCCACCCCTCAAACCCCAAAACCCTCCCAGACTCGCTCCAATCCATATCCGTCATAACCTCCCCCGCGCATCCCTCCATTGGTTCTCTCTCCTGTGCCCTCCTCCACCCCAAATCCCCCTCCTGCGTGACCGCCTCTCTCCATCAATACCTTCTTTCAATCCCCCTCCTCGCCCGCTTCCTCACAAAGGTATACCTAGCCCTCTCCCTCCTGAAATTCAAAGCCTTCCTCACCAGCCCGATCCTCGCCATAAACGGCCTCTGCACCAAAATCCTCTCTAGGACCGCCATCATCTCCACCTCCCTGGGAGCCGCCTGGGGTAGTGTGTGTCTATTCAATTCCTTCCTGCCCCGCTCACTGTTGCCCACACAGCGCTTCTACCTCAGTGGTGCCCTGGGTGGATTACCATTTGCCTTGGCGGGCCAGGGTAATCGGTCCCTGTTCCTCTATTTCTTCCGTCTAGCGGTTGACTCTGCCTGGAAGGTTGGGAAGAAGCGCGGGGTATGGCGCGGCTGGAAGGGAGGGGATCTATTCGTGTTTGTTGCGTCGTGGGCACTTATTGGGGCATTGTTGGAAAAGAACCCCAGTGCGGTTGATGGGGCGGGTTTGAGGAAGGCTTTTGCATGGTTAAGGGGAGATGGGTTTGTGGACCTTGTTGAGACCGCCGGTACTACGAAAAAGGTGAAGAAGGCTGCTGCTGCTGCTTCGGAGTAAATTGCGCGTATGATAGAAAATGTGGGTTCTGTTATATCATGCGTGACCGTTGTCTGCCAGCCTATGTTTTACTAATTTTCCCCTCCCCCCTCCCCTTTGACATATTAATACTAGCCTTTCTCCATTTTCTCACGATTTGAACCCTCTTTTTGTCTATATCTTTTATTCTTCCCTTTTCTCCCTTTCAAAAATGGAGGTTTGTATCTAATTTAGTTCTCCCTTTCTGTGTCGGCCGGATGCCCTATATGGCCACGTGACCCACACCCTATATCCATGGATAGGTTAGATTAGATGCAATCAACCAACCTTCCACCTCCATCATTTTGTCATTGCTAGTATACCCTTAAAACTTTTGTTTCTACATAACTTTAGGCCCTTCCAACGGCCTGTTTTCCTCGTTTCCCAGAGCTTCGCTGCAAGGGTAATCCCGGAAAGAGAAACGGTACATCTCAACATTCCCACCATGGCTTTCCCTTTGGGTTCCCTTTGGTAGCCTCCGAGCTAGATACAACCAGGATTTGTGAGCCAAAATATGCCGAACTCCTGTAAAATTTGCTGGATTTCATATGCTGCTGCATGGGTCGCTGGATGACGTCATTATGGCCTGCCTGTCAAACCCTCCGCACTGGCAAATATTCAACGCATCCCATCCTCACCCATCGGTCTATGGACTTGGAAGAAAAGGGGGTATCATTATCAGGCTAAGTACAGTCAACCATCGAACTCGACTCAATAAAATGGCAAATTGAAACAAATAGGTGATAGATCGCACACAAATCTATGATAAAGAAGCAGATACACATAGATACGCACGCACGTCGTAAGCCGCATTAGAGCAAAAGATCGGAATGTGAAAGGTAAAAAGGAAATTTCCAACCCGATATTACACATGCATCGTACTCACATATCTTGTATTCTAATGAAAAGAAAAGTAGAGAAAATAAAATATCACCAAAAACTACACCACCCAATGTAATGTTGACAGAGATTCTCCACACTCGTAGCTTGGACTAGTAATTTGTCCACCTGGTCTGAAACGTTCAACTCTTCTGTTGACTTGAAATCGCGTCCTGTCAACTTCTCCTTGACTCGCGAGAGGACCTGAAGCGCTCGTGCGTTCTGCACTTCCCGTGCCTCATTGGGCACACCCTGTTGCGCGTCAAGTATGCCGCCTTCAAGAATCGATGGACGTCGACGGGAGAAATTGCTAGGTTGCACGGAATGGTCTACGTTTATTTCGTCGACAATGGATTGGCGGCGGTCTGTGGGGAAGGATGGTCGGGTGGGTGATTCTCGAGCGCCTAGACGCCAGTTTATGAGGGGATCGTGAATGAACTAGAAATGCGCGTTAGCGAATTTAACATTGCTGGATGACTAAAAGTTGGAAGCAACCACAGCTTGCTACTCACCGCTTCCAATACGGCCATCAATGACTCCTTATTCTCTCGGATGACCCGCATTACAGCCTCGCAAGTGATGTGATAACTGCCTTCGATGTTGCTAACCTCCATAGCAAACGTGAGCATTCGGGTAAGACGGAAAGGAACGCGCTCAGGGTATTTTTCACGATGCATCGCGATTTCGAAGCAGTCGCCGAAATCAATATGCACGATCTTGCCGGTAATGCGATCAAGAAGAAGATTCGACGGGTGACGGTCACCTAGGCCGAGGATGTATCCAACCATGGACATAACACCCAGTGACCTAGTGTAGTTCGTTCGTCTCTCCAGCCAAGATTCAGAACTCTTGCTCTTGAGCCATAGGACACGGTATAGGTCTTTCCCGGTAGTGTTATCCATGGCATATCCAAATACCTCAACCTTCTGCATAAGGGTCAAGTTGTCATAGTCTGGAGCCATCTGGAGCATAATGCGATGCTCGATATTAACTAGAATACGTCTGCTCTCACGGTATTCTTTGATCAGAGCATGCAGTGTGTCGGTATTGCAAACCCAGCCAATTAACCCAGAGTTCTGCGACAGTGGAATGGCAGGGAAGCGTTGGATTGTGAGATGGCGTTTGAAACTTTCACTATCATGATCAAGGAGGGTGTTTACGAGTCCGAAAAGTTGCATTACACGCTCATCTTGCCGGATATCCTCGTGACCTTTGAGGACGTACATATATGAATTTCCGTCACTACCTTTCAGCGTCATTTTGCGGGGTCGTTTCTTGGTCTGCATCACAGTCGATACTGGATCGAAGCTCATAATTCTGATCACAGGTTTACCGCTCTGATATGTGCCAGGAACTGCCAAGTCGAGATCAACGGCGTCTTTAAGTTTAGGAGATACGTATTTCAGGTCTAGTGTCGACAGCTGAGGAAGTTGGCGAGCAATTTTCCGGAAGACAGTGTAGTATAGATCCCAGGCTTGGTTGAGATCACCTATAACTCGTGATTCGCGGTAAAGAATGCAAAAGTGCTTGGCTTCTGCAAGGTCACGACCGAATGCTTGAGCAAAGGAGACTTCTCGAAGCGTCTCAGCACCCTTATCAAGCATATCATGCAACGGCGCCAACGTGGCAAACATGCCTTCGACATTGTGATCTCCAAAGTATAATCGAGAAGCTTCCTCCAAACCCTCATGCCAAAGTTCGTGCCACAGGACAGCAACACGAATCAATTCATGACTGACAATCTCTGCTTGTTCAACCAGCCTTGGGCTGTGCTGCCTCATACTATCCATAATATGAGTAGCTGATTGCGATCGCCTAACAACGTTGGATTTCGTCGCCACGGTCAGAGGATAAACCAGGGCCTGTGGGTGGGCTTTTCCAACTTCAGCAAGTAATCGATGGACAGCTCCCCTCACCCGAGCATTCGGCTGATTGATACGTGCGATAAGTTGAGGGGTGACCTCGAGCCACGTATCGACGCTGACTGAAGAGAATCCTTCAGTTACCACGCCGCTAACTTCAGCGTCGCCACCATGGTTAAACCAAAGTGTGAGAAGCCTCAGGGTGTCTTGTAGTGAGCTGGTCGACGACAGTGAAATGGAGCGGAAAAATCCTCGAATGGCCGGTATGACATGCTCAAGGACAATATGATGGGGAACAAATGTTTCTCGGTTCGTCTGAGTACTCAATGCGTTCACAACCTCAAAATTTGTTAGCGCCCAGGCGTGCCAGGCTTTGTAGGAGTCAAGATTGTATTGGGTCGCCGCTGAATACGAGGTCAAGACATCGCGTACACCTTCCGAAGTCCAATCTCCCTTTTGTAGTGCCGTTTGCCACTCGCCCTGCTTCAAATAGCTTTTTGCGAGTAGCCGTCGAAACTTACCCACGTCACCGATATGTTGACGTGCGGTGGCCAGATCAGGATGGTCGGTAATGCCATTAACAAGGCCGGGTTTGTCTGAATTGGCATTTTCGCCATGCGCAATGAGAACAGAACTATACCGTGAAAATTCTTCAGTTAACCCAACGGTGAAGTCCCTTAACATTTGAAGTGCCTCTTTTTGGCGCCCAGCAGCCCAGTCATACTTGAGCCGAGCGTATATAACCTCTGGTGGTGTCGGCTGGTCGGATCCCTCGCCACTTTCCAAGGAGCTTAGAGAACGGTCCGCTAGACCCATGCGATTAGACTTGCGGCATAGGTTCGCAAACTTGATCCACATGTCCAAATTCTCGCGAGGCGATACGACTAAGGCCCTGACTTTAAGCATACGTTGCCATACCTCAACGTTTTGCTGGCAGCCTAGAAGCCGTTTATTCCATGTTTCTTTCATTGCCTCCTGCTTCTCAGGGTCGTTGGCGTTCTGCTTGTATGTGATGATTTCTTCAAGTTCTGCAAGCATTTGGACACGAACAACAACATTATAGGCACGGTTATAAGACTCTCCCAGCAATGCCGAAAGTTCCGTATCTAGGCCATTCCGCGCTTTTTCAATGAACATCGCCGCTTCATCAAATTGGTTGCGATGTATAGCAAGAATGGCGCCAAAGAATGATCGGTCCGGAGTTTGTTCTTTCATCACCCCAATATAGGAATCCATAAGCTCCCACTGGCCACGGCCCCAAGCCGCGCCCGCAGCTAGAGGCGCCATAGCCTTTCGATGCTCATTAGAGGCTTGATTCCATTTTTCCTGAGCAAGATCGGAAAGCATTTTCCATTCACCAAGCGCATGCAAGCACCGCATTTTTCCCATAGTGACATCAAATGAATCCGGATCGATAAGCTCGCGTCGCTTATACGCAGCTAGCGCTTCTTCCCAACGTTGTAGCTTGACGAACCACGTTTCTTTGAGCTCAACATCCCTATACGCCTGGGCTTTACGAAGGATACCAATAGCAGCATCTGATTGCTGAAGTTGATTATTGATGCTGATTAACGCTTCCACTGCGCCGGAATTTTGATCTTGTTCGAATTCCAATTCCTTATAATGAAGTGCTTTAGCAAAGGCATGGCATTTTCCGGCATACTTGCCCAGGGTTCTGATGTCGATATGCAGTGCCTTGTCGTCGTGTTCCATGAATTCTGCAAGGTTGAGAAGGATTTGTAGAATTTCTGGAGGAATATTCTGTGATGTAAGTGCCATGTCTATGGAACGAACAAGCTCTTCTTGGTACTGCCCATAAAGTTCCGTCCAGCAAGAGACAAACGCGGCATTGAAGAGATCTTTCGCAAGGGGCTGGTAAATTCCAGCCAAACTAGCACAGGCACGAAGCGCATGTGATGGGGACTCCTTTAGGAGCTCAACACTAAATCTTCGAATCCACTCTTGCCAGTCCTCCCGCGTCGATTTTTGAGACGCGTCCCATGCATTTTTCAAATGTTGTTGATTAACAAGGATTTTCTTTTGGCCGACATCCGCGAACGTAGAATCGTCACCAAGCGTCCCATAGTGTTCGTCGGGGTTCAGATCTTGAGGAAGCGGATCCCCTTTCTGCAGTTTTGAAACGAGAATTTGGTAATTGTGATGATTTATCTGATGCGTTTGAACAATCTTGTTCATGAGTTGGATGTAGTTATTGAAGTCCTGTCCCAGCTGGAATATAAGTGTGCAGATACAATCCAGTGCGGCCTGACGTAGGGTACGATCGCTACCCGCGACCACCCTTGATAGGGGATGTATCATAAGAGAAGCGAAATCGGATACGTTGACCTGGCGTGAGAGCTTTCCCAGAGTCTCAATAGCAGATTTTCGAATCCCCGGAGGCCCTTGGCTTTTGTCAAATAGACGAACAATGGCCGGAACGATCAAATGCATATACTCCTCCCCACTAGGCCCAAATATCAAAAATGTGTGTAGAATCCTTTCTGATGGTTGTCGTCTTGGTGTAGTATCCTTGTCTAGGGTGTCAAGCATAAGCGGAATCAAGCCAGCCAGGTACTTCTTGAATTCTCCTTCCAGCGACTTTGCGATTGCCTCGACAAGAGACAATATTGTTGCTTGGACCTGGTAAGAGCAATCCCAGAATTCACGAATAACCTCAATGATTTCTGGCAAAAAGGCTCGGATGTGTTGTCTAACAATGGTCACTAGGATTGCTAATTGGTTAAAGTAGGACTCAAGACGACTTGTGGGAGTGCTTCGGATGACGGCGAGGAAAGCAGGGATAATTTGCCCTAAGAATGGTACGCATTTCAAACCCAAGGTCTTGAATATGGTGACAATGGCATCGATGACAGCAGAGTGGTATTGGGAGAGAGAACTTTCGTTGAGAATGTTTTGAAGGAGGGTGTTGATCACCACAGTTGGATAATACTCCTCATTGGAGGGCGTGAGACCTTGCATAATAAGGGAAACGTCTGATACCGCCTGGACTTCATTGACATGATGGATATCAGGTGAAGATTCACTAATTTGCTGATGTTTATATGGATCCAAAGCGCCGAGAATACCAAGCAACTTTATGGTTTCCTTTCTCAGTGACCCGGTTTGCTCGGTTTTTATAATGTTAATTAGAACAGCTAGGAGGTTTGGATATTCAATATAAGGTTCGATGACATATCCTGCGTTACTCGCAAGTTGGCCCAACGTTCGTAACGCTGCTTCTCGCTTAGACTGGGATGATAAATCTTGAAGCGCTTCCAAGATAATAGGCATAAGCTGTGGTAAATATTGCCTCATATCCTCCCCACCCACTGTCGCAAGTTCGCCAATGGCTTTCAATGTCGTCGACGCGACTCCGGCATTTGGATCAGTTGTTTTTGGAAATAGAGCCGTCACCATGGGGTCAACATAGGATCGAACAAGTTTCGTGGCATTCGCAACAAACAAGCTGATCAGCTGTGCGCTTTCCTCCTTTTGGCGGGACGTGGTAGCAAAACTGAGTCCAGTCAACAAATTCACCAGCAGTTTTCGTAACGGCGGGAAAACGTAGGCAGGATTGACGCTAGAAAGTCGTCCGATAATACTAATCGCTGCTTCCCGAACAGCAAATACTTCATCGTTCACTGCAAGGAAGAGGCATCGAACATTCTCAGGTTTGGCCAAATGGCGGTCGAACTTTCGGTCTAGTGACTCCAGGACGATTCGTCGAATTTCCGGGTCTGGATCCCCCACGCCAACAGATAGAAGAGTATCTATAACTTCGCTGACAACTTGGATGGAGTGACTACTGGTTTGATTGATGATTGGATCGTGGACGAATAGTTGGCAACACGTTAACGCAGACGCTTTCCGAATTTCCGGATTGTCATTATTGACAAATGTGATAGCAACGTCGCGAACAAATTCGTTCAAAATATGTCCTATGAAAGTCAGACCAAAGTTAAAAGGAATTAAGGGGTATTGTGGTGGCTAGAACTAACCAGAGAAGTCAAAGCTGCCAAGCGTATGTAATGCAAGGGCTATTTCAGTATCAGTTGGTTCTTGCAGGAAAGTTCCGTAGTCCTTTGCAAACGAAGGCATTGGCGGTGGCCGATTTTCCGGGCAGCCAAGGGGTCGAAACGGGGAACCAGACAGGACTATGCTTAGCATATCAAGCAATTTTTCTTGGATCGTTGCCTTGATGGGAGGTATATAGTGCGCCATGTCCACCAAAGCCTGCGTGAGAGATTCGCTTAGCCCGCACGCGAATATTGGATCCAGTAAGGCCTCCATATATTTGCTAAGGGTTTGTCCAACGGCCAACGATAACATGCTGATGCACTCGAACATCGGACCTTCGTTGACCGCTGCGCGGTTGCGACTATAGGCATATTAGCGCGGAGCAAAACCACAGATGAACTAATTTTCTGGCTTACGCTTTCATTGTTAGGCCTTCCCGTATATAAACTATAATCCCATCAAGAAACTGCCCGATAGAGTTGCCCACCGCATTCGCGATTTTTCCAATGGCAATGAAAGCGGCGTTTCGCTCCTTATCCCGCTTTAACTGCGCTTGTAAGTATATCATAAATCTATGTAGATATACATTGGTAAACTCTAGAGGTGCGTAGGATGCTAGAATCGGGATGGTAAGGACGATCTGTGTTCGAATCTTCGGATCACGGTGATCTTTGAGGCGTAGTACTATTTCGCAGGTATTTCGATAATGCTCGTTCATGAACATGGCCCCTTTCAGGAGGAGCTCTTTCAAGGTGAGGAGCGAGCCATGAATCCAATCCACATTGCTGGACCTTAAGCCCTGCAAAGACTCCTCGTAAATCCGGCCAAACCATTGTTGACGGACCTGCACATCTCTAGCCGCCAGTATTTCGAAACATTCGCTTACTGCTTCGGCAGAGGTCTCCCGAATGAGAACCTTTGGATCTCGCAATGCTACCCAAATGAGCTCAAATATCTGTGGGACAAAGCCGTAAAGTAGGGTCGGGGAACCGTTTGCAAGCTCCCGGATGACTAGGACAGCTGCAAACCGTCTACTCTCTTGTCTTTCAGACTGTAACCATTCCAGGGCAGATTGGATTTCGCTTTCCACCAGCTCCGCAGTCAAAGCACCTCCAGGCTTGGCCAGACGACCCAGGGAGCGTGCTGCATATATTAAAACTGCGTTATCATTGCTACGTAGGGCACTTCGTAAGTAGCTTGCGAACCGGGTGGTTTTTTGAGCAGCATCCACGCCATCGAAATCGATCAACCTGTCGAGGGCGAGAAGCCCACCAATCTTCTCGTTTGCGTCATTTCCGGTAACAACGAGCTGGGCGATACGTTGAGAGACAACGTTGTAGTATTCGATGAATTTATCGGGAGGAAGCTCTAAAACATGGGGGAAATAAATCGTCAGCAAATCCCTCACCTTAGCTCACAGAGTTTGAGATTTAAAGAGTAAAGACGAGTGATATAACCTCTAGAAACAGCGACGACATTATCGTGGAGCTCGTATGATGCGCGGGAGCGGGTGTCTTCGTGCTTGGACTTCAGATCGTGGAAAATGCGCTGGGTCGCGTCAGTCCCCGAAGCTGCCTGCGCCATGATGGGGTATTGATTTGGAAACTGGCATGTGGCATCTGCCTCATGCAAGCAGGCTAAACATAGATACTCATCGAGGTATGCTGATATTTCCGCAGAAGTTGATATCTCTTGCAGTGAGTTGTGGTTGACGCTATTGTGCTATTTAGGCGGTATGTAATCGTGAGGCTCAAATCCCGTGACTGAGGATAAATACTTCCCGGCTCCACATCTGAACAGTGTACGGACTGTACCCTACTTACTGTAGGTCTGGACTGGACTAATTAATCTCTCATATGCAAAGATGCTTTGAAATTACTTTATATTAGGCTACCAAATAAAGTACAGCTTTCGTAGAATATTATCATAGGCCACCCTGCTAGAAGCCGAAGGGCGAAATTCTAGAATTCTATCCTACAAACTTGATCGATAACCAAATAGCGTAAAAGCGTTGTGGTCAGATCTCCCAGCTCATATTTTATAAAAGTAAAGTTTGGCACAGTGCATAAATTCCATGATTCACCTAGATCTACTTTAAATATGCATTTTGAGAAGGCTGTTCAAAGCTCTACAATGGTTTCGGTATACTTTGATATAACTCTGCGTTTATGGTTTACTATGTCAACCGTACGAAAATCTTCATTGGTGTCGAGTCCACTTTTTCCATGACGGTGGACTGACAACCTTCAACTGTCAGCGGGTTGCGAATGTGCTGAGGACAACAATGGCAGCCAGGCTATCTCCTACGGCGAATTTGTTTCGCAAATCTCGACTATTTGCGCTTCCCCCAACCCTCACTCCTCCAGCCCAAGCCGCATCCTCGAGCCAAATCGCCGAATCCGATACTGCAACCCTTCCTTATCCTATCCGCGCTGCAATTGTTACCCCAGATTCATCACTAGCAAGGGGCGATTGGGGCCTCAAGCGACCATTGCCAGCGAAGTCGACGATACAGAGTTCATCAACACCCGTTGTGCGGATCAATGCACTAGACACGTTTGAGCATGTCACCGATTTCGAATCCGCCGGAGACCATATCAAGACCCTGGCGAAATGGCAGGAACTCTCACTGCCAATATCGCTGCCTAAGAACAATGGAATTGCGATACAGGTCGGTGGGGGAAACCATGAGAGCGTTTTCGAAACCAAAATAGATAATACACACGAAACTCCCAACACACCAGCGCCAGATTCCAAGCGATTTAGGTTTGGTGGCCCGTGGGTAGCTGGTCTAACGGATATTGAATTCGATCGATACCTAGCATCCGTTCGCCGCCGAAAGCCAGAATTTATGAAGAAACTACGACAACTCGTTGCAGAGGGGAAACTGGCCGATGCGAGGCGCAAAGCCCGGGAGGGAGGAGAGAATCTCGACGATTTACAGAAGCCTCCAAGCATCAGCGAGAAGGAGTTCCAGACCGCTCTAAGAACTTTGAGAGCCGACCCTACAGCTTTGGGACCGATAATCTCCAAATTTTTGGACCTGCCTCCGCCTCCCCAGACCCCGAGCCACCGGATCCACCTCAGCAGTTGGAGCGCAGCGCCGTCTGAAGCATCGTCTGCAGAATATGGCCGCCGCGGCCCACCCAAGACTCATCCTTCGGCAGGTTTGTCTTATCTACGCACGGGCGCTCAAATTGTCAACCACCCCGTTGTTGGACCGCAAAAACATCCACGACCCGTTCCGGCACGAATTCTTCGACCAAAGCGCCGGCACAGAGGAAATGCTTACAAAGCTGTAGTTGGAGTGGGAGGTATCGTCACAGAGGACGTCAATGCTCATGCGTTTAGGGAGCACAATGGCCCCGGGGGAATCACTGAATTTGACCCCGATGTTCCTGGCGGTTCCAAGTACTGGGTCCACCCTGTGCGTGCCTCAGTGACATCAGAGGGCAAGATCTCTCTTGCAATCGATAGAGCATCGGACGCCGCCAAAGCGCTTCATGGCGGTCTCCCTGAAGCAGAGCCACTGCCGGACTATGTCCGTGGCACCCAACGAACGTTCGACGACTTGGTCACAAAAAGACCTGTGAATCGGGCCATGGCGGGTGCGGGGACAAATAGTAGCCCACAAGACATACTAAACCTTCTCAAGGAGTCGAAAGAGTCAAACCCGGATTCCTCGTGAGATAACATTCTAGACTGTACAGTACACCCTAAACGTTGGAAGTTGTTATTTAGATTTAGCAACATCTGAAACACATTTTTCAGCCACCTTCTGCAGATTACTTTGCAATCGGAGTTACTTTCTTTCCCTATCTCTACGTATTCCGTATATATTATTTATTTTCATTATTTATCGCATTTACTGTAAACTCTACAAATCTTCTAGGTGTGTGAAGACGTAAGTTTCACATCACGTGATGTAGGGCACACAACGAAGCGAAATCTCCGCCAAAACGACATCACGAAATCCACACCTCCATCAATCTTTCTTTCCTCCTCGTCCCGCCCGCAACTTTCGAATCCCAACCAGCACACCAAAAACCGCCAAAATGGGTCGCGTCCGCACTAAGGTAAGAGAATCACAAAGTCCTCCAATTCCTGCTATAACGGAATTCCTAGATTGCTAACTGCAACGCCAACAGACCGTCAAGAAGTCCGCCAAGGTCATCATTGAGCGGTACTATCCCAAGCTCACTCTAGACTTCGAGACCAACAAGCGCATTTGCGATGAGATCGCTATTATTGCCTCCAAGCGTCTGCGCAACAAGGTGCGCTCCAATATTCCGCCACGGACAGGAACTAAGATATGACTTGACGATTGGTGAATTCTAATATTTCGAAATAGATTGCCGGCTACACCACCCACTTGATGAAGCGTATCCAGCGCGGCCCTGTCCGTGGTATCTCCTTCAAGCTGCAGGAGGAGGAGCGTGAGCGCAAGGATCAATACGTCCCCGAGATCTCGGCTTTGGACGTCTCGCAGACCGAGAGCGGACAGCTGGATGTTGATGCTGATACCAAGGACCTGCTCAAGAGCCTCGGTGTAAGTTTTCAATGCGCCTTGAAAAATGAAAATTGCAGGTTGTTCTCTAACTGTTTCCTTCTCTCGTTTCGTTTAGTTTGATGCCCTCAAGGTCAACGTCGTCCCAGTCAGCCAGCAGACGAGCGATAACCGCCCTCGTCGCTATGGCGGTGGCCGTTAAATTCCCTCCGTTTCTATGAAAAAAATTGGTTGTTAAAAAGGTTTTCATCTTAAGGTCGCATGCAATGATGGAATGAAAGGCGTTTTTCCCCCTCGTTTTATTCCCCATTTTTTTAGGGCGGGAACTGGACGGATTGAAAACAGGAAAGAAAAAGGGCCGCTGTGATCGACTGTCCCGCATTGGAGTCATCGTGCGACGCCCTCCTCTTTTTACGCCCTCCTCTTTTTACTTTCAGTTTTTTTTATTGCAGGTTAACTCACGACAAACCGGACAAGAATATAAAGGGTATTTATCTCAAGACAAGGTGTCGCTGATTCCTCACGGATGATGCTTGATTGCCAAAATTGTTCTTTTGTTTGCTTTTTCAAGTTTACCTCAACACCTTTTAAGAGGCGAGGCTGCTTGGAGTGACGCTCCTTGAAAATTTAGCCTCACCATTGCCTCAGTGCTCTTGAGGTATGGTATAGATAATATTTATTTTGGAATGGACGAAAAACGGTAGGTCCTAGATCAATTGCTAGTTCGATTGATATATACTTGACTCAAAAACTTGCGGATGTAGATGTTATCATTGTTCGAATAAAAAACCTTGGTAAACTCCTTTTATCCCCTCCTGCAGAACCCGTTATAGTGCACGCCGGATATGGCACCGCCTTTGGACGCACGCCTCAACGCGAAACAACATTAAATACGTTAAATAGTAGGGAGGATATCATCATCTTCGTCGTCGTCGTCGTCGTCGTCGTCGTTTGGCGCATGTTGCCTTGCGGTACCAAGTTGCTTCGTTGGCTCAAAGCCTTCAATCGAGCCACCACATAAATCTTCCGCGTGCAACGATGGAGGTTGAACCATGGCTGCTTTAGTGCTTGTGCCCTGCTGTTTCTCCAAGATATTCACACCAACCCGTCCTGCAGCCAACCCGCGGTGGTTCGTAGCGCTATCTCCTCTTTCAATAGCAAGCGCGGCCTGGCCAGCCTCCCGATCATCACGAACAGCCAACTGCCCCATCCCATCCACAATCGCCTCAGGTTCCAAGCTCTTATCACTAATCACCAGCCGGCGCATAGCCTCTTCGACATCACTCGCCCCCTTTACCTGCTCTTCCTGCACAACCTCCCCCCCGATTTCACCCTCCTTCCCCTTCATCCTATTCCTCTCCTTCCTGGCCCTCCCTTCCTCCAGTAGTAAAATCTGCTCCGCCTGCGCTTGTCCCGTCCCAACAGAGCTCCTCTCCCACGCCGGCTGGTCAATCAGCTGCACACGAATATACATGGCGCGCTCCGCACACTCGTCTGAACACCATTTCTCAATCTGCTCCTTCGGTACAACCTTCATTTCCTTCCCGCGCCCGCCAGGCCCACTCCCTTTCTTCCCCCATACAATCCTGAACTTCGCCCTAGGGTCTTCCTTCCTATGTTCATTGGCGCAGAGTACGTAGCCGCAGCGGCCGTCAATGTTCCTTTCCAGGATTAGATTGTCGTAGTCCGATGGCTGGAATGGGATGAGGGCTTCTTTAAAGGCTTGGACGTCTGCGGGAAGAGGGGAAGAGGCTTGGGCAATGGGGGAACTAGGGAAGGAGAGGAGTTCCTCGATGCGGGCGAGGATTAGGGCCTCTGTGTCCTTGCGGGCTTGTATTTGGTGGGCGTGGTGGAGGGCTATGGCTAGATGGCGGGGATCAGGGGCTGGTTTGCGTTGTTTGGTCACAGCTTTTGGTCTGGAGGTGGCGGCGGCGGTAGTTGTGCGGGAGGGGTTTGTGTTTGGGGGCGGGGGCGGGGGCGGGGTTTCTTTGGTGAAAGCTGCATGGATTGCAGGTAGTGAGGATTTCATGGTGGGTGGCCCTTGAGGTGCGGGATTGTTGGACATTCTGGCGGTGTTACTGTAGCGTAAATGCACCTGGGAGGCAGAAGGGGATCACCTGGACGCGAAGCCAGGGGACTTATTTCGTCCCCTTTTCCTCTTCCCTTCCCTCCTCTTCTCGTCTCCTTCTAGACACCCGATGAGACGACAGCGGGAAGGAGAAGACTAATTAATAGAAGCAATTTTTTTACCCCGCTGGAAGAGGCTAGAAGTTTAGTTCGGCAGCAACCCGATAGCAGCCAAACAGTAGTTGGATATCAGAAAATATTCGAGTTTCACACTTGGAGGGAGAAGTGAACTGCAGCTGCTGTTTCAGAAGCCTAGGGCCAAATGAATTGGCGTTGAACACGGATAGATATTCTCTTTTAACTCACATCAGCAGAAGAGGAGTGATATCAAACCCAGTCTTTCAATCCAACCAGTGGTTTGGGTCTCATACGTCGCGGTTGATGGTGGAAGTGGCGTAGGCGGCGACATCTAGTTCACACCTAAATGAGCCGCACCAGCCACAGCTTACAAACTGTTTCCTCCACCATCATTCATACCAACGACAAACCATCACGACCAACTATTTGCTATCTGAACCAAGTGGGCTGTTGACACTCCCGCTGTTCTGCAAATCAACCTCCATTCCTACGTTCCTTTATATCCTCTAACATTGAATGTTTTTGGCGTAATAAATCTCTCCTGTCCCGTAAATCCTCGGTTCCATATCTCAACTATCCTGGTGAGACTTCCCCACTTGTTCCTATTGAATACTCCGGATCAGGAGTGTTAGCTGCCGGACAACCCCTGTTTTGGCTGCTGACGTGGTTTAGGTCTATGAACTTCTACGGTTTCAGCCTCTACTGGCATATCCTGCGCAACGAAGGAGCCTTAATAAACTAATTTGTCTGCTGCGAAAACTCAATTTGGCGGTCTGTTGTTGTTGCTGTTGTCGCTGTCGTCTTCAGCCCTGGAGTCAGAGAGGGTCACAACCAAAGCCGCAACCCCCGCCAACCCCCTAATTACTCTGCGCATCCAGCGAGAAACCTAACTTAGACCCCGCGTTCTACCCGTTCTATTAATTCGGCTCCAGTATAATTTCTGCGAGGTGAATGCAACCGTCCAACCAAATGTCGGGCGTTCCGTTCACAGTCAGGGCGGTGTTTGAATACACCTCCGAGCACGAGGATGATCTTAACTTTTCGGTCGACCAGATCATCAAGGTAACCGCGGAGGAGGATGATGACTGGTACTTTGGAGAATATGTGGATGAGTCGGGCTCCAAGAAAGAAGGCATTTTCCCTCGGAATTTCGTCGAAAGATACGAACCCCCCGCACCCCCTCGACCGACGAGACCTTCGAGGTCAAGGAAGGAGCCTGAACTTCCTGCTGCTGCTACTGCTCCTCCAGTGGACCCAACTCTCGCCACTGCCCCTGCACCAATGTCTCCGAAGATTGTAAATGAACGCGCTGAACCAGAACATGAGCAAGTACCAGCAATGCCACAGGCAGCAGCAGAACCTCAGCTACCACCAGCGCCACAACCCGTTGAGGCTGCTCAAGCGACCGCTGCAGCGCCAGTTGCACCCCCTTCCCCGAAACCCGTCGAAGCGCAACAACCCGTGCAAAAGCCAGCGTCAAAAGCTCCGCCTCCGGCAGTAGCGGAAAAACCTACGGGCTCCTCATTTAAAGACCGTATCGCGGCATTTAACAAACCTGCAGCCCCTCCAATTACTCCATTCGACCCGAATAAGCCTCCTTCCTCCTCCTCGTTTATCAAGAAACCGTTTATTGCTCCTCCTCCGAGCAGAAATGCTTATGTACCACCGCCTATGGAGCAGCCACAGAAGATATATAGGCGAGAAGAAGACCCCGATATTGTGGAGCGCACCAGCCATGATAGGCCCGTGCCGGAGCGCCCCATTATATCTGCAGATCCTGAGGAGACAGAAGACCAGCCCAAGCCTACGAGTTTGAAAGAGAGAATTGCATTACTACAAAAGCAGCAGCTTGAGCAGGCGGCACGTCATGCAGAAGCTGCTCAGAAGAAGGAGAGGCCCAAGAAGCCTCCAAAGAAGCGCATGGAGTCTCAAGAGCGGACGGAACAAATTGGCGCTGTTCATGGCGCTGAGCTAGAAAGGATCGAAACTTCCGAAACCGCCAAGGATTCCAATGCCGCGGCTTCCATCCATGAAGGTCCCGAATCACCTGGGCGCGCCCGCTCTCCTACGCAGCCCTCCAGGGAGCTCACAAGTGATACCAACGATGCAGACTATTCCGGCGCTGGGGATACTGAAGAGGCTGATGAAGCTTCCACCGGAAGGGAAGACACCGACGACCAACATCGCGAGTTGAGGAAAAAGCAAGCGTCGGATTCTAAACAGGCTTTAGACGGTGAGGATGAGATTGAGGAGGAACCAGATGACGAGGAGGAAGAGGAAATAGACCCCGAAATTCGACGGCGCATGGAAATTCGTGAACGGATGGCTAAAATGAGTGGCGGTATGGGCATGATGGGGATGTTTGGTCCTCCGGGAGGACTCCCACCGGCCGGCGGATTCCGAAAGTCAAAACCGCCTGCAGCTGATTCCGAGCGGAAATCGTCTGAGGACCATCGACATTCTTCATCTGCCATGCATGCACCTCCCGTCCCTTTAATGGGCTTGCCAGGAATGTATGCTAAGAAACCCGCTGAGCCAGCGCCAGAAGTGGGCGAAGACGAGGGCCAGGAGGTTCAGCCAACTCCTGATCCGAGATCTACGGAGCCACCTGTCGAAGAGCCACCCAAACCCCCGACCGAGCTCCCACCAGCGCCTACAGAGCGGGCGGTAGCACCACTTCCACCCCAAGGTATATATAAATATCTCCAGTCTAAGTAGTTTGATAACCTGAAATATCGTCCAATTTTAACCTTTTATGTAGACCAACCCGCGTCCTCACCTCCACCAAAACTCGCAAGGCCCTTTCCACCACCAATTCCGAAGGAGCTTCCGGCTCCCCCTATCCCCACAGATTGTAAGTTATCCGCCTGAGTTCTCCACTACCTCCTAATACTAATACAATTTCTGAAGCTCGCCCATCGACGTTGCCATCGAGACCTATTGCCTCACCAAGCCTTGGTAGTGAATCCGATGACGAACTCTCTGCCCCTCAAGGTCCTGGACAGCAGCCTTCAGATTCCTTGGACCTTTCGGACCGGAATGGGGCGCCGCAGTCGCCCAGACAATCGTTCAGCCCTGAGCCATCCGGTAGTTTAAAGTCGCCTACTATGAGTGCTGAAAAACGTGCCAGCCGTGGCCCCCCACCAATACCCCTTGCCAGTCCTCCTTTACCTTCGCCTAGCCACACTCGTCCGCCACCCCCTCCTCCGCCCATGCCTGGCCGTAGGTCTACCAATGACAGTAAAATGAACGCCTCCACTCCAACCGCTATGTCCGGGGGGGACAACAGCGAGGAAGAAGTTACCGAGTATGATGGGGACTATGACACGGACATTGCATCCGGGGTAAAGCACAAAGATGCGTTGAAGGCACATGTGCGTGAGTCAAGTTTTGATGAAGATACCATAACAGATGAGTTCTCTGCGCAGTCTCCCAGGAGCCCACAGGACATGCGGCCTCCTCCTCTTCCCCCCACTGCCGCCCCTCGTGCAGTTCCTCCCCCACCACCCACTCAGCCACCGAAACACGCGCGAAAATCCGCAGACATGCCTAGAGGCCCACCTCCGCCAGTGCCTCCCTTAAAGGATCAAACTGGAAACGCAGCGGATGATAGTGAAGACTACGACCCATTCCGCTATAGTGCCCGTTCACCCGTACCTCCTAGCGGACTCCCCAGCTTACCCTCTAGTGCACCGCGAGTCGAACTAAACCTGCCACTGCGAAACCCCCCTCCTGAGGATGAAGATGATGATCTCTATTCAGCCTCGCTCCCCCGACCGTTTCAACAGCAGCCACAGCCACTCTCTACTGAGAGGGCGGCTCCTGGAGCTCCCCCATCGTGGAACCCACCGAGGCAGTCTATGGATGCTCCCAGGTCTGCGCCAAATGCTCGCAGATCAATGGACGTTTCGCGCCCCACTGGAGACCAAGGATATATCGCAAGCGACGTGGACTTGGGCGCCAGCTCACTCTGGTGGACACAGCCTAACTTACCACCTCCAGCCTTCCAGAAACGGCGCGACGTCCATTTCGAGATAGACCAATCCACCCCGACCAACCGCGGCGGTGACACCACCGTCTCCAAGGCCGTCTATATCCTCTTCATGGATTACTCACAAACCATCGTAACCGTCCAATTCGATTCTAAAAACCCCATCGACGCCATCCTCGAGCAACGTCACGAACCTCCTCCCCAGCGCCTGCGCCAAGACCAGCTCGAAAGCGCCCACGAGCAATTCGGCACTCGCATCTCCGACGCTGTCACTGCAAAGCAAAACAGTATAGTGGGAGACGGCACGCCGCACGGCCTCGTCCTATCACTCCTAACCCCTCTCTCCGACGCGCTACCGCCAATCGGCACGCGCGCCTACGGCTCCCTTGTCTATGCTAATCTAGCCAACGCGTCTGTGCAGCAGGTCGATGAGATTCGCGCGGGCGATATTGTCACGTTCCGGAACGCGCGGTTCCAAGGCCATCGCGGAACGATGCATCAGAAGTACAGTGCTGAAGTGGGTAAGCCGGACCATGTGGGTATTGTTGTCGATTGGGATGGGACGAAGAAGAAGATCCGGGCGTGGGAGCAGGGGAGGGAAAGTAAGAAGGTTAAGATGGAGAGTTTTAAGTTGGGAGATTTGAAGAGTGGGGAGTGTCGGGTTTGGAGGATTATGCCGCGGAGTTGGGTTGGGTGGGACGGCTTGCACTGAGTGGATGAGCTTTTGTGTGTTTGTGTTTTGTGAGTGGGTAAAGGGGTGTGACAAGAACCTTATCAGGGGAAGCAGGAGGGATGGTATAAAGGAACGAACCCTTTTATTGTTTATTGTCTTATGATGAATGCTCCTTCATATTCCCCTATTTTTTTACCCTTTGAAATGTGCATACGCCTTTTTTTTATTTATTTATTTTGTGCTGCTTTCTTCCCCCGTCTTTGCATGAAATATAACGTTCCTAGATGAGCTGGGTTCGGCCGATTAGGCGCTGCTTTAACGTAGTATACATATAGCGACTGCAGTAGTCAAGAATGAGATGTTATCACTTGCCGTCGTTGGAGGTGGATGTGAAGCGGGCGTCGCACCCCCCCCCTTTTTTTTTTGGCCTGTAATTTATGATTTTGTCCCTTGGATCACTATTCATATTGGCCTGATTAATATTCGGCGTTCAATTTACCATATTTATGGGATATATTTTCTTCTTCTCCATTTTTTCTTTTTTTTTTTTTTTTTTTTTTTTTTTTTTTCCCGGAGGAATTGCGATGAGTGGACGAATTTTCTATTATACATATATTCGAACCCTCTCCGTCGCTCTGCCTCCCATTTTCACTCATTCTTTTTCTGCTCATCAGCTACGCGAAAGAAAAGAACATGTCGCCCTGCTCCTGATAGTTTTTCGCATATAATTAGATGGTACCTCCAGCCTTCGATCACCAAATGCTCCCCGCAAAACGGCTCTGCCCACCCCCGCATGACCACGGCGGCCTGGAGTGACATAGGGACGAAAATATCTTTTGACATATTTCCTGGCCGTAACACAGGGTTGAAATACAGATATCTCAGCTCAGACTTAAAACAGCTGTGATTGTTGCTATGCAAAGAAGCGCACCGACGCCCATTCGTCATGTATAATGCATATAAATATGCATTCGACCCATCGGGCACTACAGACTGCCGTCCGTAGCTTGTCTTCCCATGTTGCGAGTTCGGTCCGAATCATCGCTCTATGTTTTCGCCCCTCATCCTCAAGTCTGTTTAGTCACTCCTGTGCGCTTCTTACGAGTTACTGGATCTGGACCCCGACACCAAGCGCGATGCTAGGTGCCTCGGGCTAATGGCATGTTTTCCGACCTCACATCTCAGGATGCTCTATTATTATACTCCTGTATGAGCTGCTTGGAGTTTGCCATCCATGACTATGATCCAAGCTAGCCTATGTCTGACCTCGGGGTTAATTTTTAACCCACACACTACAGAATAACCAGAGCGAGAGGGGGAAAGGCCTTCACATTTCCCAACATGCACATGTTTTGAGAAATTTTAGCATTGGTACTATACAACTGATATCCTGCAGTGTTGATGGCCAAGCAAACTCGTTTGAGCGAAGAGAACAAACCGCCCTCTCAGGAGACAGCAGGGCTTGCCATTGATGTTGAGCCGGCACCGAATCTATCCCCTATTTCGGATTCTGAGAAGAGCCATCACCATGACCCAGAGAAGGGCAGAGTCATTACGTACCTGAAAACTCGTAAAGCGGCCCGCCAAGATACGAAAAATGTCAATCCCGTTTTGCAAGATACAACAGCGGTAGTAGTAGCAGCAGCAGCAGCAGAAGCTCCCAAAAGACCAAAACTCCGCTTCCCCAATCCCATCAAGTCCCTTATAATCCTCCGCGAAAAGGACACCCTAATCGCCCTCATAGCGAATGCCATAATGTTCGCTGCCTTCTACGCCATGAACGCCGCCATCACCTTCCTCTTCCACGACATCTACGGCTACAACAACTTCCAAATTGGTCTCTGTTACATTCCCATTGGTGCCGGGGTGTGCATAGGCTCCATCGCCAACGGCTTCATCCTCGACTATAACTACCGCCGCATTTCCAAGAAACTCGGCATCCCCACCGTCCGCAACACGCACCAAGACCTCCGCTATTTCCCTATCGAGCGTGCACGGCTGCAAATCGTGTTCTCGCTGGTGTTCGTGAGCGCCTTCGCCATTGTGAGCTTTGGATGGGTTCTGCATTTCCGCGTCCCGATTGCTGCGCCGCTAGTGCTTCTTTGCATATCTGGGGCTGCCCTTACGAGTGCTGTAAATACGGTAAGTACGCTCATCGTGGATCTGCACCCGGGTAGGGCAGCTACAGTAACGGCATCGAATAATTTGGTCCGCTGCTTGTTTGGGGCCGGTGCCACGGGGGATATTTCTCCCATGATTCATGGGCTGGGAGTCAGGTGGTGTTTTACCCTTATTGCTTTTATCATGGCGGCCACATCCCCTGTCATGCTCGTCGTGATACGCTTTGGGCCAAAGTGGAGGGAAGAGGGGCGCCTTAAGGCCGAGGCGCGATCAGAACAATATGATTCAGGTTGCCGAGGGAATGGAGAGTCGGCTAAAAAGGTATTGGTAACGTGTATATGACGTTAGGGGGCTCATCGTTTCAGGATATTGATATATCGGCGCAGCGTGAGTGGGGGCAAATGGTTTCGGACGAGAGAAATCTGTTCCAACGACGAAATGACCAGAACATGAGTAATGTGTAGAATTAGATAATTATGAAAATATCTAGTGACATTTAATAAAGCTATTTCCAAACATATACTGTACATATTCTCATTTAAAGGCAAAATATGCTCGTTCCAAAGGTTGGCGCTCTGTCTCCCACGCTAGCCAGTCTGATCTCGTAGTCCTAAAGGCAAATTCATATTAACGTTTATTCGATACCCACAAAGGTATAAGGGTAGAAAGAAGAATAAGGCATGGGGAAAAAAGAAATAAGATAAGAATAAAAAATGGTAAACTCACGGCAATAACCCCATTGCATTAACCTTCCACACCCCGAGCGCCAGCAAAACACACTGCATCAGCACATACACAGCCTTAACCCCTAGCATCTGCCCCCTAGTACTCTCCGTCTCAAACTTCACAAAAGCGCTGTTCGTATTCAGTAGACCCTGGATGGGCCCCTTGAACAGCATGAACACCATCATGATGCTGAATATCTGCAGGCTGTTGCCGGACATATACATCATGATTGCGTTCATGGGCAGTTGCTTTGTGGGCGCCAGGGCGAGTTCCCAGGCCTTTTTTAATTTTAGCGCGTCGGTTTCGGCGGCTTTGCGGAGGGCGGCGGCGGTGGTGGTGGATTGTTGTTGGTGTTGTGGGGAAGTTCGCTGCTGGGAGGGAGGATGGGGTCAGCTTGCGGGTTTCTTGACGCGGGTTTTTTCCCTTCTTTTTTCCTTCTGGCTTTTATTTGGCTTGAAAAGAGGGTACATACCTGCTTTGTAATGGGTTTGCTGGCGGAATAGCCCGGTGGATCAGGGATATTGGTTGATTTCAGGGGTCGCGGAGGTGTAGCAGCGTTCATTTCGATGGCCCATCGCGGTGGAGGGGGAGGTGACGGGGTGGCTTCTGGAGCCATTTTTCTGGACAAAATTTATTTCTCTTTCGCTTTTTAAAGTAGCTGAAGGGGATGGCTCTGTGCTGGACGGTGTGCTGGTAAGTTTGGAGGAGGGGTTGCAGTAAATGTTTCGTTGAGTTGTAAGTTGAGAGGTTGGAAGGTCGGGAGGTTGTAGCTTGAGGCCGTCGTCGTCGATTCATTTCTCCGAAGCGGAAGGCGGCTTATTCTTCAGAGACACAGCTCAACCTCCAACTTCTGAACAACATCCTAACAACTTCCTGACAACCTCAACCGCACTATACAACACTCCTCTAACCTCACCGTGCGATATTCCTACGTTTACGTGTCCTTCTGCCTCGAATTGGCCCCCTCGATATTCAGATACGGTCATGGTTGGGAAATGGGCACCCTGATCACTGCCCTGCCTACTCCCACCAACAGAAGGCGTTCCATGTGATAGCGTCGCCCAGAAGCCACCCTAGACACCTTTGGACCGGACGAAAGAGCAGGCTTTGGGATTAATAACTAAGTCAAGATGAGTTCGAGCGGGGGAGATGCGAGGCTGTTTGCAAGGGTATGTTCTGCCTGCTGTCTCCTGACTTGTATCACAAGTATCCATTTCTGTGGCCCGCAAATGAATCAATACGTACCTGTATAAACGGGCTATGATCGTCCCTTAACTCAGAGATTCTTGTACCGCTTGTTGAGTGCGCCATCATCGCTTCTGCCCCAAAGTTTGCGTTTGGTCGTCGATACGGCGCCCCGCTCCATCATATACTATTCATAAGCACTGTCTCTTGCACGTTATTCTACCCCCTTTGTTATAGTTCCTTGGAAATCCAATCGCCGGGAGTTTTATCTTACAACTCGCGTCCAAATGGTTGCCTTTCCTCCTCTATATGTATCCTCGGGCTCACTCACCACTCATCGTTTGCAGGGCAAAGTCGCGGAGCTCCGTCAGGAGCTCAACAGCGGCGGCAAGAAGGATCGAAACCACTCTGCGAAGAAGATTACGTTGAAGAAGATCGTCGCCAATATGACTATGAGCAATAATGATATGGTTGCGCTTTTCCCCGACGTGATTGGCTGTATGAATATTCCGAGCTTGGAGATTAAGAAAATGTAGGGCGGATCACCGAAACCTGACGCGGGGGAGGATCTGATGGGACGCAACGAAACTGATATTGTGGAAATAGGTGCTTTTTATTTCTCGTCAACTACGCCAAGTCGAAGCCGGATGTAGCTCTTAATGCTCTACCAATTCTAATCAATGTATGGATACCGAGACTGAGAGTTTATACACCTGTTGGAGATACACACTGACTGGAGCCCTGTAGGACATGGAGGATTCGAATCCCCTCGTGCGGGCGCTTGCCTTGCGGACAGTATCTTATATTCATGTCCCCAAGTTTGTTGAAGCGACGCTCCAGCCGCTTAAATTCCTATTGGGGGACGACGACCCCTATGTTAGAAAGACTGCTGCTTTTTGTGTTGCAAAACTATACGACCATGACCCGAGGCTCGTGGAGAAGTCCGACTTGATCTATCGACTGAATGAAATGCTCAAGGATGATAATCCCACTGTCGTATCGAGTGCTCTAGCTGCACTCACTGACTTGTGGGAACGAAGCGAGTCTATTCAGCTTACGATTGATTATAAGAGTGCATCTAAAATAATTTCCATCTTGCCAGATTGTTCCGAGTATGTACTCTATCACTCTGAGAAGTGAGTTTCTGATACATCAGTGCTAACAACATCAGATGGGGCCAAACATACGTGCTGGAAGCATTAATGTCTTACGTGCCGCAGGAATCAGCAGAAGCGCTTCTCTTGGCCGAACGAATCGCACCCCGTCTATCGCATTCCAATTCAGCCGTTGTACTGACCTCTATCCGGGTTATCCTTTATTTGATGAATTATATATCAGACCAGAAGCAGATTACCTCCCTTTCACGAAAGCTTTCTCCACCCCTGGTAACCCTTTTATCCAAAGGGCCAGAGGTTCAGTATCTCGCACTACGAAATGCCATCTTGATATTACAGCGGCGACCTGAAGTATTGCGAAACGATATCCGCGTGTTCTTTTGTAAATATAATGACCCGATTTATGTCAAAGTGACAAAATTAGAGTTAATCTTCATGCTGGCGACAAAAGATAACATTTCGGTGGTTTTAACTGAGCTGAAAGAGTAAGCAATGCCCCGTCCGAACATTATCGGCTACTTTACACTGCTGACTTCAATAGATATGCCACCGAGATCGATGTCCATTTCGTTCGCAAAGCCGTGCGTGCGATTGGTAAATTGGCAATCAAGATTGAATCAGCCGCGAGGCAATGTATTGAAACGCTAATCGATTTGGTGAATGCTAAAATCCCATATATCGTTCAGGAGGCCACCGTAGTCATCCGAAATATATTTCGAAAATACCCGAATCAGTACGAAGGGATTATTGGCACTGTTATCCAAAACATTGATGAGCTGGACGAGCCAGAAGCCAAAGCTGCAGTTATCTGGATTATTGGCCAATATGCTGACCGTATTGAAAACTCAGACGGCTTCCTCCAGGACTATCTCGCAACTTTCCACGACGAAACCGTCGAGGTCCAACTTGCCCTCCTCACCGCTACTGTCAAACTCTTCATCCAGCGCCCGACAAAAGGCCAACAGCTTGTCCCTCAGGTCCTGAAATGGTGCACAGAAGAAACCGATGACCCAGACCTCCGCGATCGCGGCTACATGTACTGGCGACTCCTCTCCACAGACCCCAATGCTGCACGTGCCATCGTAATGGGCGAGAAACCCCCCATAACCGCCGAGAGCGAAAAGCTGAACCCTGCCACTCTCGAAGAGTTATGTCTCAACGTCGGAACACTCGCAACCGTCTACCTAAAACCCGTCCAACATGTTTTCCGCAACGCGAGACCCAGACGCCTAGCTCCCAGTCCGGCGCTGCAAAGCCCACCACCAGACAAGCCTAGAGGCCTCCCTCTGACCCTCCAAGAGCACCATAATATTCCATCCAACGCCGCCGCCGCCACATCATCAGGTACCGCTGGTAAAGGTGACCTCGCCGCTGCTGTGAACGCCGCGGATGAGTATTTCGCCACGGTTGGACCGCAGCAGATCGCGGCTATGAACCTCAACAACGGCGTTGGTGGGGGCGGTGCGCCACAGACTCAGTATGTGGTCAATCAGAATCAGCAGCAGGCGTATGGACCCGGGGTTCCTGGTGGAGCGGTGACGGGAGAGCTACTTCTCATTTGAGACCGGATAAAAGACCACGAGAGGAGGAAGAACCAATTTGGATTTATTTGGATTGGGATAGACTAGGGAAGGCCTTTGGATGCCATGTGCTTTTTGTTGCGTGCCTTTTGGCCTTACGTCCTTTTGGCCCATGTGGAATGTATCCCGAGAAAGCATTCATTCGCATAATTTTTGTTGGATCGTCCCATATGTAATGTAGAGGCAACCAACCCCCTTTTCCCCCATTTTTTCAAAGATGTACGGTGCTTTTCTGTCTTTTCTTTCTTCTGGTCCTCCCTTACGATTGTAATTTTCTCGTCGTTTATACTTTTTATATTTCTATTTTGGTTTAGTTATGTACGACCATGCTTATTTTATATACTCCGCACTTCTCCAGTCAGTCTTTTTTCGTTCTTAACGCCACGAAGACTTGGCTCAAAAATATCCGCACGCCAACGACTTCAGTGCATATTGATACTCGATAAAAGATGACGAGAACTGTCAATGGGAGGACGCCTAATACCTACTTCCTACTTCTCCCGCTTACCATTCTCCAGCTCCACCTCCTCGCATGCCTTCACAAAAATCTGCACAAAGTTCCACACGTCCACAAAGGTATTATACAACGGTGCCGGTGCAACACGAATCACATTCGGTTTCCGCTCATCCACCACAACCCCACTAGCCATCAGCCGCGAGAAGACACCATCCAGTATATCCCCACGTAGCAGGATGCTTAGCTGCGCACCTCGCTCCATCGGGTTCGAGGGAGTGATTATGGAGAAGAGTTTGGGGCCTGATGATTCTGGTTGCGGACAGGCTTTTAGCAGGAGATATTCCATGTAGGCGGTTAGCTGGAGGGATTTCTGGCGTAGGGCGGGCATCGTGGCGGCGGAGAACATCTCGAGGGAGGCAAGTACGGCGGACAGGTCGAGGGCGGAGGGGTTGGAGAGCTGGAAGCCTGCGGCGCCAGGGCGAGGGACGAACCCTGTATAGTTTTGAGGCACTTATTAGTTTACGGGGACTCATAGTTTTTCAGTTGTGAGGAGCGGAGGTGTAATGGGAGGCTTTATCGTACTGTTATCCATCTCGAACCTAGTCTGCTTATCTCCTCCCCACCATCCTGACAAGCGCGGTCTGTAACCTAGCCCAGACGAACTACTATTATCCACGGCTCCGTATCGCTCATGCACGAATAATCCGGCCATCGAACCAGGGCCGGAGTTCATATACTTGTAGGTACACCATGCAGCAAAATCGACTTTCCAGTCATGCAACTTCAGCTCGACGTTGCCGACGGCATGCGCGCAGTCCCAGCCAATAATTATGTTCTTCGAGTGCGCGTGCGCGGTGATTTTTGCGATGTCGAAGTATTGCCCAGTGTAATACTGGATGCCAGGCAAAAGGATCAGAGCAGTGCTCGCGGCATGTTGGTTAATTACAGAGATGATCCTCTCGGTGGACAGGAGTGGATGCGAGGAATCTTCTGGCTCAATTAGGATCATGGCATTGTCGGGATCGAGGTTATGGTGCCGGATTTGGGATTCGACGGCGAACTGCCAGAGAGAGAAAGGGTTAGTTAGTCCTTTTATGTATACGATGCAAAATATACGGATTTCATAATGTTCGTCTTCTCAATGGCCTACATGATCACTAGGAAACGCTTTCCCCTCCAAGATAATCTTATACTTCTCCGCCGTCGGGCGATAGAAGCTCGCCATGAGGAGATGTAGGTTTGTAGTCAGCGTGCCCATGACGGCCACCTCGCTTGGCAAGGCGCCCACCACTGGCGCCATCAGATTTGCTGCCCTTGTATCTATATCGACGAAGGGGGGCATGAGCTCATCTTCATGCGGTGTGAAGTGGCCCAGCACGGCCTTGGTGGCCCAGGTTTGCAGGAAGCGATCCACATACGTGCGGGTGCTCTTGGGCTGGAGGCCCAGAGAGTTGCCGCAGAGATACGTGCATTGCGAAGAAGCTGTTTTATCTTCTTTTGGAGAGTTAGCATTTACTGATTTTCTGATATTTTTTTATGTGTTCTGCATGTAGGAGGGGAGAAAAAGTTGCGCCGGTGGGACGACGGGAATTGATTGGTGAGCTCATACCTTCTGCGCTTGCGATGATCGTCTTCCTAGTCAAGTCTTGCTTGGTTGGGATGATGAACTGCTCTCGAAAATGTGCAAGAGAGTCCTTCGCGTCTAGAGATTCTGCGAATTCTTTCTTCGTGACGTTTGCATCTTCTTTCGATGGAAAGGTGGGGGAGTCTTGCGGGGATGACATTGTGTGCGGCGCGGCGTTTTTGCTTTTTTTTTTTTCTCTCTTTTACGGCGTTTTGGCCGGCTTATTTTCCTTATCAAAACTTGACCACTGCGCCGGGGGCCTTGAAGACCATTTGTTTCATACCTCGAATTGCGCCAAAACCTCTGATTGTTGCGCTGTTGTAAAGCTGCGGGGGGAGACGATTTTGGAGCGGAAACTAATTAGTAAGGTTTGGAGTCTAGACTATATTTATTATGTGGACCGGAATCTCCTGCCTTTTCTGACCAGATACCAAGTGATATATAACTACGGAGTAGAGGATAACTCGCTGTTATATTTACTGTATACGTGTCTGCTTGAATGAAGTTTTGTAAATAACACATATTTAAAACACCTCATATTTATGCTATAACTACAGCTAAAACCCCAGCTTGAACCCAACAGATGATGGCACCAGGCGACCTGGCATTTCCTTTTCAATTTCATATTTGACTCTCCACCCAGAGCAATGACCAGGCAATAGCACTTTGGGATCTAGCTCTTTGAGACCTTTCACAGTGGCATTCATTTGAGCCTTGTCGCTCATTGCTAGATGGTAGCCACCAAAAATGGCGTACACGGGGTGGTCCTTACCAATCAACTCAATGGCGTGTCTTGTTGCGTTTACAATGCCTGCGTGGCTGCATCCGCTGAATACCACGATTCCCTTTCCTGGAGATATTTAGTAGGTACCATTGGATGCGAGGAGATTCAAGGCAAGTCACAAGAAACGTCGTGGATGGGCAGGGAGAGATAACAACAGACCTTTGATATTACAAGCGAGAAAACGCTCGTCCACAATCAGTTCATCACTATCCCACTTCCCAGCGGCTTGGTCGAACCGAACTCCATATTTCAGCCCCGTCTCATACTCCGTCTTGCGGGGTATTTCTCCCGAGATAAGAAACATGTTACCCAGAACAGTATGCGTTTCGTCGTGATTCTCTACTTTCGCGCCGGCCTGTTCTATTTCTTGAAAGGTTGGATCGGCTTCCAAAGACACAATCTCTTTGCCCATCTGGATCCCTCTATAGTCTGGTCGAGATGGATGCAAGTCCACGACAAGGTCATCGTTTGGTAATCCTTTGCCCTTCTTTGCTTCATTGATCATCCGGATGGCCTTGAGCATGCCGCCTATGGTTGGGTTGCGCAAATTTTGGGCTTTAGCATGCAGTTTCTTGAATGAAAGCTTCTGTAAAATTGGTAATTAGGTACGAAACAGCAACCCAACAAGCACACTCACCGGAGTGATCACGATGCCAATGAGAGAGCTGGATCCGTTCCACGGAAGATAAATCCAGTCGTAACCTTTCTGCATTCCGCGCCCATGACTCCTCTGTAGGCCCTATGTCAAAAAGGATCGTTCGGCGCTCTTCTCCCTTTACGGCAGTCTAGATATTGAAATTCAAACATGTTCAACTTTGGGAAAAGCAGCTGCCACAGTAAATCATCTGGCTACAAGCCCATGGAAACCGTAAATGCTGAGATAGCTTACAAGAAGAACAGACAATCCGTGAGCAGAACAGCACACATCCTCCAGGCGGAATTCCTTGGTTGCTTCCGCCCGATCATGTATGTGATGCGGCGAGGTGAGGCCGATTTCCCCTATGAGCCGGGAGACTTTGACAGGACCCGGAGCTGGCGGGGACATAAGGTCAAGCTCATTATCGATGACCACGACGGCTTCAAGAGCGTCTATTTCCACGAGTGAGGAGGACATGGTTGGATTTTGCTTAATGAGAGAGAGATAGGTGGCTGTATGCTACTGGTAGGGCATGAATCCTGTTTTCTGTGTGCAGGGCTTATTTTATACTCGAAGGATCTCGGGGAACTTCACGCAGCACATATATATATCTTGAGAGGTGACTCACTATATTAGAAGGGATTAACCTTTATGATGGGACACCTAGCCTAATATATACGGTCTTCCGTCTCTCACACCCCGTCAGAGCTGACAAGTGAGGCTGATATCAAGCATATAATAATGTTCCGTGGAGTGGAGACATTCATTAACAGAAACCCTGCACTGACAAAAACTTCGAACTGGTATGTTCTCTTATTTGAGTGAGCATTCATGGAGATACTTCCAAGGTTATGTTCAGGTAACTACAGCAGCATTTTTCAGCTCTCACAATTGCTCAACGGTTGGAAAACGCAGAAAGATTGACGATACAGCCAAACGTGGAAATATAAGTTTTTGCCGGTGGCCAGGTTAGATATTGAACTGAAAAGCCTGGCATTCTCTTCAGAAAGTAGTAAGTAAGGATTGCATGGTTGGTGCTTCTTCCAGCTGAGATGCGGAGTTCATGGAGTCTAATCTCGTTTCTGTCACTGTTGTCCACATATATGCCATAGAGGGGATACATTCATTCCTTGTGCTGAGTTGTTCAAGCCGCTGTAACCTCGGCTTTGGAGACTTTTTGTCAGTTAACATGGATCCATTACATGACTGTTTCGAGCTGAAATTTCATGTATCTTAGTATGTGTAAGTAGCTAGGTATCATAAGCCTACATAGAACCTAGAAAAATATGATAGTGATAAACAAAGCTAGTCCTATTGTGTGTAGATACAAAATTGTTGCTTCTGCTCAACCCCGCATTCGGCCATTGGTTCTGGAGGTTCGGCGCCAACGGCCGCTAATTATTTTAGCCGAGAAATCATCCATGGACAAGAACAACCGGCCCAGCCCCACATCAACATTCCAAGTCAGTCTGCACAGTTCATGCACTGAATGATAATAACAATGGTGATGACAGAGCGCATGGAGACGTCATACCCGCGCTGGCCCAGGCATGACCTATCTCACGGGGTGGTTGGCTAAGGAATTGGGACTCCAGTCACCAACCGGGCAGGAGGAACAGCCGAACCCGGTATTTACGTAACCTAACTAACAGGGCCAATAGCAGGCTGGGAGTAGAGTACCTTCGCGGATCGCGTGAACAAAAGGCGGATGATCTGCTGGTGTCTATTATTGGCTTTGGGGAAATAACGGGTTACACGTGGTGCCAACCCGGGCCGGAAAAAGAGCTCCGTGGTTCCAACCCAATTCCAACTTGGACCCATGGCAGTAGTTACAGTACCGTACCGTACCCCATTAAAACTACAGACACTAGACTTTTCTTTCATGACCCCTTCACTCCCATTATATTAATTTTTTATATTTCTCAAGGCTATAACCCGTTCTAGCTTGTTCTAATTATTTAATTCTCTCTAATCTACATATCTACACTAAGAAACTGGGGTGTTGAGAAGGGAACGAGAACAGCCGGACAGTATTAGCAATCTATAACTAGTGGATTGACTTTTAGATGAGGCACTAAAGCTGAACGTGTGTCCAAAGAGTGGGTCTGCGCCGCAAACAAGACCCACCTGACATAACTCTGTTATATTTTCTTTCGGCAAACTATTCGGGCTTTTTTGTTTGTCAGAATTCTGCCCTTCAAACGAAGATATATATATACATAGATTATATATGTGTAGATATAAAATTTTCTTGTTTCTCTGCATCTGTTCCATTGAGCAGGGCGCTGTCAGCAACTAATTAAATTCTCATGGAGACTGAGCCGCTGCTCGCTCACCGACGTGGTATCGGCGAGAATGCTTTGGACCCAGAAATAAACACCAAACCTCACGCAGGAGACGCGGGGTCTTTTAGCAAATATGGCTATATCGACCCAGTCATCGAACGGCGGGTCGTGAGGAAGCTCGATCTGAGGATACCAACCCTGCTTGGGTTTTTGTGTAAGGGAGCAGTTATAAACCACATTCGAACATGAAAAAAAATCTTTTGGATTGGAAGGAAATTAATTTAAGCAACTTGAATTAGATCTGCTTAGCTTTTTGGATCGATCGAATATCGGCAATGCACGCATCGCGGGAATGGAAGAGGACTTGCAACTGGACGGCAGCCGATATGAATGGCTTCTGACCATTTTTTATATCTCCTACCTCGCTTTCCAGTTCCAAGGACTGATGTGGAAGATTGTTCCACCACACAAGTGGGCTGCATTTACAGTGTTTGGATGGTTTGTCTCTCCTCAGCGCTTCTGCTGCTTCTGCTCGTTTTAACAGTGACCTTATTTGTGACAATTTCCTGGTGATAATAGGGGCATGATTGCGACCTGCCAGGCTGCAGTTTTCTCATGGGAGGCAGAGATGGTGCTCAGATTTCTGCTTGGTGTCACGGAGGCAGGCTTTGGCCCAGGAGTTCCGTTCCTTCTCTCCTGTTTCTACCGACGTCACGAATTGGGGTTGCGGTGTGGCCTGTTCGTTTCTGCTGCTCCCCTTGCAAGTACCTTCGCGGGGGCATTGGCATATGGAATTACTTCGGTCCATACAAAGCTCGCCAGCTGGAGATTATTGTTCCTCGTTGAGGGAATACCAACTTTATTAATGGCGCCGGTTGTCTTCCGGTTTCTTCCTGATTCTCCGGCCAAGGCTAAATTCCTAAATGAGGAGGAGAAAGAGGTTGCTAGAGCTAGAGCATTGAGACAAGCGGGTCAAGTTGATCGCACCGGTGGGGTAAGCTGGAAAGAAATCGGGGAGACGCTCATGGATGCTAAATCGTGGCTGGTAGCAGTATGTAGCTAGCCGTCTATTAAACGGTGATAAATTGTCCGCGTGTGCTAACTTCACAATACAGCTCATGTATTTCAGTTGCAATGTTAGCTATTCGTCACTGCCCGTCTTCCTGCCCTCAATCTTGAAAGATATGGGATTCACATCGATCAACGCTCAGGGATTGTCCGCGCCTCCTTATTTTCTCTCGTTCCTTACCAGTGTTATCACTCCATGGATCGCGGATCGCTACCAACAAAGAGGCTTAATGATTGCATTGCTGTCAATTGTGGGACTTACTGGGTATGTTCTGCTTGCTACGTGTACATCTGTTATCCCTCGATATATCGGTGTATGGATGGCCGCCAGTGGTGTCTTTCCGTGCATCGCCAATATCCTGCCCTGGGTTCTTAGTAAGTTACTTCCCTACACTTAATAAAAAAACATAACCACATATGCTAACATAGAATTCGTCTTCACCTCGGTAGACAACCAAGGGTCCGATACTCGCCGTGGTATGGGAATCATAATCCTGAATCTTGTTGGCCAGTGCGGTCCACTCTTAGGAAGTAACATATTTCCTACCTCGGACGGCCCGTTGTATGTTCGAGGCCAGTCCATCTGCGCAGCCTTTATGGGTCTCAATTGCTTCCTCGCACTGCTATTGCGCACGGTACTGGCGAGGCAGAACCGGCAGCTTGATAGGAAATACGGAACACTTGCTCAGCGCGCCCAACAGCGGGTGGAAACAGAACAGTTAGTTGTTGCAGAGGAGAATTATGGACCTGATTATAGATTTGTACTTTGAAGATGTGTATATATATAGTTATATATCGATGCTTGAAGTGAGAATAGACTAAATCTTGTCGGCGTAAGTGGATTCCACTTAAATAAGCTATGCCAAGCTTTCTTATCGCCCCACCGGCAATTCTTTAAATTGACCTCATCCTTTCAGTATCCTATTAAATAAACCTTTCGCTGCCGTGCTGCTTTTCACATCCAGCAACGAGTAATCTCTTGTTGCAAATACTGCTGATATGCAAATGTGATCTCTACCTTTGGTATACCCACTGCCAATACTTGCGAGAGTACTGTATTCAATTTCAGTTCAAACCTTCATCACTCTCAATTTCTTGATTCCCATCTCAACCTCTGGCTGTTAGTCCTTCACTGAACTTAGTCACTACATATTTGAATAACATTTTGGTCACGTATCAGTTTCTCCGTTTCTCAGGTATGGGTGAATGTGCAGCCAGGTCGACGTTGGGCCACTGCTGCAATTCCTTGAAGAGGAGGTTCACTGCCTCAGCATAGCTGTGAAAGCTTTCCACTCTGTTTGGCAGTAACACGGGCAAATTTGGTAGCTCAAAATGTTTTTGACTCGTCAGCAAGGCATTGTAGAAAGAGAATTTCTGAATAGGAATGAGATGTGAGTGGATTGTATTGTATCCTGACGAGATTTTTTTTTATTCCGATAGTGGAATGGGTGATTGACTTATGAAGTGAATGGCTTCATTTATCTCTGTTCTTTTCAGCCGGACTTTTTGTCTTACTTACCAGCTACCTCTTTCAAGGGCGCAAAGGATCTTCTGGTTTCTCTGGCTGTCTCTGACTTTCATATAACACCCATCTAGCCATTCTGAGAATCCCTTCTCCTGCCTTCTCCCTCATTCTCTCCTCTTAGATCTTGGTTTTATCCTGCCTGCTCCCTGCTTCTCTCCTCCTCTCATCTTTTCCCTCCTTCTCCCTCTTGCTTTCGATACTCTCTTTATTCTTCAAGAAGTCCACCACTTTTTCAGCTGGCTGGCTCTGGCCACTGGAACCTTTTTTCTGTGGCCGGCACGTATTCAGGAGACAGATCTTTTCTCCCTCAGTCCTCTGTGCTTGGGATCCACCCAGCCGATCTATTCCTTCGCCAGAATTGAATCTTTCGATCTCTATTCTTTGCCAATTCTCTACAAAAGTGAGAACTGATATCAATTTCATCATCTTCAACCAAATATCCCTGATCGTCTTCGCCCTGGAAATAGTTTATTTGGTTCGTTTGAAGATTCCATCCACATGAACGCTATGGCCAACTAGGCGGCTAGTCCCGACGGGAGTACCATAAACAACATGAACGCTGCAAGCACCAACGAGGGCTTAGGTGGTAGTGAGAATACGATTATTGAGATTGCGAAAGATGGGAATCTAGTAGTGAAAGTGATCGAATACGACCTCGTGCCCAGTTCTGATACAACTACTAAAGCGTGCGGTCACCTGTGGAAACCGACAAAGTCTGCATCGTTCCAAGTGAGCAAGCAGGTCTAAACTGGCCGAGCACAGTGATGTCTTGGAGAAAATGCTCTTTGGTGGGTGGGAGGAGGCAAATCGAAAGATGATCACATTGAAAGAAGATAATATCACAAGGATGGAGTTGTGGTTTCGGATAATGCATGCTAATATCTCTTCCGCCCGCCTGGAGAAAATTTAAATCGCTGAGATGTGCCATGTCATTTTTGGCTTGTGACAAGTATGCAATAGAGCGCGATGAAATGGTGCCGTGGTTTCAGAAGTGGTGGGATGCACTATCAAGCGATACAATGTCGAATTTAGACCTCTGTGATATACTCTTACCCTGTTATCATTTTCTCTGCGCGCAGGGATTCAAGTGCTGACAAGGAAGCTGGTGTACGAGTCTCGGAACGCTATCTTCGAAACCAACCCAATCAGAGCTCACCAGACGTACCTGTGCCTGCCAAGCAGCATTATCGGTAAGTTTTGTGCCATGTTCACAAGCCATCGGGATTTTGTAGCCATTAAGACCCCTCCTGATATCATGGTCAGAAAATCCCGAACAAAAAGAGAGGACAAATACGAACATTATCCACGACCACATATGTTCCCCCATCGACGAGCTTGCCTCTAGTGTCAATTGCAAGTGCCAAAAGCGAGTAGCATTCAATTACATCAACGAGTTGCGTATGTTCCACGCTTCCCCCCCTTTTACCATCTTTCCGCCATGGGAGCATCCGCGACATTCTTCAGTGCTTTGAGAAATTTGAAGAGTCATGAGTGAAAGCCGAGAAAGGTTATGATGCGCACCCTGTTTGTGCCATCTGCTGTTACGACTGTGGAATTACCGTGCAGAGTACATGCGTTGCGCCTGAAAATCACTTCGATGAACTGGAACTTAGCTACAGGCGGATTGAAATAAATGGGTCTGATAGGAAAGAACGAAGCTATGATTATTCGTGCCGGGTCCCTGACATGCGCCATCGAATTCGGAAATGGCAAACAAAACGTAATGTTCCAATACGGGACAGCTTGAGTACAGGGGATAGTTCTACCCTGAAATAGACCCCGTTGCCTATCTGTTTTGTCATCCTCTTTTCTAGTCGCTCGTTGAGAGTTTATCCTTGTCATGGATTTTCTAGAAGCCCTTGATTCAGCTGGATGGTTCTTTATGCGCCGTTTGCCTTCGGTTTCGGCCCTGCTTTGCCTCGTCTTCATTTCCTTTTCTCACTAGTTTTGTTTTCTTCCAGTTGCCAATAGCCAATTCCACCCGTATTCTACGAGTGGCTTGGCCAGCAACTGTTTTCTTGTGGATTTGCTGCAAGTTCCTGATGCAGGGTAGGGTGGATCGTGCTTTAATGCCCCTTTTGCTTTCCGCCCTGGCGTTGTTTTTCATATTTTTTATTTTTTATTTTGTACCTCATTGGTTTTACTCGCACTGGCGATAATCACATACGAACCTCCACGTGGTATACTACCAATGAGGCCAGTAAATATGCTCTTTGAGTTTGATATTGTCCAATTGAGTTGTATTTGTGTCTAGTTAAAACAGCACGCCGCTTGGGGAACGAAAACACGGGCAAGCATCATCATGACGACATTTGTATACCCTCCGCCACCAGCTGATGTATTTTGCCACGATATACTTTCCTGCACTCCCTTTATATCCCTTTCTAGTAGCTTTTAAGGGAGAATCTTTTATTTGCAAAGAACCGTTAAAACACCTTGATTTGGGTAGCGCCTGCATCTACTCTCCCGTTACAAATCCTCTAGCCAAGTTTACGTGTAACACAGTTCAAAATGGTTAGGATTTCCGAGGCTATCAAGGAGGACCACCGGTTGCTGCGGGAATATCATGATAAGATCATCAATGCGGGAGATGAGGAAACGGGAACCCGTTGGGGTAACCAGGTAATTCTGCCAGCTATGCGCAAAGAGCTGAAGTTTCTAATAATATCTCCTTTATGATAACAGTTCACGTGGGAACTCGCCCGTTATACAGTAGCGGAAGAGCTTGTTGTCAATCCAGCTCTTGAAAGCTATATGGACCATGGGAAGATCATGGCGGACAAAGATAGAAGAGAGCAACAGGAGGTCCGTCCTCACTGACCCTACTCACATATCTCTTTGACCTAGCCCAAAGAGGTGCCATCGAAAAAGGGAAATCTTGTGCTTATATCGTTAACTGTTGCCAAAACTCGATGGAACAGATCAAGGAACAATTGTACAAGTTCCAGAACATGTCCGCTCAGGACCCAGAGTTTCGCCCGACGCTGGACGGCATCATGGAACGTTTGAATAAACATATTCACGAAGAAGAGGAGGAGGACCTAGCGTCCTTGGAGTCTGTCATTCAGCTAGATGAGTCTGAATCTTTGGCAAAGAAATTCAAGAGGACCAAAATGTTCGTGCCAACCCGCGCTCACCCGCATGCTCCTAAAATTACGACGTTTGCGTCCGTTGTGAGCTTTTTGGAAGCTCCTCTCGACAAGCTTGAGGATATGCTGAGGCGCTTTCCCGAGGAGGAGGATGAGTAGTAGTTTCAGTGGCCTTGAGAGGGTGCAAATGGCTCCTTCTGACTCTTGGTTTCGTTTTTGTGGAACACATTGTTGCATAATTTTTATCATTTTTTCTCTTCATTTTGAAACGCAGATCAATCAACGAAAAGAAAAGAGAAAGAAAAAAAATCTGCCTTTGCTATGGGAGGGGTGGGATAATAGTTGTACATGCTTCAGCTATTCGTTAATTATCGAAAACATTTAATGCTAAATTTGCACCGATTGTACTCAACATCTGTAACGTTACGTACTGGTATAACTATTTATTCTTTCACTTTATGCAATGTGGGGCTGGGTTCATATGTGCTTTCCACTCCGCCGTTGTTAAATGACAAAAGCAGCTGGGACTCCATCAGCAACCTATTTAATAAATATATCGTCTGTACGCAGCGGAGAGTGGGAGAATTAGTCATCTTGCCTACCGGAAGGCGGTGTGAATACATAGCCAATAGGAAATAAGGTAATCAAGGGGAGTATTTTGCCACGTTAGTAATCTTTCGGCTTTGTTGAAGAATAAATGCAATCTTTCCATTCGCAATCAGCTTCTTCCTGTTTCTCGCCAAATGGATACTTTTTAATGGAATACCCTGCGCAGTTTTACCATTCAACATATACATCGCTGTCATGAATCAGCAGCTGCTTGCCTGCGCGGGCTGCCGGCTTGCGCAGGCTCAATCACCCGCCGCAACCGTCGTCCGCCAATCCCGCCGAGCACTCTCTATAGCCATCGCTTCCTCTGTATCCTCCCAATACTATGCCTCACATTCAATCCTCCCAAAACTCCCGTTTCTGCACCCATATGTATATCGCCCGAATACTCGATGTAACCAAGCATCTCGAAAATCCAGTCTGTTCCCGGCTCCTAAGCAACTCTCTGCGTTCTCAACGACACACCCTAAGCAGGCGACGAGGGTGGTATTGAATCCGCGGACTGATGACGAGGGAAAGCCTCAGATGATTGATATCTCTCCCCGTGCAGCGCAGGTATGGAGCTTTCTCTTTTTTATCTTTTCTTTTTTCTTCGTGTTGTGAACCATAAACCCGCGATAGACTGGAACGTAGGTTCCTGGCTCAACCCACTGCGCTCCTTTTTTGTTAGCATGGGAGCGAATGCGATAGGCCCACCGGTATTTAATATGTGGTGAAGAGGAAACAAGCACATACGACCATAGGGAGTGGAAAGCAGGGCTTCCCGTCCGCTCAGCCGTACTTAAGCCACTCGCCGGCCGGTTAGTAGTTGGGTGGGTGACCACCAGCGAATCCCGGCTGTTGTATGTTTTTTGACGCTTTTCTTTTTTCTTTCTTTTTTCTTTTTTCTTTCTTTCTTTCTTTTTTTTTTTTTTTTTTTTTTTTTTAACTTGCTTAGACGCGTTTCGGTAGATACCTTTCTTACCTTTGTATAAAATTGCTAACGTACTTTAATCCACCAGCGTTTACGGGAAATTACCGATCCTTCGTCAAAAAAACCCACTCTCCCAGTGGTCCCGGAAGGGGTTGTACAAGATCATCTCCGCGTCACTGTATCGAGTGGGGGGTGTCATGGTTTCCAGTACCTGATGACCCTCGATTCCGCATCCAACATCGACCCCGAGGAGGATACAATTTTTGAAGCGGAGTCAGAGGCTTCAGGAGAGTCATCACCGGATGGAAAGGCTCTTGGTGAAGCCAAAGTTGTTATGGATTCGGCAACATTGGAGCTTCTAAGTGGCAGCACGGTTGACTATACAATGGAACTGATAGGAAGCCAGTTCAAAATTACCAACAACCCCAGGGCGACCAGTAGCTGCGGTTGTGGAACCAGTTTCGACGTACCAGCGTAACCCTCTGACGCTGAAATCTTTAGATATATAAAGAACATGTGTTGCCCGTCGAAGGGCGCTGGAGTCCGTTTTACATATGTTGCACGGTTATCTCCTCTCATTTGTTTGCTTTGGAGTCCCTAGAGCGGCGTTCCCCCATCAGTATTTACGGTGATATTTTGGCGATTTACGTTCAAATAACTATATGTCAAGAGATAATATCTTTGGTCCCTTACCACATTTCTGTCGTCATTCACCCAATCATGCAATTTTGATATTCCCTGCCTTTACCTGTCCTCCGATTCCACTATTTCACCTACCCAATCTAGCTGACTGGCAATATGGTAATTTCTACTTCCATATTCAATTTCCGCTAGGCAGCTAAATGCACTGCTTGAGTTAATATTCCCCGACATATTCATGGAGATAAGAAGTGCCCTGGTCTTCTCCGCCACTTGGCTTCACTGCCCCTTATTCCTCTATCCCCATTCATAGTAGCGGCACCCATGCGTGTGCATATCAAGATCGTATATATATATATCCTTATCTTCTTCTACTTCGGTCTCCATCTCTTTCCCCTTTATCCAAGTCAGAATCCTTTGCCTTCTGTATCGTCCTATTTTATATTTTATATTATCTACTATCTCATTTTTATATGTGGCTGTACTACCTTTCGACTTCCAGCGTCGAATACTTACGAACTATCTTTATTACATAACATCTTCTCTAGCAGGAATGCGCCTTATCACGGTATATTTCGAATCTTTCCCTTAACGCTCGTGTACCAGTTTTCGCGAGGGACAAATGACATCATTGTCTATACTGTTCTCACTGTCAACAGAAAAGTTGGAGAATAATTATGTCTGGCTAAAAAGCTTAGTCGACATACGGCGGAGAGGGTAGTTCTCGCTATTCTCACCATTTCTCGCCATTCTTGTCACTGAAAGCTAATATTACAATCCTCCTCCAAGGGCGTGACCAGGAGCATGGGCAAAAGATTTCGCTTTCCCCGACGAACTCCAATAAGAAAAGATTAGGCTCCGAATTTACTACCCCCCGACGAATATATGAGGTAATGTTAGTTTCGCAGTGCCATCTGTATGTACTCTTTCGTACATTCTCTAGGGTGAAGAATGCTTGACCGAGTCCATCAAATTCTTCTAGAGAACATGAACTTGCTCTCTAGTACACTTGATACATCATTGGAGACCCAGCTAACTTTACCTAGGCTACCTAAATATCTTCTATGTTTGATGCTTAACTCCCTCCTCAATGTTGTTAGATAGCTTAACTGCTTCACGGAATGCGAAAATGTCATCTCCTCTCGCGTCTGGGGACAACGATCTCCCGTTAGCGTTAACCAACAGGGTAGAGGAATGGGGGTTGACTACCTTATTGGAATCTGTCCGCCAACGTAGCTTCCGCGCCTGAGGAGCTGTCCTAGCGTCTACGTTGCCTTCTAGCTAGCGAACACGCAAAACCCCCTATCCACAAATAACATCCGCTCCATTGGCTCTACCAGGAGCTCGATGATGAGAACTATTCATGGCACGCCTTTGATATCCTCTTCGCGCCTTGCTTCACGATACGCCAACACAGCTTTCGGACCAGCGGTGGCGACCCTAGTCTCAAAGTTACTATCATTCTTGACGGGACAAAAAGTTCCTTTCACTTCCGTTGGTCTCTTAGGAACGCACCCTTATATATGTACTGTCTCCATATGGGACTTATTTATACTGCTGATGGACCCATCTTTTCGCGTTTGGTGGCGAAGAGCATGTGAGGCTCCGAATGGCCACATCTCTAGGATTCTTCTAACTCCGCATGGAACGCTTGCTCTCTCAGTAGCTTGCTATTTATTCCATAAAAGCGTCCTCTCCTAGTCCCCGGCTTCAACGTTATATGAATTTTTCTTATGTTCAATAGGACAAGTTTCCACGATAAAAAAAAAAAATCCCCTACGAAGTTTCTCGCAGAACAAAGCAATCAAGGCAATGAAAATCTACTTCGGCGAAAGGGAATTTCGAGATAGATCATCTTCTGGCAGGGCCATCCGTACAATTGGTGAGCTAAGGCGGTTCACCACGCAATCAGCCCAGTCAATTCTCAAGGGTGAGCTACCTCAGCGCAAACTGTCACCCTTGCATAAGCTGTACCCTAACAGATATTGACTTATGAAATTGCTACTCTACTCTCATTCCGATCTACCTGATGGAAGTTTTACTTCAGATACCAAGGCATGGAGGGAATGTTAGGGGCCTAAGATGCCATAAAGGTAGTATGTCTCCCGCTTCTTTATGAGGCCCCGGAGAGAGTACAACCCAATATTGATCTATGAAAAGTTACTTTACGCTGGATACCAAGACCGCGAGGCTCGCTTCTGGACAAGGGAAATTAAGCCAACTGTCTAAAAAGATACATCCAGCACATCGATAATTAGTCATCTCAGGTTTGAAGATGAACGGGTGCGATGTACGATACATAAGCTGGACAAGGAAGATAATTGGCATCCCATCCTGTTCCAATCCCGCCGCCTGAAGTCACCGGGGCCACAAAATAGATTTGGATAGCCATCAGAGATATCTCCATTCGATATCGCAAACTATACCCTGCAAGTAGTGAGGAATCAACTCCAACTCACGAGGTTAAGAACTAGGAACTTCGGAATCTGGTGTTCAAGTTCAGAACCAAGTGTCAACAATATTGGACCACCGAACTGGAATGCCTCGGCCTGGTGAGGGCCTCAATCCACTGTCCTCAATACTTTGATAACAACCCTTTCACTGTGATCACAGATCGTTGTTTCTTGATCAATGGCGTGGAATCAAAAGGGACCACTCACAGGAATAATTGATTAAATAACTGGGGCTTATTCCTTGGGCAACTCGTGGGCCGTATGATCATTAATTACAAGAAGGGTACGCAACACATCAATGCCGACACCCTATCCAGGCTTGAAATGGCGTCCGCGGTGACCTACCCTATGTCCGACTTCTAGCTAGTTAACAAATACCACACTCGTCTGGTGGCTGAGTCACTGCTTCTCGTGCCGCAGCCGTTTTTGGCTGCGGTGCCTGATTCTAGTGGCTCTACAAGCATACTTCAACAGGAGCAGACTGTCTATATCTTCATCGTTTGTGTTCAGATAACGGTGTCGATACCTCATCAGTATTTCGGCTCCCTACCTCACGGCGCCGATTTTAACACCATAAGCTCCTATCAGGGGAAAATGCGAGCCCCAAATAACAATTGCGAAAATTGATTTGTATCATACTTCTCCTACCCCTAATTTCAAACAGCGGCACACTGACTATCAATAACCTCTCTCACTCTTTAACGACAACTTTTTCCTCGAGTTCATGAAAGCCCTGAACCATTCTCGGAACGTATCAATGAAAAGATATTTCAAGGTTCCAAAACTTGGAAGAATCCGGCTTTGCGTGTCTATTTTATAGGCCCAGACCAATTGGCCAGACTGCGGAAACCGTTATTCAAGCGCCTGTGGTGAACAAGACGTGTTTTCCTAATGACACAATGTCTGTAAGATAGTACATGCCGACGGCTTTTACATCCTCGCCGCAGAAAAAGAAAACCGCCATTCCAATCTTACTCCGGTTTCTCTTGTTATTTGGAGCCTCTAATGTTAGAGCTCATTACCCACTAAATCACCATTTATTTCAGACACTTAATATCCGTTACTGGAAGGGTCGTCCTTACAGGGATGTCTATCGAGTCCACAAACCTTTTTTAGCTTCAATTTTAGTCATTTAGAACTAATAAAATATTGATCACAGCCGACAAGATACCCCCATCCTTGAACTTGGACATTCGAGAAGAAATTTGCATACATTCCCTTGGGGAATGAACGAGCAAATCCTACCCAAAATGGCCCTATTCTCCTATTCATCTAGTCAGAGGTCTCTATTACACTGATTGTTTAGCATTCATCTGTCACTGCTTCTTTTACAAATCAATTCTCTTCTCCCATTGTGTCAATTGCTTGGAGATGCCTTTCGGAGTGGGTGGCTTTGATGCGCGCCTGGCCGCGCCACAACATACCATACCTCACACCTCCCACAGTCAAAGGCCTAAGAGCAAATGCTAGTACCTTTGAGATCACAGGCTTAGTTTAATCCAACCCGTCAATCCTGGAAGGTCTCCTGCGATTATTGGCCCTGAAGATCCTGAAGGTACACGTAAGGCGAAGAGGGGTGGCCACTCATCGTGTCATCTGGAAAAATTTGAGTTTGACCTTTAGTGGTCATTGAATGTTACTGGCAATCGACCGATTAACTAACGACTCTCTTCACTGAAGACCTGTATACTACGGGAGAGCCCTCAAAATGGATGATAGGGAACTTCCGCAAAGGTCATGTTCTTTGCTTCACAGCCGTCAGGAGAGTTCGAAGCGTTGAAATCCGCACAGTGGCCACCGCAGCTATCACCAAGGACGCAAAGTGCAGGAGTCACTGGGCAATCAAGCACCCGAAAGTACGTACTTGGACACCACTTTTCCTTTGTTAACGCGCATAATATTATTTCCTCCATTATTAAATTCCCTAACTTCCTAAGAGAATTCATAGCCTATGTGGATGGTAGTAAAGAATGTATGGGAGCTGCAATTCATCAGAAGGATCATCCAGGAAAAGAACGCCCTGTTGTTTTTCTTTCCCTCACTCTAAAAGGTGGTGTAAAAAAAAAAAAAAAAAAAAAAAAAGGATCAACTGAATTAAAGACAGCAGCCTTAGTCTGTGGAGTGCGATAGACATGAAAACAGGCGAAGTCTGGATCAGGTCTGGATCAGGTATAATATTATGCGCGTTTACAAAGGAGAAGTGGTGTCCGAGATCGGCTACTCGTTTTTTGAATCGGAGAATTCCTCCGAGTTTGCTATCACCTCTAACCTATCACCACTGCAGGAATTTTGATGGAATTAAGTTCTTTATGTTCTATATATCTCCGTCACTCCATCCAAAGACTTCATCAGTGATACGTGAGAAGAGCAGGTCTAAAAACGCATCATTTCAAGTCTATACAACTCCCGACACTCGTGAACGGCAATTCAATGACAGATGACGCACTTTTGAAGAATTATCTGCATATTCCACTCTTTCAAAACTAGGAGTTGCGAACTTGTGCGGAATGTGATCGGATGCTACATACACGGATACGTTGCTAATCTGAAAGAAATGGAAGCTAGACAATCTAGCAGCCCTGGAGGACCCAAACCAAACATGAAGCTAAGAAGCTTCGTATTTTGCACAGTTCTAATAAAATTATGCAGAAAACTTTCAACTCTGACAGGACACTCTGGTTAACAAGGAATATATTCAGCAGTGTCTCACCCAGATGATATCATCAAAGGATGATGTGAATCCCTCACACTCAGCTTTACAGTCTGTTAACTCGTTGCTCATGAAGATACCTTGATCCAGAAGCTGGCCCTTCGACTGAATCCTGGAAAGAGGCCTGAATATACTCCCACAGGGTGCCTAGGGGGAGTAGCAAGCCAATCCTTTGCGACAAACCTGGTTGAAAGGTTCAAAAACAGGTATCCCAAGCTTTTTTGGCGACAATATACGCTCAATATTATTTCTTCAAGGCGTCCACCAATTTATATGTTCAAATAAATGCCATAATGATATCTTCATCCAAGAGGGGAAACGAGGAGTGAGTTTGAAAGAAGGAACCCGAAGGTTTTCCAATATGCACCCATGAATACCAAGATAACGGAATTATGAAAGACTGGAAACCCCAAATCAAAGGACCAGTACGGAATACCCAGGGAGATCTTAAGTGCAATAATGGTGACAAGCATTTTGCATGCTCGCGCTAGGTGGCCAAAAACCTGCAATGTTATCGAAGATAAACTCGGAGAAGTACCCTGGGCTGAGTTACTCTGATTATAGAATCCGTCAAGACAGCTGTGTCCAGACAAGCAGGAGAAAGTCTCGGATGTCATAGATACATCAGAGAGATTTGCTAATGAGGTGATGATGATCACTGCTCGGTCCCAGTTCCATCGCATGAAAGATTTTTGTTTTCCTCGTCTGTAGGACACCGGGGCAAAAGAGCTCAATCACCACCAGACTAACTGGTAGGTAGGGGCTCGACATCATCAAGAATATATGATGATTTACGTCCACTACGCAGAGAGCCGATCCATTTTGTTGACAATTGTAATTGATGGCCAAAGAGAGATAGATGGGCAGCATACACAATACAAAACAACGCTTTACTTATGGTGGCCGGTGCAATTCCACGACTCCCCCAACAGCAGAGCCGCTGGACTCTACTCTTGACACCTAGTTACCTCCCGCGAATGACGATTCGTTATCGGAACGGGACATGCCACAACATCAGGGACGCCCTTTCGTGCTTGCACAACCTAGAGGATGATTCGGAGGAGATTCCCTCAGACAAGCGAGGGAATGTATCTCAAGTCCCCATCCAAGTTGGCAGGCAATCGGATAAGAAGACTGGCGTATTTGTAACATCTGCTTCTGATATTGGCATAGCACTTTCGGACGAAATCAAAAACCAGTTGTGCTCGGAGCTGCCGCCGGACCCCGCCGTACGGAAGATCTTCCTAAGGTTGCTCAGGGCCGGTGAAGACTATCTGTTTAAAATAAAGGATGGTCTTTTTTTATTTCGCGGGCAGTCGACTCTGCGTTACGAGGGCGTTAGACAAGGACAATGATGTCACCACACACCCTGGCCTCCACTGGACGGAGGACAGCGCGTCCTGTCTGTCTTCTCTATTTAGGGATGTAACGCAAGCTCTCCAAAATATGTGTAATATCAGTCATATCTAGCATATTGTGCAAAATTGGTCGTCTGAGAGCAGTAAATGATAAACAGGATAAGGAGATCAAGGCTTTGGAGATAGGGAACAGGGATCTGATAGATTCTTTCTGTGAAGAATAGATGATTATACAATTATTATGACCTGCCAGTGACAGGGCGTCTTATGAGACTCTTCTGAGGTGTTTGCAATCTCAATGAATTAAGATACATGAACCTGCGCTAGGAAGAGAAATAAATAGCCACCGTTATTCAGGCTCAGGGGCACCTGGAGATGCCTTCAAAGCTATCGAAGCCAATAGAATTTCATCCTCGTTCAATCTTCACTCCGATCACCAAGGCCTCAACATCACATTCTTCCTCACTTCTATCATCAGTGTGTGAACAAACTAGATTCTACTCTTCCCCCACTCCTTCAGTCTTCAATTTTAGAACCAACACCAACGCATGACCATCACCCACCCTCTGACAACCTCTCATCATGTTGCAAACGAGGTTTTTTCGTCAGCTTATGTTCGAGCAATTTGAAGCTCTAATGGGAATGCTTGGGTAATTCCGCGAACATATTCTCTTCCGAGCCCTTTGGAAGTAAAGTATTTCACTGAAATGGGTCAGAAGCCTTAATAAGGCAATGAGGATCAAACTCATAGAGATTTCAGATGAGCTGTCTACACTCACAGCTGTAAATATTGAGAAGGCTGAGCTGAAACTCAAGAAGAACATAAATAACAGACTAGAGAAAGAGAGAAGGAAGATATGATGTAGTCTGACCACAGAAGTACTTCTTTGAACAGACTCTTGACATGAATTGTTTATCAGAATTTAAGACACTCTATACCAAGCAAGTTCCAGGAATTAGAAGAGAAGAAGCCGGAAATTGAGAGATAAATAGCAAAACACTGCAAAAAAAATCAAAATCAAAATCAAAATCAAAAAATCAAAAAAACAAAAAAACAAAATATCCACATTTCTCTAGAATCATTCAATGATCATCAAACGCTCGCTTACGCTCGCTTTCCTGCTTGCGCAGCCCCCTCTACCACCACCACCACCTCTCCCTCTATCACTCTCTTCCACTCTGTATCACCTCTATCACCATTATCAGATTAATCAGAGCTGTACAGGCTGCAGAGCCAGATGTTCAATCCCATCCATGAATTCAAAGAGATGCACATGACATCACATGAGATCATGGTACAGAGCATTTAGCAGTGCATGAACACAGAGAAGAGTATAAGAAATGTAAATACTGTAGAGAATGTATGAAAAGAGCAGAATGAAAAAAAGAATGAAGATTTGAAGATGAAGATTGATCTGAGCTGTATGAGCTGGAGAGCAGAGCTGAGCATTCAAATATTTTGTGAAATGGTTAATCTTCTATTCATTATCAGAGGAGCCAGCTACATTATATTACATATGAGAGATCATGTGTAACTAGATGGAGCAATTGCTAGGACAATGCCACTGGTCGGGCTGGTTTTTCTATAATAAATAGAGAGAAGAGATAGTTGACTTTGAAAGCTGAAATAAACTTTATAATCTTATGCATCTGTTTCTCAGTAATTGACTAGAATAATCAGTATGCTTTTTAGAAGTAGTCATTTAAAGTTCACAGATGTATTGAATTTCTTAATAGATTATCTCAAAATAATTTGAATATCTTTTTATAGATTCATTCAAGACTGAAGAAGAAGAAGAATATCTTGATATTAATCACAGATTAATTGTTTTGAAGATATAGTAGAAGTTTTCAGAGATGCAAATAGAAGTTTCAAGAGTAGTAAGTAAATTCATCTTGATAGTAATAGAATGATAATGAGTATAGATATTTGTGTACAGGTATGAAGGGAATAAGAATGAGAAGCTTTCTATTTATATGGGGGGATGTTTGAGGACACACCCCCCCTGAAATGAAGGTTAGTATGCCACTAAAATATTAGGGGGTCCCTCATGAAAATAAAGGGGTATACCATACCACAGTATACCACAGTATATCCTGATTCTTGTCTAATTGTCGATTTGGTAGTGAGCTTATTCCCCAGTTGGGCTGGATAATGGTTGACATAATGACTGTACCGGGCCATTTATTCAGTCAATCAACCAATTTCTGACCGAGTACGGGGGAGCTCTATCCTCAACATCCAGATCAGGACATGCGATGGCCGAATGGATATGTCTACTACCGCCAAGCGGGATGGCAGCCAAAGCTGCGGAACCCCAGGATAGCCAACTCCCGGCTGCATTTGACTATTCACTTGTGGAAGCGATGTGGATGCCGAAGGGAACTCCACGGAGCGAGCTCGTGATGGCAATGCGGGCAAGGGCCGTTTGCAAGTCCTGGTTCATGGCAATAATACACAACCACGCGAGGTCAAATTCCTTAAGCGTACAGGGAGTTCGAAATTTAAATATTGAGGATTGCCCCAGTTCCCCACGGCTTTGCTATTTCTGATATTCTGTCAAGCCACCCAGTTCCATTGTCTCGTCAGCGTTGGTATCAAAAATGCGGTCACTTCGTCCCTTCGCGGCCCTGACACTGGCCCTAGCCTTGACTGCTGTTGCCATTCCTTACAACACCTTCGATGGCTCCCCCGCTTGCAATGATGTCGTCGCAGTTCACAATCCCACCTGCGTCGACGAAATTCAACAACATGTACGGGATGCTATCAAAGCCGGACGAAAGGTCCGTGCTTCAGGTAAAGGACATATGTGGTATGATACTATGTGCTCTGATGACCCGGACACCGAAATTATCCGCACGGAGAATGTCAACAAAATCTACGACTTTGACTTGGAGGCTGGCACCGTCATCATAGAGGCCGGCGTGACCTTTGTCCAACTTGCAGAGTACCTTCATGGAAGAGGCGCATCGCCGGGATACACTCTTGTCAACTGGAATATCACTCTGACCGGCTGCGTCGCGATGGGTGCCCACCGTTCCTCTCTTAAGGAGGACTCCATGGTGGCTGCTGGTGTACTGTCTTTGGACATAATCGACGGAAACGGCGAGTTGCGACATATCGAGCGCGACGAAAACGACGATACCTGGCTGGCAGCATCTACTTCTCTGGGAGTGTTAGGCGTCATCGTCAGAATGAAGTTCAAGATTTACCCGGATTTCAAAGTATACGCTGATCAGAAGACGTAAGTTTTCCTACCATTGGCATTACTTAGGCAAACAATGACTCTAACGCACCAAAAGCTTGGATGAAGCTGAAGTTTTGAATGGAGACATTTATGGCATGATAAGCCCCTATCCAACAGCGAATTTCTGGGTAAGCCATCAATCAACCGTCGATGCCATACTCTCCATGCTGATATAGAGATATTTGCTAATTATGACTATGAGGAATACAGTGGTGGCCATACAAAAGGAAATTCCACTGGCGATACTACGATGTGGTGCCAACAGAAACCAGCCCACAGGAAGGTTTCCAGAACACTTTCTCTGTCACAAAATTCGAAGCAGATGCAGTTAGAGACCTGTGGGAGAACGGGAGGGTGCTACCCCTATCCAACAAGATCGCCGAGGAAATTCTTTTCGGCATCTGGTCCAAACCCAACTTCCGCGAAAAGACTACCAACAAAGACATCACGAAGTGGCCCGTCTACGGCTGGAACTACGACGTCTTGATCGGTGGACTGTACCCGGATCAGAAACCAGCATGGGAATATGGCCTTCGCGGACATATCCTCGAACTCGCGTTCCCTATGACATATGCCAACGCCATGCTCAGGCGCGTTCGCGAGCTTTTCGACGCAGAGGCGGAGGACGGCGAACCGATGACTACCACATACCGCAGCGGCATCAATATCAAGTTCGGACGACCCTATTTTGATCTTCTCGGACAAGTCACGTATAACACGAGCGATGGTGCCGATTGGTCCAAGGGCGCTATCATGTTTGAATTCCCAAGCTACCGTCCCCAGGGTAACGGGAAGAGATACAACGAGCCATTTTGTAAGTTGATTCATAGATAGGCCTTTTTTGAAAAGCTTCATTTTAGGTTGATTTTGGCAGCTAACGCGGACATACTATCAATCTGCAGATGATTACCTTGCACACGTTCTCATTGAGGAATTCCCCTGCCGCCCGCACTGGACCAAGAATACAAGGGAGGTATTCAGGATGGCAGCGAGAAATATTGACCCCGACGTAAGTTTATCGGTCCATTTAAAAAAAAAAAAAAAAAAAAAAAAAAAAAAAAAAAAAAAAAAAAAAAGCCATGAAAGCATTTTCGAAAACTAACAGTGGTATTAGCACATCGCGCGGTTCAAAGCCGTCAGGGAAAAATTTGATCCGAAGGGGATATTCCGCAGCGTTGTTGGAGAGTCGATTGGTGTTTATTAAATATTTCGGCATGTACATAAACTGATTTTTTTCTATGTTCATTTCGTGGCGAACACTTCTTCTATTTCTTTTTATACAGGATGGCCCTCGACAATTTACTAGTGACATCTAGTTAATGGCATGGCCTTCCTTATTCGAGTCATATAAATCTAATGAGATAATGTATAACTTACCAAAATAGAAACTAAGTTGGCTTACAAGCCGAGTAGATGTTACAGAGCACAGATATTGGACATATATCCAACCAAGCCAATGTGTAACATTTACTAGGGTAGGAAACGGGCATCCCATTCAGGGGGGAAAGAAAGCATATTTCCCCATCCTGCCCATTCGGCGAGAGAGATATTCGTGCTTGCTGATAAACCAAATATTACCGCACATTGATTGACGCAATGAAACAAGACAGAAGATTGATGGAGCAAAAGTAAAGGGATTTCTCTAAATTCGTTTTTTGGCGGTAATTAAGCGCCACTGGAGGAGAGAAGATGAAACGAAGTATGAAAAGAATAACATATCAGCCGAGAAGGAAAAGAGGAATAAGACGCGGGGAAATTTGCGCAAGGAAAACATTTAACTATGCGCCTGTGGGAGAGTAACAGCGGAAAAGGAAAAATAATAGTTAAGTTAACCCAATACCACCAAAGTAAAGTCAAGAAAGAGAATAAAAATAAAATAAGAAAAAATGAACACAAAATTTTATAACCCATTTCAGTTATGTTCGGTTTGGCCCTAAACCTTTCTTTTTTGTTTTCACCCTAGTAGAGGAGACAGAACAAGCAAGGAGAACAAGCGCACTGATATCAAGACACCCCTTACCGCTTGTCTATGCATCCATTTTTCAAACGATCACTTTTTCCATCGAGATTTCGTAACAACAACAACAGGATAGGGGTAAACAATTAGATAGATAGATATCTTGAAAAGACGTAAGTGAAAAATAGGAACAAGATAACCGTCACTCCATCAATCGTAGTTATCATTTCCCACGCACGCACACACTCACACGCCCATCCGCACAAGACAACGAAAAACTATGTTTATTTAAAGAAATAAACCCCTCCCAATGACAAAGAGGAAAATTAACATAAAAAAGGAATTCTCCGGATTTGCTCAACAACCACTACTGCTACCAAAGCCCTCTTTAATTAGTACGTGCGTGCCAGATTTCGCAAGTACCAATCTACCAGTCTCCTCCCCGCCTTTGCCTCACTAATGTGAATCAAGTTGCCCTCAATGGCATAGTCCAGGTCATTCGCATTGACAACCTCACCTTCCAACAACCCGCCATCCGACCACCGGATCTGTCGGCTGCGCTGCTTATTAACAAGCAACCACGAGCGCAGCTGCTGCGGCTCCACGTCCAAGAAGCCCGCTAGTTTCTTCAGATCCATCGTCGTGTAGAGTTTGAGATAGGACTTGACGGTGGGGTTATAAAGGGTGTTGCGGACCTCGTCCATGAAGATGGCCGTTTGGTGGTCGACTGGGTCAATGTTCATGCCTGGGTTGTCGAAGTCGGGTGGGGTGGGGCTGATGAATTTGGGGCAGGCGGAGCGGAAGAGCTCTTCGAAGAGCGGGAGCGCTTCGGGCCCGCCGTGCTGGAGGCGGATGAATTTCTCGCCGTATTTCTCGCGGAGGGCGGAGTGGATGGTGTCGTCGAGACGGGTGGGGTGGAAGGCGACGCAGATGGCGATCAGCGCGTACATCTGGTCGTTCTTCTTGGCAATGGCGTCGTAGCTGTTGCTGCCCTTCTGGAAGTTCTTGGTACGCGACACGTAGACGAGGATGTGGCTGAACATGCGGATGGCGTCGGCGTAACGGCGCATCATCATGTACGAGAAGCCGACGTAGTAGTATGTTGTGAAGTGGGCGGCCATGACGCGGGCAAACATGGCCTTTTTGTTCATCTCGATGTCATCAAGTGTCTTGAGCGCGAGGCTAAAGTCGCCAAGCAAGCAGTGGACGCGGAGCAGCCCGATGATGGAGAAATATCCCAACATTCTGTAGAGGGGCCGGTTCCCATACTCTCCAGCAACGGCTGTGGGGTCTTCGTTACGTTTGATAGCTGCAAGCTGTTCGTTGATTTGGGATCTTTGGATCAGTGAGTAGAGAACATTGAGAACAGAGTAGCATCCCCATGTGTTCGGGTTCTCCTTCAGGAGCTGTGCTTCTTCTTCACTTGATCCAGTGCGAGCAACGCGGTTTCGGTAGCGGCAAAACGACTCGAATTGATAGATGAATTCGTCAATCACATCCCACGCCCAGAAATACTATCCCATCACACCGGTCATATTAGCTTCAGCAAGCCAAAATGGAAATAAAAAAAAGAATTCGCGAAGGCCACACAAGTCCCGCAACGCAAACTCATAATCCAATCCACCCTTTCATTCCAACAAATAAGCTCCAAAAAAAAAAGTCAAAACCTACAGTAGGAACATCCAAATCAACCGGCCCATCCGAATTCAATATATAATGAAACAGGCTACAATAGCTATCATAGCTCGCAAACTTCGTCTCCAGCGTCGCCTGGAATTCCAGCGGTGTGGCCGCCGCTACTAGCTGTGCCTGTATATCCTGCGTTTGCGATCCGGCACCCAGCGACGTCGTCCGGTCCAGCTCACTCATGCTATCGTCAAAATGCACCTGCTCGCGGTAGTCGTTGACAAGAGCTTCCTCTTCGACATCGGATTCATCGTGCAGGTTGGCGGTCCGCCCGGTTGTGCGGTTGCTGTCGTACGCCATGGCTTGGTGTGGACCCGTGGGCAAGGGAGTGGGGATCGGGGGGGTGTGCGGGCCGGTTAAAGAGCTCAAGAAGATGTTGGCGGTTAAGGTGGATGGTTGTGTGCTAAGCGGTCAGTGCCGGTTCTGTTGGTCGTCGGACGTTGAAATTGACGAATTTCGAGGTTTTTCACTTTTTCGCTTGCGGCTGCTTGGTGGTTTGTGCTTATCTTATCTTAGCGCAGATCTCGCATCTTGGTCACGTGTTAGTCGCAAGCGCGCGGCTGGAGAATGAGAACTCTTGGAACAACGTCAATTAAGTTTACGGATTGGACATGGTACAGCTTAAGGGCATTGGCAGTTTAGTATTAGTTGGGATAAGCCTCTTTCGATACGGTAGGGCCTAACTGTGTGCATTCAGTCGTTCGTCCGCCTCCACAAACACGAACAAAGGGCGAGGGAAACAAAGGCACAGATGCCTGAAGACATATCTTCAATGCTAAAATCGAATGAGATAGGAAAATACAAAGGCTCCAAAATTAGGGGAGTAAAATGCTACCATCGTGCTCCGACCTGATCCATTGACAAAGCAAAACACTGAAGCAGCCGAAAGATGGAGGAAAGGATGCAGGGTATCAATGGAGGGCTTGAACAAATACGGATTTGTAAAACGAATTTCAGCGAACATGCTATCCGTGAACTGTCTTAAAAATGCACAGCATTTATCAAATGCACTGTAGGGGTCAAATGTAAATAGAAGACGAATGAGAAAAAGAAAGAAAGAAAAATAATAATCATAATAAAGGAGCAAATAATCATAAACCCATGCCTTGGGGTGTACCATTCCACGAACCGAAAGATGTGATTGTCGAATTAATGCGAATAGTATCGATGAGGACAACTGTCGACCGATTGTTCGTTTTCCAGCCATAAAGCTAGTAAATAGCGTTTTCGTTGGATAAGAAGAGAAGTAACTAAACTGCAATGCTGGAGTTGGCCCAGCTTAGGTTGCCACCGAGAGAGGTACTACTCGTCAGTTCATCTTCGCCCTCGGAGTCGTTAGCCCCGTCCATGTTCAGCATCTGAAAACGGTTGGTCATTGGAGCTGGTTTCCTAGCTGGAGGTTGTGGCGCAACTTTCTTCGGCACATACTGCACCTTCGGCAACGGGTCAGCACATTCATCCGGGTAGTACTCAATTTTCATGCCCTTGTACGCCAAACGAGACATCATGCAAGTTCGTGCAAACAAGGCATTGTGTACTGAGTTAGTCGAGATATATGCATTCCCCTTATCAAAAGTGATATCGATCACTACCAGGTTATGGATATGTTCCAAGTCATCACGAATCTTGGATTCTGTCAGATTGGGGTGCACTGAACGGATTATCAGGTTACGTGAAGCTCCATTCGCCAGCTTGCCGGCAACAAGGCCAGGAAGGTAAAATTGGCGTTCATTCCAAGTGACCTCAATCTATTAGTTGAGCAGTCAGTACGCATCTAGAGAGACTATCTATAGTGTACCGGTGGGTCTCACCAGCTTATCAAGAATATAAAGGTCCTGGCGTTTAGTAAAGGCCAAAAATTCTTGGGCAGATTTACCCTCAGCAAAAGAGACGCTTGCCTGACGCTCTCTGGGTCGTAGGAAAACATCAACCAGCGCGCCACCCCGAATCGCGGCAACAATATCGCGGTGAGTTGCACGCTCGGGGAGACCTTTCAGAAGGAGAGTACGGTTTTCCGTACAATTTGAAGGCTGCTGGCGGTCTTGCCTAGACTGGATGTTGCCAAGATGTACTCCATCATCCCTTTCGTCGCTCGGGAAGGATGTCACATCATTTTCGAGGCTCGATCGACGTCCATTGCTGTTAGTATGAACCCTTAGAGCCCTGTCCGCAGAATTCCGAGGCCAACTGTCATTAGGGGTAGTATTCTTGCTAATCGGATCATTCGAGATGGAGTGTAAAGGATGGCGTGGGAGATGTCCAATCTCAGTTGGGGCTTTGCTGCCCATGGTACTGTCGAATGACTCCCCTTGGTCCTCCAAATTTCCAGGGCCGCTTATCAAAGTCTAATAACTCAGTAAGCGGTATGACCTTGCGCAGTGGCACTCAAGTTCCTCACTTCAAGAGCTTCCTCGGTTACACCTCCATCGTACAGAGCCTGCTTCAAATTATCTAACAATAGGAAGCTGGTTAGATGCGGTTATGCGGAGAATGCGCAGAATACGCAAGGTGCAAGTTCGAAAGAGTTTGAGATAGGCACAGGGGAGATACCATATTCGCGGGATCTACGAAGCTTCAACATGCATTAGCAATATATAATCACAAGGTTGAAAAGCAAACAAACTCACAAGAAGGTCGTGCTCCGATTTCGGGATGGTAACCGTCATAACGTTCGAAGAAGCATCAAAATCGGTAGACGAGCTATGCTATAGATCCACGAAGCACGAGTTCCTGTCAGGTCCTCTCCTCACATGGCACTGGACGAACTACATCAGTGTCGTGAATACGGATACTTACCAACTCCGCCCTGGAATTCAGTTATAGCTCCATTAGCGTTCCGTATATTTAATCACCAACAAGCACATAAAAAAAAGGAAGGTTCTGAATCTGGAAAGCGTATGGACGGCGCCTGTGATGAAGACACTCCGGAGGCTTGACCAGGGGGAATCGAGGCGCAATTGAGCAGCATTCGAGGGGAAATTAGGCGCAATATACCAGCGAAAATCGTACCTGCGAAGGAGCGTGTCCAGATGTGATTTTTTGATTGAAACATGAGGGTCCATCTTCCCCGGCGACGAATGGAGGATCTAAACAGGTTGCACAATGGCGGGGTGGTCAGCAACGAAGCTTAAAATATAGGACAGAACTCAAATTTTTTAAGCTATTGAGGTCGGGAGTTTAAATGAAAGGTGTAACTTGAGAGGGCAGCAACATCAACGGAGGAGGGGCTGGAGGGCGTTGGTGTGGCAGCTAAATGAGGAGGATATGGGCAACACAGCACGCCGCGGGAAGGGGAACCCGAGACAGCAAAGACAAATGGGAATGATGCTTTGCAAATGTATGTACTGTACTGTACTTACATATCTCACAAGAGCACAAATATTTGCTCTTGGTGGCAGGGCGACGATGTCTAATATCCGGGGACAAAGAGTGAGAAGGGGGAGGGAGGTGTATAAGAGGAGGAGCAGACGCAGCAACAGATGATAACTCTGCTGAGGCCCTGAGGCTGGGCCAAGCGCCAACAACCATCAACCAAGCGCGTCTGGGGAAGCTAAAGTTAACTAACTTACCGGCGACGTTAGTTCTCCTGACGGACTGACTGCTGACTGCGGGCATCAACTACGGCCGATGATGATTTCCACACAGCGGCTGATGGATCCAGATAGGTTGGGATAAACGGTAGTTAGCAGTGAGTAGATGAGTAAATACATCCTAACTCCGCTTAAAACTCAACTTAACCAGGGTTTTCATCATATATTTGCTTCGCTTCGCTCCGCAAATGAATATGCTCATCAACTATGTTCAGGTCTAATATTTCTACACGGGAACTCGATATCCCCTTTCATCCCCCCGTCATTCAGCCAATTCCTCATCTCAATAGCAATCGAGCAAATCGACTCTTGGCCGCTAGTTATTTAACTCGACCATCTCAAGGTAGGATGGAGCCGCCCGCTAGCTAGCAGCGCTACGTTTAACCCTGTGCGTTCACCCATCATCAACGACCCAGATACCACCATCAATCGCCTCCATCAATCACCCATTTCCCTACTCAGACGCATGATTGACCGTCGCCCGGTACTTCTAACGAGTCTGTTTGATGGCCCGGTTAAAAGAAATCGGCATCGAGCCGCCCATTCTCTCTGAGAGGACAGCAATTGCTGCGCGGAAGTCCCTGTGCTGTGATTCTCTACTCTCATATCATTGGGTAACTATCCCAGACAATCCAGCCGCATTGCGCGTGCGGAGTAGTTGCTGTCTTTTCATCAAGGTTCATAAGAGGGCAGGGTGCGCGACGACACGCACACTCGCCTAATTCCTAACTTCGATCTGCACACCGTTGTGGCCTCACAGCAGTTGTGTTCAATGTGAACGTGCCGCCATTCTTCAGCGGTGTTTTAGCGACGCTAGGGTCGGTGAGTCCCTGCGAACTGCTGGTGGCGGGGCTAAAAGTTTAGCGCCGGCGCCTCTACACAACCTCACCCCCCAATCTCAAGGACACTCTGGAAAACATCTTGCTCACTGGCCACATCCAACTCTTCACGCTGGTCGCATGATGATGCTGGACGACCACTAAAAGAGAGGCGCTTAAGAAGTTTCCCCCCCCCCCACCAAAAAAAAAGGGAAAAAAAAAAAAAAAAAAAGGAAAGGAAAGGGGTGGGGAAACTAGTAGAAATCCAAAATGGATCTGTCGTACAGCTTCAGCTCAAAAGAAATAGTTTTTCATGAAATACGTAACTCAAGGTTTTATTTAGCTGGCTTCCGTACGAATTATCCCAGACCTAAAACGCACTGCTTCCATCTATCCGGTCCCATCCCATCCGTAGAAGTCTTGGATGCAGAAATTGAGCCGGCAAGGCGAGGAGAGAAAACAACATTCCAGTCAAAGATAAAACCAGCGATAATGTATTAAAAAACAGAAGGCGCCCGCATGTATCGTAGGTGAAGGGGAGGTAGGGTGGAAGTAAACCAAGGGTTGCCACGGGGGAAGATTAAAATGAGAAAAGGAAGAAAAAAACGACGAAAAAGATAAGCAGATGGACGCCATTGAGCAAGACAGAACTATGGAATTAAATAAAATAAATAGGGCTTTTCCGCCCTTGGCATCCCATATCCATTATCTCATTCATTCCCTCCTCCTTTCATCCATCGCCTTCGCATCATCGTTCCCATCAAAGAACGACTCATCAGATCGTAACCGCTGTTTCTTCTTCTTCTCCAACGTACCCCACGTCGAAATACCCGCATACGCCACACCAATGATTCCTGCAATGATTGCATAGACAATAACGCCCGCCACGGGCACCGTTTCCTTCCCGATACCGCTAAACTTAAAGCCCAGGCCGCCATTGATGATGCCGAGCGCGAGCATGCACCGCCCTACCCAGCGATGTACCCGTCCCACCGCGCTGGGCCCGTGGGTCTTTACGTAGTTGAGATGATGCAGGTAGCCGAGCAGTGGTTGGCAGAGTACTAGCCAGCCGATGACCACGTAGCCGATGATGGGGTGGTACATGGCTGCTTTCCCCAGGTCGCGGGCCAGGGAGACGCCGACGCCGAACCCAGCGACGGCGGCGCAGAGGGTCAGGATCTGCAAGGGTGCGTGAATGCGCGTTGCGGTCTTTGAGTAGGGGATCAAAAAGAGGCCCAGCGCGAAGGTTGGGAAGAGAACCACGAAGATGACGGACATGATGATGCCGTGTGTGACGCGCTTGACTTTTATGGTCCGTTGCGAGACGCCGGTCGCGGACCCGCCGCCGCTGCCGCGGCCTCCTCCTGTAGCACTCAGGTCCAGCGTAAACGTGCCCTGGTTGTCATGGAAGATGATTGACTCCGTGACATCAGCAGAGTTGAGGGGGCTGCCGCTCTTCATCGCCCAGATCCAGGGGCTTTGCGGATCATTGGGATCCATGGAGCCGCCGTCCCAACTCAGGCAGTTTTCGCAGAGTACGTTTGCCGTCATTTTGCCGTTGGAGATTCCCGAGCCGTCCAGCAGGCGGAGGCGCACGGCTGGGTTGTGATCAGGAAGCATGTGGCCGATTCCTCGGCGTGGCGAGATGGTGACGTTCCTCCCGTCAGACGAGGCGTAGGCAACGAAGATATTGGCGCCTGCCATTCCCGTTCCCTGCCCCAGGGCGAACCATTCAGTGCTATCGCTGGGGGCTTCCATTTGGAAGTATATGGGGCCATGGCCATTGGAAGCCGTGGAAGGGGGAATGTTGACGCTGTAGAAGATGCCTTTTGCATCACTGGGGCTAAATTTAGTTGTTTGGCTGTAAGCCATTGGCACTGTAGGAGGAATTGTTAGAACCTGGTTCCTTTTGCTTTTTTTTTCTTCCTTTTACTGGTGTGGATGAGTGAGGGGGTCAAAGAATGCTTTTACCAGTGGCCAGCGTCGCTGCTGCGACAGCTGTAAAGGACAGTCTCATGACGAGAGTGTTTCGGAGATATTTGGCAGAGAAATATATACCCTGTTCACGGGAAGCTGATTGTTGATTATGGACAGGCTTAAATGGACAGATTCAAGGCATTGATTGACATCTGGGAATGATATGAAGGATGGTTTTATGGGCCAGGTTGAGAAGGTGAACGGGTGAATGGATTGCAGTGAATAGAAGTGTTGCGGAGGAAGGATTCCAATACATGTACATGTAACATGTAGTTACATACGTCGTTAGGGCAAGCAATAATATATGATAACTACGCACCGTACAAATTATAGACAATAGGAGGAGGTGAGTTAACGTCACGACAACACAAACAGGATATTGAACACCCAAACAAACAGTCACATATATATATATATATCCAGGACAGGATATCCAGGATATCACCACAAATCTTATAGTTTTTTTTTTATTTCTCCCGTGCGACTCGTCATCCTGGTTGATTTATTTACCGCATTGATTCAGCTGCTGGCCCAGCCCGGCCAACCGCAGCCACCTAAGAAACCAACCGCCAGCATTTGGAATCCTGCAGGGAGGAGGAGGAGGAGGTAGACGCAAACATGGCAGATTCTCGGAAGATCTGCGACACCTGTTCCCGGATGAGATTTTTTTTTTCTTTTTTCTTTTTTCTTTCTTTTTCGTGTGTAATTTGAGGATAACATAACCCGTTTGATGTATTATTATTGATTTATTCTTGGTATTTATATTAAGGGTTGCTTGGGACAGTTAGTTAGTTAACCGACTATTTAGTTAACTCACTCTCACAGTTTGGCGCGACTAAATAAGTTGATCCTCTCCAGGGATAAGTTACTCCGTACGGAGTAGAAACGCAGCTAAATAAAAGCCCCGGAGGGGAAGCATGCTCGAGGAAGCTTAAGAAAAAGCCTCCGGAATTACCAGTGTGTCAGGCCCTGGAAGATGCAAAAACGACCTTGCTTGTCTCGTAATAATAATAATCGAAACCTCTACAGGGCAAGGTGAAACCACACACGCAACAGCCGTGGCGCAGGAATGGCTATAACTATGTGATACAATAATAATGGAAGATCCCCCCCGGAACTACCGAAAACAAAAGGGTTTACCAGCGTGAAGTTCTTCAGCCGCTCGTTGGTAGTTAGTTATCTGATATGCTGGTCGTCACCATCGAGCCTCCAATAAATATTGAGGAGATATGGTATGTATGTAACTACTATATCCATTTTCTCCATGGAGATCGATGACGGGTGGATAACAAGGTGGTTGGGCGACGACGGAATCATCCATATAAGAACTAGCCACAGAAATGGCGAATATCCCCCTCCAGCATACAAATACAGACGCAGCCAGCTTCCTACTACACATCCATCCTATGTACGCAATAATATTACTGCCTCTCATTCTATTAACTACTGTCAAGATGGTGGAATCACTTGCTGCTTGCTGCTGCTTGCTGCTGCTCCGCCTGCTACTACTGCTCCAGAAGCCTCCTATTACACCTCCTCCCACAAAGCAATTAACCCGCGATCAACATCAAGATATCCCTGCTTCTTCACAGTCTTGAACAGACATATGAGAGGATATCCAATCACCTTGAGATAACCTATCAAGGAGTTCAATACACCCGTGAACTTGAAGTAGCTACTTCTAAAAAGCATGCCGGCCGATTCCCCTGATCTGTATGGAATCCTATAGGAGAATCATGAGATGCACTTCAAGAGATGATTAGGAATGCCTGGGACTCTAATAACAGAGGAGCAGTTTACAGGAGCTTATAATGGTTAGTTAGTATGCCACTAAAATATTAGGGCCCCCCTTAATGAAAATACCGGGGGGGGTAGTTATAGTTACCAGCGTAGAAGCACGGCGTACAGGCACAGTATTAGTTATTTATTAATATTGTGCAACATCAAACATCGCAAAAACCCTGGCGGTGCTTGCCGCAGATCTGTCCTTCCCTGGACTCTGATGTTTAAGTTAAATACTGCCCGTGTACGAATTTCCCATCTTCATTCAAATCGGAAAATTCATCCATACTGATCAGATACCCAGAACGCCAATTACGCATGTTAATTTAATTGCCTGAATGGTGTTGACTTTCCTCTTCTGTTTCACAGAAACCAGTCGACTTCAGTCATTGAGAGAGAGGCGCCAATGAACAACTGGGTCATAGTAAAAGCTTCCGCTTCACCGAGTGAACGTTCACCCGGTCGGTCCTTGTCGATATATAGGCAGGCCTCCGCCCATGCATAACATGACTACACAGGGATCTATAACTTTTGGACAAGCAAAGGAATTTAATATAGCTTGGCCAGTCAGTCAGTGCGTGTCCATCTGGGGATATCACCCTGTCCGGGAAAACCTGGGGAAAACCTGGGGAATAGATAACTAACTATGCCCTACTGCGTAGTTATCTGTGCATAGTTCCTTCGTGCTCTCGAAAATTATTCAGCATGTGTGCGACCTTTTGAAACCTCCCTGTGATCCCAAACAGAGCATGGTTCCTCAGCTGCCGGCATTACCACTAATAACCAATCCCGCGAAGTGTACGGTGCGAGAATGGTGGAGGGCTGAGACCTGGCGGGCTCTCCCCTTCTCGCACTACTTTCAAGTCTTGTGTTCCGGTTGCGCATTGATCGTACATGTACATGCCATACCACTGTTAATAGGTGTATTGGGTCTTTGCATAGCCACTGCTGGCTCCTAGTGCTGTGTTTATATGTCCCATAGGCCGGAACATTCCGAGCCACGCACCGTTTTTTGTAACGATATTGTCGTGGCTGAATGCCGAAGACGGTGGAGCGACAGAGCGGACGCAGATATCCTGCCTACAATGTGGAGGAACATTTTTTTCAAAACAAACGAGGTGAGGAAGGATTCTCACCATGTATATTTAAGGGAGGTCGGTTGAAACATGGAGGAGCCATTTCAGATGTGTCCATTAGGCCTTAACTAAGCATGGTAGGCCTTTTAACACCCAAACTGTGATTAACAGAGAGCTAATGTTTTTGGATAGATGCCCAAAAACCAATTCATCGGGTCAGAGGATGATGACAGTGGCTTCTGGAGGCCCTCAACTCCAGGCATAGTATTTGTTTGTGGTAAATAACAACCTCACTGGTCTTATCCTCATTTCCTCCTCCCCACCTCACTGAAGGAACATTGCTATTTACCCGCTCCTCATTTATCACATCCACACCAAACTGTTCCTGCACAAAATCTATGACGTGGTGCAGTTCCGCCGTTGGGTTCCATATGACCAACTTATGCAACTTCCACTTCTGAGCCTCGTCCAAGGCAGCCAATAGAAGGCTGGCTAATGCCAACGTCACTATTTGCTGGCCCTCGTCTTCCTTATCCTCTGTGGCCTGGGCCGCCGTGACGACCCTTTGGATAGTCAACTCGCGATCTGGAAAGTCATGATGCCAGTACACCCACGTCTTTCCGTATTCGTTGATAGCGCCTCTGAATGGTGGGACTTCGCCGTTAGTCTTCCTGCTGATGAACGCAGCTCCGGTCTTGTAGCCAGCCGATGATGTTTGCGGAGGGAAGAACGGTCATGAGGATTTTATCAGCTGCAGGTTTATCCTTGGAAAACTTGGCTTTGATGTTTTCGATATCACGGGCGCAGAGTGCTGGGATGTCCTCCGGCATCAGCGGCTGCGTCGGTGGGAGGCCTGATCGATTCGGCGATATCAAACAAAGGCTGACTGACTAACGGAAAAAATAGATTGGAATGCAGGGAGCATTTTCCACCCTTTATTGATATAATACTATTTGAATATGTCAGCAGAGGAACTACACTATCTCCTGCTTTGTTCCATACCTTCCCAATGCTCGAATACAACATACTCGCCTCCGCCTCTCCAGATCCATCCATCCACCGCGCGACAGCCCTCAATAGAAATTCAGCAAGACCTAATCGCCGATATCGTTTATCAGTGGCGACCGCCCCAATGCAATAACCCTGTCCTTCTCGGGTCCCCCCAGCAGCAGTTCGGATGAGCAAATCCCTATTCAGCGTTTTGCAAGTCGCGACGACACGCCCGCTGCCATCACCACCTTGAACTTGAAGGCACCACCAGCGTATTCCCACACCATTGCTGTGCGTGAGCGGTCGCTGCATGAGGAACTTCTCCCTCTCTATATAGTCCGCTTCTGGGAGCGGCCAGCCGAAACTCGCTCCTACAATCTTGAAGCATTTGACTTGCAGTTCTGTTGTTGTTGCTTCGTTGAAAATTAGGACTTCAGAGCCTTCCGGGCCATCGATTATGGTCGACAGCGGTTCAACCGTTTCTGGTTTGTCCATATCTTCTTAAGTAATAGGAATGGAGACCTGGAAAAATAAATTTACCTGAAATTTGTATAAGTTGATTTCCGGCAACAATCAAGAGATACAGCTAATTTGAACAAGGGCTAGGACTTGGCGACGCCTCTCAGACGTCAAGCTCTCGATCCTGAAAATGTGAGTTAAAATGTGAGTTAACCACCCATTAGTTGTCGTGAGTTGAAGTACTTGGAAAGAAAGGCGTCCGTCCACTTTGGGACTGCCATGAGGAATGTAGAGATCATGTCAATGTGGAGCCCCTTTTCCGCGGTCATGAGTCCTACCTAGTCACCCCGCCATGCGCAAATCATCAAAGCCGAGCCAGCTATTATTGGCTATTCGGCAGGGGTCAGGGGTGGACCGTATTCCTAGCGTCGGTTGAAGGATATCAACTCTCTCCGTTCAAGCTCGTTGACATTGAAACTTGTCTAGACTCACGTCCATACTCCGCATTGTCCATTCAAGATCAATGAATGATACAGGGGTATTATATGTCTTTCCTCTACAAACTTAGCTAAGTATATGCCATACGTGCTCCGTCCATGCTCTCTCTACCTTGAATGTTTTTGGAATCATCCGCACCAATCAAAGCTGCAACCTGCGGGAGGTGTCTCTTGGTAACTAACGCAGTCAATTCTTGAGGGCATCCCCAGCATTCAGGCATCGCCACCATTTACGATCTCGTCAAATGCCACAATTTTATATCTGAACTGTCTTCAAGAATCAATCCGAAGCGCAGCGAGTTTGCTGTGACCTTCACACCTCTACGGTGGAGTGAGAATTGGATCTCTCGGCTGATATTCTTCTCGTAGGTATCACTAACGTGAGTAGAATGGTACTACCGTTCCTCCGTGCCGCGTATTCCAGAGGAAATGTCGGGCAATGTTTCCATTAAAGTTGTTGTCTCTCAGGCCTGCAATACAAGTGCCTATTATCCATTTTCTCTCCAGCGTATCTACCCGCCCGCCGACAACGCTCTGTATGTTCCCTGACAGCGGCAGGCAGGTTTTCCCGCATGCATTCATTTTACACGAAAGGATGCTCGTAGATGATACTGCTGAGTACGGGTGGGAGATCTTATGAATCGTCAAACGAGGATTTCTCCGGTGAACCCCTTCTTAAGGCTTTGGAGCATCAGCAAGGCCATCTAGTAGACAAATCACCTCCGTCCGTTTACTACATGACGTCGAAAGACTGTGTACAAGCTTTGGGAAACTTAGTTTGAATTTCCCTCTGATATCACTTCCTAGCGTATATGGAAAGGAAGTATGATGAGCAGAGAAAGAGAAAGGAATCAGTTTGAACCTGACAGAAGGCCGTATTTAGGAACTGAGCAAGCAACCAGAAGTGTACGCAGTATTATATCCAACAGCAATAACGCTTGTGACTGGCTTACTCACTTCTACCATTGCATGTATTCTCCGGCACCTATAATGACGTGATTGTCGAAATCCGCCGGTTCCTGCAGCCGGGGGTTCTTTCCAGGTTTGCGAGTCCCTGCTCGTTCCAAGTGATATATCTGGGAAGTTGTGCGGGGAAAAAAAGGGCGCTTGCAAACCAACAGTACAACCGTGACACTTTCTATATGTACCCCCAGTAAAACGTTCATCTCGGCGAGCAAGGAAATGCTCATCCATATCGCCTTGTGTTTGGCAGGGTTCGCGGGGCAACGGAGTGTTTTGCGGGGGTGGGAACAGGCGTTAAATTGTCTGGGGTACATGTACATGTACATGTACATACAGCCTTAACTGCTGGGGTTTTTCATGGTGTGGGTTGATGTTTCAACACCAAGCAATGTACTCCGTATACAAGCAGGGCGTCCCAGACATGAATGAGGGTTTGAGGGTTTCGGGTTTCGAGCGGGTGAGGCACGAGATGAAAATGTTATGTGCAGGGGAGGGGCTCTTGTTGGGTAGTTACTTACACCATGGCCGAACTATATGTTAAGAAAGGGTACATTGTTTACCTTACCCCCAATGAAAAGTAATGGGCTATGAGAAGAATATCATCCTGCTACCGAAAGAGTATCGGTTAAATATGAGGAAATTGCCTTTGTATGAGCAAACGCCCCCTGGTTCTTTTGGAAGGTAGTTGTTACACAAAACTTCTACTAAACCGTGAGACAAGGGGTGATATGAAGCGTGGACTATAGGTACTGGTGATGCAAAAATTCGAACGAGATCCAATTCGCTGTGCTATTGATAGTTAATGCATTAATCCGCTGCGTTTCATGGAGTACTAATATGAAACCCTTCTTCACTAAAAGAGAGGTGCTTAAGAAGTTTCCCGGAAAAAAAAAAAATCTTTGCAAAAAGCGAAACCAACTTGATGCAGAGCCCGAAAAACCCAGAACGATTCGTCAATGACGATAATAGTCTTTGGAAGAAAACGCATAATAGATCAAAATATAAAAAAACAACTCCATCACTCAACCCCCAACCCGGAGAACGGCACGACGGTAGAGCGGGACATCGCTCACTGCATTTTATCTTCTATCACATTCGCATTTCCTCTATCAAAAGTGCTCAAGGTCGAACCGTCCGGCTCCTTGTATAATCATGTCATAATCTCATCTCATCTCATCTCTTTTAGGCGGGAGTCGTGGGACTAGCCGTTGGAGTGCTGCTGTCTGTAGCGGCTGTTTTCTCCAAAATAGTCTTCATCATCTCATTACCTAGTCTGACTGCTTCTGGGAAACGGGGGGAGAAGTACGATTGAATCTTCTCGAAGCGGTCGCGGTATGAAGCGAAGTTGCCAAACGAGACACATTCGGACCAGGCCTGTTCGGTATCATCCAGGAGGGGGTTTAAAGTTAGACAGAGCGCAAATAACGGAAGTGGAGTAGTAGGTGTAATGATATTAGACATAGCCAGTGGAAAGGCCTGGAAGGAGCGCGTTGGAGGGCTAGAACTTTATCTCCTGCCACATGTACGGAGAAGATTGGAGGTTTTCAAGGGGACGGAATGAACATAGGAAAAGTGAGGGCAAAGTGAAGGCATTATGTTATCAGTGCCTATAAAACCAAATTGATGTTGTGGCAGGACGCGCGGAAGCGGGAGAACAACGCATTGTATAGACGACCGATATGCACTTACCCGTGCAGCAAATGTGAACTCAAGGTCATCGGAGCGGAACGTGTTGTCATCAATAGCGATGTCCAGGACCTCATCGAGGAGGTCTTCATTTCTGAAAAGGTATTCCGTCACTCCAAGCCATAGTCGGAAGAGCTGTAAAGGAGGCGAAAATCCTGAGGTCAGCTCTCCTTTTCAATAACAAAATCTGATTTTACTTGGGGTTACTCACAGGTGTCGAGCAGATCATATGGTCGTACGGAACAATCCCCAAATTCCACCAGCAATCTACAATGGCCAGCAAGCTCAAGTGGTTATTAGGCATCCTTCCTGAATTTCCCTTGGACAGCGAGAACTGATCAAGTACATCATCCCGCAACAGAAGATCATGCTGCGTCGTACCAGACTTAAACACCGCCGCTCCGGCCGTCTTCACTCTAGTTTTAAGTTCCTCTCGGTGCCCGCCCAGCATCAGCTTGAACAGTTCTGTCACTGACTGCGCGTACTGACGGATTTGCTTCTTCGCAGCTGGATTGAGTATGGCCAATCCCGCATAGACGTGCCACTTGTTCGCATATATGCGAAGTGTTATGTTGATTTTTACGTTCTCGATGCCGCCCACGTAACGGGGTACTTCCCAGGGGAACTGGCTGTTCGCGTGCCATGCCGTGCCCATGCTAAGGAAAGCGGCGTGCGTCACCGCCTGGGTATCTGCTGTGATCCGATCGTGCATTTCGCCGCTGAGATAGACATATTTGGACCGAAAGGAGGAGAAGATGCTCTCAACGAATCTTAAGCTCTCGTCTGACGCTCTATGCTGGATCAAGACCTGGAATAACGGGTGTTATTTATTCCGTTGTGAACATGATTTGTGGGATATCTTAGGTTGAATACCAGAGGGTGACCTTTGGGGTTGACATTGGGGCCATGGAGGGAATGGCATGAGATGATTTCTACGTCGCTGGGCAGGTATTTATCAAACGCAGCAAGCTCAGGGGCCTTGCAAGATGTCTGGCCACCCACGATGGCGCCGACCTTGGTTGCTTTCAGTTCAATGGCTTGTCAGACGGGTCTGATTGATCCACAAACGGGAAGAGAAAAAAGATGGCGAATACGAATTCAAGTGTTCAAACGGCAAACATACATGGTCCGTACTCCGCGACGATCTTGTCAATGACTTCCGCCTCTACGCTGTAGATAATGTAGTCGCTAATTCTGGAGACTAAGTGCCCATTCGGGAGTACATTGATATTTTGCTTTAAAAAATCCATAAAATAAGCCCTGATTCCGAGGGTAATTTATAGTAATCCACATACATCAGATGCGAACTCCTGCTTTAACGCATCATAGTTTGCAGGCCTATCGCAGGCATTGACTCTACATCTTTTGTCAGCCATGGGTCCGATCAACGTAGATTGGTGATATATGTTCGTAAATGAGAGCTGTGATAACTGAACGTTAGCACACCGTAAAAGCAACCATTGTAACTAATAAACAAGTTTGCAGGTATATAAAAACATTTTCAGACACAGAAAAAGTAAGGTAGCGAGGAGTTTACATCATTGACAACCTGGAAGCCGCTGCATACGCCAGAATGGCGGGCAGTTAAGGCCTCCAGGCCATACTCGAGCCAAATGCACTCAAGTCATCATATAAAAAGACGTGATAGGGAGGAACAAATCAAGAGGAGAGCTTACCATATACTGAATAGCCAAGGCAGAACACTGCAAACAGAAAGTTTTGTCCCAAGGATGGTGGTATATTTACCTCCAACCGGCTTGACTCAGCCGCTGAGCATACATCTTTCCCATGTCGCCCATGCCGATGATCCCAATGGATCTTGTGTCCGTTGTGGTCGCCATGATTACAGGACAGGAAGCAGAATATCTCTTCCGCTGTTAGTTAACAAAC